TTCTTTAAAACATCAATAGTCACACCATTACACAATCACATTCATGTTTACGTGTCACTCTAAGGACTAAAATTTATCTCAAATTCTGGTATCGGAACTTTTAGCTCTTTTTTATTGCTATGTCTTGGTGATTATTACGGTTCAGATGTATATTTCACTCACATTTTATTAATTGTGATTTCAGTTTTAAAATTGTTTTGTGACACCAGTTATGTTTGGTTAAGTAAAGTGAGGAAAATGTCTGCCAGCAAGTTTCTGAAAATGTGCTAGGATAATTCAACTGTAATTCTTACTCAGCCTCTTACCAGGTGTAAATCTCTCTCTGATGTGTCTCATTTTGATTGACAGGTGAGACTGGAGAGGAGGAGGAGGAGTAGACAAAGGTGGTGGGCAGTGTTGTGGTGGTGGGCAGTGTTGTGGTGGTGGGCAGGTTGTGGTGGTCAGTCTGTCTGCACAGTCATAGAGAGACTGACCTGAGGAGAAGGAAAGAAATATGAGAACCATTTTGTTGTAAGAATACATTAAACACTGTAGCGTCAAACTTCTAACCAACTTCTTTTAACCTTCAGTAATCTGGTAATCATTGAGCCTATCCTCCTGTAACTACAAAATCTGTCTTGGGCAAAGTAGGTACAAAAACGTCCCCTATTGTTCTGCAAAGTTTGAGCTTGTGTGCTCTTGGTAACAGGGTGAAAAGCTTAACTGTTGCCCCAAAGCTTCTGATACTTTGCAGTGACATCACGTTGGGTGTGTTCATGGTCTTGTTTAGGTGTGAACAAAAAAGGTGAGCGTGATTAACTGAAAAACTGTGGGCTGATGCTCGCTAGCTTGTGAGTGTAATGTTATTTGAGACTTGTTTAAGAGCACAAATCATCATGACTGTTGTAGTTCAAACTAAATCAGTTTTTCTGGTCAGATTGTGTTATTTAGCCTTATACAAACTTTAATGATCCACAAGGGAAATTATTTGGAGACAGTAGCTCACACATCACAATATGTTATTTGTTTACTTTTGCTAGTTACATTCCAATTATAATTAATTATACAGTTGTAGTGTTCTAGTGCTGACACTAAACCGGTAAATAATATAATTATTTACTCAAAGAGCTCAAATATGTTAATGATAAATAGATCAGATGATTTTGGTTGATCTCCACAGAGCAGTGACATCAGGTGTGGAATTTGGTCAGACAGTTTTGGCCCAAGTTTCTAAGTTGGTTTTCAGACTTGTTGCGCATTCATGTGTTTGACGTGCACAGGTAGTTTAGTTAATAGTTAATCAGTGTCCTCTATCACTAGGCTGTGAGCAACAAGTAAACAAATGAACTACTGTTAAGACTAAAACAGAAATAACTAATGACTTGAATAAGGTTGTCAGATTTAATTGTTCATTGAGTGACTTTTCTGGTGGAGGATCTATCAAATGCTTTTCTTTATGGAGAGTATGGCCAAATGAAACCAAGTTACAGGTCAGATCTGTGGAGAAGCAACCCCACTCAGAGTAAGAAAGTCTGTTTTTCACCTGGAGTTGTGTTTTGTTTCATTCACACATTTTTGAGTAACCCTTCCTTATTAGTCTGCCTACATCTCTAAAGCTCAAAATGCTCCAGCTTGTGATGTCATGAAGTGATAGGTAACAGCTCCTTTTACCTTTAGTGCAATAAAGCTTGGCAGTTCCAGAGCTGAAAGGATCTAAATGATTATAGTGAATGTCAATGGGAAAAAAAATCACAGTTTAGCACTTCCTCACACATCACAAGTGCTTTCTTTTTGAGAGAAAAACATATCTTAAATATGCAGGGTTTGTACGTTAAACATATGAATGAAACAAAACACAACTCCAGGTATGTTTGTGATGAGAAAACGACATTATAATAAAGATCAGAAAATGGCCTGGTATAGCCCCTTTAATCCTTACATATTACCTTGTATTTTAACCTCATAGATACAGTTGTTCTCTGCTGGCCTCAGAACATGCACATGCATCAGATCACTTTGCTGGTTTCCCATTTTGTTTTGGGCAACACAGTAAAAAGCAGAGTCGGTCTGAGCTAATCCGCAGTCCAGCCGTAGATCACGTGACTGGGAGACATTGGAGAGGTTTGGGTGAGTTTGTTGATACCACACATAGGCTACATTTGTGCCTCTGTTTGAACCACAGCGCACAGTAATGGCCTCCCCCCAACACGAAGGCCGACCAACCCCAGAAGAGACCGCCCAGAGTGTAGGTCTGGAAACAGGAACTGAAACAAAGAAGAAAAGATAAATACAAGTGCTGCACCTGCCGATTTTTTCTACTGTTCTAAATGTATATGTTTTGTAATATAAAATGAAATAAAATAAAAATAAATCGTATATTGAGATTTGTTTAGAAGTGGATAGTACTCAGTTACATTTTGAGTAACATTTTAATGAAACTGAAAATTGAAATTGTACTTTTCAGAATAAGTGTACTTTTACTCCTACTTGAGCAATACTTTTATTGAGGTATCACTATTACTTGAGTAAAATCTTTGGTTACTCTTCTCACTGTGAGTAAGTCTAAAACAAAAAGCTTTAAGTTGACAAAAGCTTTAAGTTGATAGTATGAAATTATTTGAACATTTCTGTTTCTTTCACCATTCCTTCAGATATTAAGTTTGTCTCATTTTTGTGTCAAACCTGAAAACATCAGATTTTTTGATTGTTAAAGGTCCTACAGTACATTACACAAAATGGACTCTTTTGAGCTTTTAGCCATGTTATAATCTTGTTACTTCCTCAAAAACATATCCACAGTTTTGTTTTGTTCCATTCACACATGTTTGAGTAACCCTTTATTTTTAGTCTGTCTGCATGACCCAAGCTCAGAATACTTTGTTTCACCTTGTGATGTCATGTAGTGGTAGTTTTCAAATTAACAAATCCCTTTTAACTTTACTTCAGTCAAGATTAGCAATTCCAGAGCTGATATCCTCCAAATGATACCAGTGAAGGACTGTTTTCAGTTTGAGAGAAGAACTCAGCTTAAATATGCAGGGTTTGTGTGTTAAACATGTGTGAATGAAACAAAACACAACTCCAGGTCTGTTTGTGATGAGGAAACAACATTATAACATAGATCAGAAAAGAGAATAATATGGACAATAAAGTTTGAAAATATGGTGACTGGAAGCTTTTAGTTGTAGAGAAAATTCACTGATAGTATATTATTGATAAACAAATATATGATTATTTTCCGCAGTCTGAAATGCTTCAAGCTTTTAGCACAGCAGGAAGTTTAAATGTCATTGGTTGGTGTGTGAGAATCAAAATGGAAAATGTGAGTGACAGGTTGCTGCTGTAAGGTGTGACTTTATTAGACTAGTAGCGACATCTGGTGTTTAAAAATAAAATTGCAAAAGGCAGATTTTCATTTGTATTGATATTATTTTTGTTAATTGTTGAAAAATGGCTACATGACATTTTTGAACTATATTCTTTACCCAGATTACAAAAGAACAATTTCACCAAAATATCATATCTTCAAGAAGAAGAGATCATATGTTAATCAGAGTGATGATTTTTGTGAAAAGAACAGTGTTGGGAGTAACGCGTTATAAAAGTAACGAATTACAGTAATGCATTACTTTTTGCTGTAACGCAGTAATGTAAGGCATTACAGGGGGAAAAATAGTAATATTTTATTCGGTACAAATGTGAGTAACGCGCGTTACAATGTTTTTTTAACCTGGATTGAAGTGGTGGGTTTTTCTTCATACAAATTCGCTAAAATCACCTCGATATCAGCAGCGGTGAAACACCGGAGATGCGCCCTCATAGACCTTCAGGTAACCGCGGGCGAAAGGACTGACAAAGAACTCCACGCTGTTTAGACCTGGTTTAGACCTGGTCAGTTCAGCCTGGTTTAGACCTGGGTCAGTTAGACCTGGTTTAGACCTGGTCAGTTCTGGTTTAGACCTGGTTTAGACCTGGTCTCCTATCGCCTGGTTTACGCTCGTCCTCCCTCTATCGCAGTTCACTTTTCGCGGTCTCGCTGTTTCACAGATTTTTAATTTTTTTTTTTTTTTTTTTTTTTTTTTTTTTTTGTGCAATTTTGCATGCCCCCTTTTTTTTTTTTTTTTTTACATTGTATGAACACGTGTTGTGTTCCTCCCGCTGCGTCCTGACTGGCCAAGGGACTCCTGTCTCCTGTCAGTACAGTACAGAATGTGTTCAGCTGCCAAATTTAAATACATGTTCAATCTCTAGCAGTGTGATTCTGAAGTGCTGTACGGTTGCAAGTTTTCTCCCCGACGAAACCCACAACGTCGACGAAACGTTCTGCACCGACAAAGGCTCCTGCGCTCGCACCCAAAAGGCAGAGGAAGATGCAAACCATCACACAAAAAGTTGGACTTCTGGACACGCTGAAGGAAGGTAGAAGTTACGCGCTGTAACAGACTCTTGCACCGGCTCGGGTACCTGCAAATAGTTGCTGAAATCAGGGCCGCGAGCCCGAACAGCAGGGTCCATAAAGAGCGATCAGGTGACAGCCGCTCTTACCTCCGTGAGGTGCGGAGCAGAGCCGCTCCTTTCTCCTGCGGTCACCTTCGAGCCCGTCCCTACAGTGAGTCCTGTTTTAGTCCTAGTTCAGTTCTGGTTTAGTCCTGGTTCAGCTCTGGTTTAGTCCTGGTTTAGACCTGGTTTAGTCCTGGTTCAGTCCATATACAGTGCAAAAGATATTTTGGTGAGAGTAACTTAAAGTAATGCAATAGTAGTGTAATGCCTTACATTTTAAATGTAAAAGTAATATTGTAATGTAACGAATTACTTTGAAATGACAGTAATAGGTAATAAATAACGCATTACAGTTTCAAAGTAACTTGCCCAACAGTGGAAAAGAAAGATCTCAGTTTCACGATTATTCACAATTATTGACAGTAAACGCAAGTGAAAAGTATTGAATCATACCTTCAGTGACAACAACCTCAATTGGAGTCATTATGTCTGCGTAGATTTTGTCAATGCCGACCCAATAGGTCCCAGAATCTTCAAAGCGGAGTCCCGTCATTTTAACAAAGAGCCCTCGTCTTCCAGCGTCTATCACACTCCATCTTTGTTTGGCTCTGAGTTCAGAATCTGCCACAATTTCACAGGAATGATGAGAGCTTCCTCTGCACCAGTACTTTTTGCTGTATAGAAATTTGTTTGTGTTGTACACGCAGGAGAGGATAAATTCACCCCCAACATCTGCTGTGACCTGGCTCCTGTCACAGTTCAGCTGGAGACTCACTGCAACACAAAGGATTATAGGGACTTTTGTTAACTGTAGTTATCGTAGGTAAAATTCTCCAAAAAAGGTAGACTTGACCAAGCCTAGCTCAATAGTTTGGAGATGATCCCAAGTGTTAAATCACTCCTGACAGGTTGCCCCAGCAACATGAAATGATGGGTCAAATGAAGAGGACAAATTTAAGTATAGGGACAATAAAGTGTACTTTATGTACAGTGTAACTTTTTTGCCAAAAGACAGATTAAAATATAATAATGTTTGTTCATTTATTTGTTTATGTATTTGAGACAGGGACAGCACATTAACCTTAACAGAAGAGATGTATTGTAAACAGTTGTAGCACCAGTGCTAATTTCCACCTGTAGTCCCTGGGCAGGTTCATTGGTTGATTGTATTTAACTGACCTTGGCTATCAACTGTTTCAGTCATCATGGATATCACAGAAAAAAACATGAGTCCTTACTGTGAGCTGTCTTGCTTTCACAAACCTGACTTTTATTTGGCCAAGAGGAGGGTCTCCTCCTGTTTGTAGTCTTGTTCTTTTGGCTGTAATCTTCCACAGTATGGCATAAAATGCATCTCCATCTAGAATTTGGGGTTTAACTTTTCATTTCCATGGAATTGTGCAAGTGAATTACCACCTCCAGAAATGTATGTACTACTTTAACATTTTCTAGTATAAAGCAAATGATTACGCGAAATATAAAACTAGGTAAGGTCATTTATAACAGATATTCCGTACTGTAAAGCACTAGGGTGGGAGTTTCAGAACCCAGTGAGAACTGAAAAGGAAGAGCGTCAAAACATATTCACTCTAAAAACATTTTTCCAGACAGCAGAGCAAGGACACATAAACCTGGGATTCCTGCAGTACTCATCTATCATATTTGAGGGTATTCCAATATCAATCATCACATGGTCTTTTCTCAATTCAACAGAAATGTAAATATGAAGAGACCGTCAAACTGCGCAGAAAACACCCCTGTTTGAAAGATCTTACAAATTGGTTTCCATTTTTACTATTTAACTGTAAAGCACTGTGAGTTTTGATTGTAAACAATATAATCATTGCTCATAATGCATATTATCAAAATTGTTCTATATAGTCAAAACACACAATCAAAATTATACTAGATTTCAGCACATAAGAGAAATTGCTTGAATAGGCAGTCTAAATAAAAAAAAAAACATTAAAATAAATAAATAAAAATAGAATTGTATGAAAAAATGATCAATGTTAAAGGTGCATTGTGTAAGTTTTCTGGTGGAGGGCCATCTTCATGTGGCTTGCTTTGTCCAAATTGTTTCACAGTATGGTATTAAACCTTTCTACCATCATGGAGACCAAACCAGACCAAGTTACAGGTCAGATCTGCGCAGAGGCAACCCCGCTCACAAGCAGAATGCCTGTTTTTCTAGGTATTTTTGAACTATAAAACCACCTGTAATTGAATAAATGTAAGGCACAGTATCCGTTTAATGTCATACTGTGGAACATTTGAAACAGAACAATGACATATCCCTAGAAACAAGAAGGTGACGGACCCCAAAACATAAAGTTACACAATGCACCTTTAAGTTAATAACTCCGACAATGTATTAAACTTTCAAATTAGACAAATCATAATTAAAAAGCACTCACCATGGATGAGACAGAGCACACAGAGGAGCTTCATTTTGTTTTACAAGAATCTCTCACCTAACTTATCCAACTCTGAAGCTGCAGATGCGTGGACAGCTACCCATGCTTCCTGTTGCTTTAACTTTAGCTCAAACGCATAAACACATAAACCACAAGTACTTCACAGAAAAAGCAATTGTTTCCTTTAAAATCACCCATCTTCTGTGTCCTTTTCTACCTGCTATAGAGCTGAATACCAGGGTACCAAATCACAATACAACAGTAAGAAACCAAAGCGTTGCATGATTTCAATCATAAGACTTGCAATATTATTATGTTCTAAAATTCTGTTTCAGTTCACACATGTCCAGAACTATTTACATTTGACTGAAGACTGAATTATAATATCATGAATCAATATTATAAGATTTCCATGGAGATGAGTTACATAGTGCAACTTTAAAGGTGCACATTATGAGTCTTCAAGAGTCTGCTTTCTTCTATGGATATGTCATTGCTCTGCCTGAAATGTTCCACGGTATGACATTAAACAGCTCTCTTTTACTTTTATTCAGTTACATAGTTTTATAGCTTAAAATACCTATAAAAACCTTTTTTTTAAAAAGGCATTCTCACTGTGAGTGGGGTTGCCTCTACACAGATCTGACTTGGTAATTTGGTCTGGTTTGGTCTGAAGACAGAAAGGTTTAATGCCATTGCCATACTGTGAAACATTCTAGACAAACATTGCCATGGAGAAAAGCATTTGATGGAGCCTCCACCATAAAAGTTACACAATGTGCCTTTAAAGAGAATATTTTATTATCTAAAAAACTGCCATTGGTTACTGAATTGATTCTTTCAACCTTCAACCTAAAATTGTGTACATGAGGATATGGCCAATGTCTGTCACCTGCAGAATTTCCACTAGAGGTAGCCAAATGGAGCTTTTGACACTATTGTCATCTGTGTGTTAAAGGAAGTGTACGTAGCCCACACTCTGACTGCTTTAAAGAAGGCACTACAATCACAACTGAATCTCCATGGGTTCCCAGTGCCTTAACCTGCATATAGATGACATATATCATTTTTTGTCATTGTCAGTAAATGGGCATGTCTCATGTGAAAGCTCTGACCCTGATCAGCACTGATTCATGGCTGGGTGCTGGTGTTAGGGTTTAGAGAGATGCATTTAAATTTAAACCAACTGGATTTCAGCATTGAAACTGGCAGCCCAAAATGAGAGAGTGATCAACCGTGAGGCTCATGCTTATTCTAGGTAAGGGGGCTAGGTAAGGTACTAAGCTACAATACCCTAGTAGCTTACCATCAATGAGTGTGGAGTGAATAAATAATGAACTATAAAGCTCTTTGGGTTTCTTGAAAGGTGCTATATAAATGCATTGATTCATTAATTAATTAAAATGCAGGGTTTAAAAATGTTGTGTAACCATTTACAACAATAAAAACAAGTAACGACAATCCACTGTTCACTATGATGATATGCCACCATTCTGCATTTTTAACAGGAAGTCACGAGTCCAGTTTAGTCCAATTACTGAGACGTTCTAGATAAATTTTTCGGTTTACACAACATCAGCAAAATGTAAATGAATAATCTCACATCTGGGGACATAGGTTAGGTTTGGGAAATTTACAGTCATATTCTTACATACAGTTCATTTAATGTCTAAGACTTCAATTGAGGCTCATGACAACAACACTGAAAGAAAAGTAGAGTGCAAAAGTTATGGATGGATGGATGGATGTGTAAGGACTATTCTGATCTGTGTCATCATGTTGTTCCTCTGTTCCACCTTGTGATGTCATATTGTAACACAGGAAGTGCTCTATTGTGTTTTTAAACTCCATACATCTTCAGTACATCACATGACAAAGATGAAACAGAGCATTTTGAGCTTTGGAGATGTAAACAGAATAATAATAAAGGATTACTCTAACATGTATGAACAAAACACAACTCCAGGTCTGTTTTTGATGAGGTAACAACATTATAACATGTCTTAAAGCTCACAAGAGTCAATTTTGCATAATATTGGACCTATAATCAGTAATTTCTAATCGTCAGTGATCAACTTGGATCTTTTAAATAGAGAGGTTCAAGTCTGTACTGCTGAGGTTCAGGAAATTAATGTCTATTTTTATTTTATCCTGATAAGACTTGAATTGAACACATGGTTATATGTGATTCAATTTTTGTCATGTTACCAAGCCCTACAAAAGAGCTTCCTGTTCTAGGAATGAAGAAATAGAAATAATAATAATCCACATCAGGAAATACATTTGTTTTTGTTTTGTTTTTGTTGCAACATAAACCAACAGCTGATCCGCCCTCGGTGTGTCATCCACCTGTAGTAACCATAATAATGTGTAATATTATATGCATCTGGTACAAATCTCCCAGTCACGTTACCTGCTATTTAAAAATTGGTTCCTTTCAGCTTCAGACCATGTTATAATATTGTTACCTCATTAAAAACATACCTGGAGTTTTGTTTCATTCACACATTTGAGTAATTCATACATTTAAGTAATCCTTTATTATTAGGCAAGGCAAGTTTATTTGTATAGCACAATTCGTACACAAAGTAATTCAAAGTGCTTTACAGAATAAGAAATACATTAAAATCATAATTAAAAACAAATCAAAACATAAATAATCATGAAGATTAAAATTAAAAAAGAGAGACATAAATTGGAGAGAAGAGAGCGGAATGAAAACCTTTCAGTTATATGCACAGTTAAACAGAAATGTTTTGAGTCTGGATTTAAACAGCGTCACAGAAGAGTCTGTCTCACATGTTCAGGAAGACTGTTCCAGGTTTTAGCTGCATGAACCTGAAACGCTGACTCCCCTTGTTTAGTTCTGACTCTGGGCACCAGCAGGAGGCCGGTCCCTGAGGTCCTCAGAGTGCGAGATGGTTCATATGACACTAACATGTCACAGATGTACTTTGGTGCTCGGCCATGGAGAGACTTGTACACAAGCAGAGCTGCTTTAAAGTCTATTCTCTGAGCCACAGGAAGCCAGTGCAGAGACCTGAGCACAGGACTTATGTGCTCGTACTTCCTAGTTCGAGTAAGGACCCGAGCTGCAGCGTTCTGGATGTTCTGCAGCGTCTCACAGCTCGTTTGGAGAGACCAGTGAGCAGACCATTACAGTAGTCTAACCTACTGGAGACAAACGCATGGATGAGTTTCTCCAAGTCTGCTTTAGACAGTAAACCTTTGATTTTTGCTATGTTTTTTAGATGGTAAAAGGCTGCAGATGTTATTGATTTGATGTGGCTGTTAAAGTTCAAGTCTGAGTCCATTATTACCCCTAGATTTCTTGCCTGATTTGAAGGTTTTAGAGAGAGAGACTGGAGGTGACTGCTGACACTGTCCCTTTGTTTCTGTGGACCAAACACTATGACTTCTGTCTTGTCTGAGTTTATTAGTCTGTCTACATCTCCAAAGCTCAAAATGCTCAGTTCCACCTTGTGATGTCATGAAGCGGTAGCCTGATTCATCAGCCGGTTTCACTTCGTAGAAACCGTCTGACCTCACAGTGTTAGAATTTGTTTGCTCAACGGTAAGCAGGTACTTAAGCTTTTCCCAAATCTCATAGGAAAAAGGGCAATTATGTCTTTCCCCTTGATGATATTCACCAAACATTCTCTTTATTCCGTCTTTAAATCCTCTATCTCGACATTGATTGGCTGGTATCCGAACTTGCACTTCTGGGGTTTTTGCAAACCGTCTAGTGTATTCTGATTCCTGACCTAGCTGCTGGAGAGATATTAAATTGAGTGGAGGCACTAGGTGGCACCAGCGTGGCTAATGAAGTGGTAGATTTCAAGTTAAAAGCTACCGTTCACCTTTTAATTCAATTCCAGGGTTGAAATAATCCAAATGATTCAAGTGAAGGTCTATGGAGTTTAAAAACACAATGGAGCACTTCCAGTATTACCACATTTTGGCCCCGGATAAGAGGAAGAAAATGGATGGACAGTATTACCACATGACATGACAAGGTGATAGAGTGTTTTCTGTTTGAGAGAAGAATGCAGCCTAAATATGCAGGGTTTGTGTTAAACATTTGTGAATGAAACAAAACACAACTCCAGGTGTGTTTGTGATGAAGAAACATTATAACATAGATCAGAAAGTAGCATAATATGGGCCTTCTAAGTCTTTTAATAGTTATTCATCTTGATTTTGATTGCATGCTCTTATTCTCTTGAACTTTGCGTTGCAACACTCTAATTTCTTCAGGATAAATAAAGGTTTATCTTTTCTTACATAACAATACAGCTTGTTGACTCTGCCTTTTTAGTTAAAGGTGCATTGTGTAACTTTTCTGTTGGGGGTCTGTCACCTGCTTGTTTCTATGGATATGTCATTGGTCTGCCTGGAATGTTCCAGAGTATAACATCAAACAGTTATCTTACATTTCTTCAATTACAGGTGGTTATAACTCAAAAATATCCAGAAAAAACAGACATTCTGATTATGAGCAGGGTCGCCTTTGCACAGATCTGACCTGTAACTTGGTCTAGTTTTGTCTCCATGAAGATAGAAAGGTTTAATGCCATACTGTGAAACTTTCCAGACAAAGCAGTAACATCTCCATGGAGAAAAGCATTTGAGAGACCCTCCACCAGAAAAGTTACACAGTGCACATTTAATAGTTACATGAGCTTGTGTAAAACAAACATTCACACACTTCAAATCCCTTCAGAATCGTTTAAAAAACCTTTCAGTGAACCTTGGGAACTGTGTCTGTATTATGGACACTCCCTCAGTGTGCTTCTGTCCCTGCCCTCCTCTGCTCCACTCCTCTGAATGTCGTCCAACAAGATCAACTGCCTGTGTCTTCTCTCCTTCTCACTCTGAGCCGAATGAGGCTTGTTTAAAGATATTTCAGGCAGTCGAGCTTAATTACAAGACACAGTGGTCTGAAAATGCACTACACATTAAATGATGCGGTGCTCAAGTTAAGGAGAAATACTTTGAATTTCTGCAGTAAGGAGGTGTTTTTATTAGCTTAACCACATAAAGATTACTCATTTGTTTTTAAATGTAAAATACTTCAGCTTGGGTCATTGTTTTAATATGTACTATGCCTCAAAATTAGCAGAAGCATTAGCATGTTGTCAGTGACATCCACCCATATTTCTCTGTTCACTGCTTTGTCTTTTAATATTTATTTATTTTAATGTGAATTGGCAAAACCTCATAGAGAAAAAAAAAGTAGTGATGCTAACATTGTCATTGCCGTGCACTGTTGAGCACAGAGCGTATTAAGAAGATCATGTTTTGGCACTTTGCCACTGAATTATTCTTTGTTTTAATTTCATTTTGCAGAGTTGGAGGTCTGGGGTTGGTTGCATGATTATTTTATGGATCCTGGCCTGAAAACCTTGGGAACACTTGTATGTGATCAACTTTACAAAATCAAACTTTCAACTTTCAAACCAAGGTTTACTTGTTTTGGAGAGTACACTGAATTTAAATTATTTACTTATTACCCTATTTTTTGACTCTTTATCAAAAATTATCCATTCACCGTCATTCACAAGAGATCAAAATACTCTCCTCCAGTTGATGTCATGCACTGGCGCCCTCAATTTTAGAGCTTCCACTACAGAGAGTGTATACTTTTAGCTATTGTTATTAACCTTATTTAATCTGCTTTGCACACTCCGCTGGCAACACTGGTTGACTGGTTTTCCATAAATTATTTAAAGATGCGCTACTTATCTACAAGCTCAATCATTTGTCAATGAAGCCTTGTCCAGTATGGCATTACATTTTTCCTACACTGAAAAAAAAAGGTTGCTGGATTTGCGTAAAAAAGTTATGGACAGCGGTTGCACGCAATAAAATTATGTTTAGGCTTTGAAACTTTTTTCGAACCCCTCTACACATATTTATCTCAGAACATGAACATCACTTTTTCATGTTGATGAAATTTGAACAAATCATGCTGAATATGTATATTCATCTTATGTTACCTTATCATGAAATGTATAAGTATGTATAATTTAATTTAATTGATCTAATTCTGTAAAAGAATACAAAAACAGTCTTTAGTTTTCCACAGATCTGTATTGTCTTAAACAGAATCAAACACAAAGAGAGCACAGGGACAGAGACACACAGTTTGGAGCTGGACAGTGTGATGATTTATTCCAGTGAAGAAGCTCTGGTCTCTGCCTGTGGACACAGGAATAACACATGATGATCACATTCTGATGATCTACTCTGTTCTACATGTTTAAATACACTTATAGCAATTATTACTACAATAACGGACCAGAACAGAATCACAAGAACATTAGAACTGTATTTGCAGAAACAAAACTCACCATGTGCTGCTTTTCTTCCTCTAAACGCAGTAACAGGGAGGGCATCTGGTATAAAGTCCTCCTAATGCCACATCACCCTGTAGAAGCACGATAACTGTTTCAATAGGAAGTTCATTTTTAAAATTTTTAAAATAATTTTAGTTGGTTTACTTACTTTGTTCATCTGTGCTCTGTGTTTTGTTGGTTCTCAAACATCTTCCTTTTTTCTGAAACATCAACTATAACATTCATGAACTTCCCCACAGCTCCAGCAGAGCTCTGGACGTCACTCTTTGTTTGTAGACGACTCTGGAACAAACACATTCAAATCTTAGTACAACTGTCACACTCTTGTAGATGGACAGTCAAAGACAATTTGTTTCAAGGAGTCCTTACATTAACTCTAATTTCAAATAAAACACCACAAACATGTTTTAACAATGACATCATTCTAGGCCGGAGAAGCACATAATAAAATCATAATAATCCTCCTGCTCCACACTGTGTGTAATCTGCTCCTGTAACTGTCCTGTGTCCTGTTACATTTGAATTTTCCCTCCAAAGGTTTTGGGGAGGAGAATTCCAGAGGGAGGAGCCTCACCAGAAATTATAATAAAGTCATGTTTCCTCAACCTGATTAAAACATGCAGGTCTCACATCGGCCACAATCAAGCGACCTTTGTAAGATTTAAACATGCTTGACAGAGAAACGTAAAAAAGTGATGTTATTGTTGTCAAATTTGTTTTTGCAATTTGAGCAACCCCTCTCGGACCGTTTTTTCAGTGTAACTTCATAATGAAAAGCACTTGGTGCCACAGGACCAAGTTACAGTTCAGACCTGTGGAGAGGCAAGCCTGTTCACAGTAAAAATATAATGCAATGTTTTTCACTGTATTTTTGAGCAATAAAAAAATACCTGTAAATGAATAAGTGCAAGATAGAGCAGTCTATTGCCATACTGCAAAACAAAGCAACAACACTTCAATGGAGACCAAACTGGAAACCAAACAGACAAGCAGGTGACTAACACTTAACCTGAAAAGTTTAATAGTGCACCATCAGATAAAACATGAAACACAGAAGCTGCTCTCCAGACATATATTAAAGGGCCCATATTTATTTTCCAATCTATGTTATAATGTTGTTTCCTCATCACAAACACACCTGGAGTTGTGTTTTGTTTCTGTCACACATGTTTAAAACATAAACCCCACAGTTTTGAGTTCTTCTCGCAAACAGAAAACACTCTGTTCCACCTTGGGTGTCATGAAGGAATACAGGATGTGCTGCACTGTGTTTTTAAACTCCATACACCATCACTAGAATCATCTGGATGATCTAAATCCTTTAATTGCTAATCTCTGAAGAGCATTTTGAGCTTTGCAGATGTAAACAGACTAATAATAAAGAGTTACTCAAACACGTGTGCATGAAACATAACACAGCTCCAGGTATGTTTTTGAGGAGATAACAAGATTCTAACATGACTTAATGCTCACAGGAGTCAACTTTGCGCAATATAGGATCTTTAACTTGCTTAGATATTGCATAATATTATGAAATCCCGCCCAGTCTTTTGAAGGGTGTTTCCCCAGTTCCTTGTGACAGTGCAGAGTGCCTTTAGGACCCAGAGACACTTGTGGGGGGGCGTGGCATTATTTTTTATCTGACCACAAAACCTGTTAGCTTACTATTACTTCCTCTCAAACAGTCAGTGCATTCTTTCACACCAGCGTCTTGGTGTCATTGTAGCTACAGCAAGAAGATCTATGCAACAGCTACTGAAATATCAATCGAATATACTTCATTTTGTATGTTTTTCTTTGATTTCCTGGATTTTAACCAATGATCAAGCTTGGGTATTTGATTGACATGCGTGTTAAAAGTACTACATGACAACTTGACAGCAGTAGGCTAGCCATGGTGGAGCAAGCTTGGGTATTGAGGAGTTTACTGGAGGAGTTGCAGACAGAGGAGGATGAGGACCAGGAAGCACCCAATGGGATCTTTGCACAATTTACTGTAAGTATTTTTTAAAATGCAAATGTATTTCGAAAAGTTACAAAAATAAGTCTTATAGGTCAAAGCGTGTGTGAACTGGCTGAATGGGGAAGTGGCAGTGCTGCAGTCTTGACATGTCTGTTCTTCCTCTTTGCATTAAATAGCAGCAAATGAAGGGGTCTATAGTAACAGTGAGATAACTTATAGCTGTGCTCCTATAGTGTGTTTGCATACTAAGGATGTAGGCTGAAGAGATGTTGTAGTTTTCATGTCAAATAATATAAAAAGAGACACTACAAAAATGTCAACTTAAGAATCAAAACAATCTTAACGATCAAAACTGTGTCTCAGTAAGCTTTTCATTTGTCCATGAGTTTCTATAGAGTTTATTTAGTCTAATTAAGTGTCATTAAAGGGCCCATATTAGGCTGTTTTCTGATCTCTGTTATAATTTTCCTCATCAAAAACAGACCTGGAGTTGTGGGGTTTTTTTCATTCACATATGTTTAACACACAAACATTGCATATTTATGCCGAGTTCTTCTCTCACTGGGATGATTTCAGCCCTGAATTGCCAATGTCTACTAAACAAAAAGTAAAAGGTAGCTGAAAAGTACCACTACATAACATCACAGTGGAACAGAGTATTTTGAGCTTTGGAGATGTAGACAGAAAAATAACAAAGCATATGTGAAAGAAATACGCAACTCCAGGTATGTTTTTGATGAGGAAAGAACATTATAACAGAGATCAGAAAACAGTACTTTAATTACACTTAATTAGACTAAACAAACTCTATAGAAACTCATGGACAAATGAAAAGTTTATTGAGACACAGTTTTGACCAGTGATTCTTAAGTTGGCATTTTTGTAGTGTCCCTTTTTATATTATTTAACATGAAAAATACAACATCACTTCAGCCTACATCTTCAGTATGCAAAGCATAACAACATTATAACATGGCTTAAAGCTCACAAGTCAATTTTGCATAATATAGGACCTTTAAGTATACAAAATCTAAGTCCACATCATTATAATCTCCAGCTTGTCACTATAACAATAATGAAAGATAGTGTTAAGTCATAGCTCTCCACCCATATGAAGGCAACAACAGTGGAATCCATGAGTTTCACAATGATGACTAATTAGGACCATTTCAGTAGTGATTAATATAGTATTTCAAAACAAAATATTATATATTTTCAATGGGAAAAAGTTCTCAAACTGTTGTCTATAACAGAAATCAGAATTCATATCTGGAAGATCTGAAATAGTATGACTTATTAATCTGACTATAATTGCAAGACCATGTTAAAATATGGAAACGATGTGACCATGTGATGAGAACAAATTTGAAATATAGGCCCAGTGAACTCAAATTAAAATAATCACTTGAGTCATTTTAATAGTGACTAAAAAAGTGACTGCAGTGTTGTTAACGTTAGATGACATTATCTGTGGTGTGTGATGTTGTCATGGTGACAAGAGACCTTCAAGACTTCTCGATATGACACTCTCCCTCCATCTTGACCACTCCGGAGGAAGGGGTCTGTTGCATCACTTCCTGTTTGAACAAAACACGCTCTGTGGTGTGAAGGCAACAGTTTCGTCGTCTAATTTATCCGAGTCTCTGAACAAACGACCAGTGTCTGAAATACAGCTGTAAATGCAAATACGTTATGTTCAGTTCATTGCTGGGTAATGGAAATCCTCTGTCTTCTCTGATGGTGAATGAGTCAGGGAGGCTTTCCAGTCACACAGAACAACTGAATCATAGAAAAGCAATGTTAGATTTTTTTGGTTCCATAAACATAATTTGAGTTGACAAGTGAAGTTGGTAATCATTCACTCTCCAACTAGCGAGTGCATTGCTCAACTTTTTTGGTGAAGGATCCGTCATCTGCTTGTCTCCCTGGAGTCGTCACTGTTTTGCTTGGAATGTTCCATGGTATGACATCTATATATCATTTACGCATTACGAGTGTTTCTATTGTTCAAATTCTTTATGTGAATAGGGTTGCCTCTCCACAGATCTGGCCTGTAATGTAGCCTATTGTTGTCTCCCTTGAGATAGATACGTTCAGTCTCTATCGTGGAACATTCTAGACAAAGTGATAACATCTACATGAAGACAAGCAGGAGATGGACCCTCCACCAGAAAAGTTGCACAATGTACCTTTAGTAGATACAAATAAATCGAGTACAGCCTCTTTAAGTGGACAGTATGAGTATTAAATAAAAATGTATTAAAATGAGATCGCTGTGTGCTGTCTGCATCAACTTAATATGTAGGAAATAAAGGGTGGTGTGCTGTTGGCATGCTGGTTGTTAGAATTACTACAATGACAAAACGCCACTCTGGCCTCTGAAAGCTGTGAAAAGAGCTTACAAGCACATTGCAATGAATAATTATAATGCTTGCAATGTGTTAAGAAAGTTAAAAACTGATCAGAACGAGTTTGCTTTTTTCACGTTTTTAAGAATGTGATGATGTGTCAGACCCAGAAACATTAAAGGCTGGGTCAAACTCTGAGTTTTTATTACCCTATGGGCCAGGAATCAATAAGGAATACCATAAGATTAAAAGAGAACAGTCAATCTAAAAATAAAGTGTTGAATTTATGTGTATTAAAGTAGTCACAATAGAATGGAGACATGAATTTGGACAGTCCTCCCAATTTTTTTAATTTTTAGTGCCAAATCAAATCATATAAATCTCCAGCAGAGGCCGATATTTTGTTGCTGCCTAAATGTGCATGAAAACTAAAGCTTAATGTAAACACTTAAGTCTAAAGAAGGTACTGTAAAAATGTCACTACACTGGTCTCTACACAGTCGCTAGTAAAACAAGTTTGTGGATGAGTTGGTATTGAATTTTGGGGAAAAAAATGACCAAAATCGGTACTACATATCGGCCTAAAAATAATCAGCATAGAGGTCATGGGTTCGTCTGTATTCTAAACAATCGATATCGCCATCCACCGTGAAAAAACACATAGGCCAATCTCTACACCGCATATTTCGTTTAAGTAAAACATTTGACCCTCCATACCACCACACATAGCTTACTCAGCGGCAACAACTTATGCCAAACACAATAATACCAAAACAGGAAAAGTCAGCTTAATCAGATCTACTCTTGCTGACAAATCATAAGGGTTGGGTGCCCAGCGTGTGAAATTATGGTTTATATGTGAAAACTGACCTGTGTCTTCCAGAGGCTGAGAAACCAGTCCATGAAGTACCGCAGTGAGAGGACCTTCACCACTAAGTCAGCAGAGAAGTCGGACAACATCAAGAAAAACAGATACAAAGATATTATACCCTGTAAGACACATATACACATCTGTATATTGTCAATAATGATCATAAACCTAACATAAAAGTGTGGGTTCTAGGGCTGCACAATTTGAGGAAAATATATATTTGTTCACAAACCTGAACAAACTGTTCAGTTTTGTCATAACAATATGTTTCAATAATGCTCAGTAAGCACTATATTTCTGTATTCCAATTCACTGTACTGATAGTTTGGAGCTGATGTCATCTGCAGTCCCTGAGGATCTGATGCTAACTATAAGCACCACTCCATCTGAGGCTTTGTTGGATTTTCATCTGAGCTTAATTTAACACAATCTGACCAGGAAGAGCTGGTTGAAACTAAAACAGGTTGAGCTGATTTGTCTGATGTTCAACAAGTCTCTCACTCATAACATTACAGTCACAAGAAAAAACAGTTTTTCAGTTGGTCACTCTCACCTCTCACCTAAACAGGATCATGAATGCTCGTACTGATCAAAGGCTTTGCAAATATGATGTTTAAATCCATTTTGTATTGACATTGTGAGAATTGTCTCACCATGGTAACTGCTGAACAATATACCATAGTTTAGAGATACATGTAGAACACCCCCAGTGTGCAAAGTATCAATGGAGACAAGCAGGCGGGTGGCAAGCATGTGCTTGCCTTGTTCCACAGTATGGCATTAAACTTTTTTTTGCAGTTTTGCAGGTAACAAATTACAGGTGATTTTAGTGCTATAAAAATACCTTGAACGCTCTTAATTGTGAGCCATCACTTCATTCCATAGAGCCATTCTTTCCATAGATCCATTAGATACCTGTAACTTGGCCTGTTGGCATCTTGTCTTCATTAATACTATACTATAATGCTATATAACATTCCAGACAAAGCAATAAGATTTCAGTAAAGATAAGCAATCTGCCAAAAAATATGTAGTGCACCTCTAACTAGTCAAACTGTAGATTTCATGGTATATATATATATGTCGTGCAGCCCTGTGTGGAACCATAATTATTACTTTTGATACTTACGTATGTCTTTGTTTGCAGTTGACCACAGCAGAGTGAAGCTAACTTTCACCACATCCAAAAATGACACTGACTACATCAATGCTAATTTCATCAAGGTTAGCTGAGGTTACTAGCATGCTAACAACATAATATTAAACTGCAGTATTTAACCTACTTAGCCAACCTGTTTTTGTGATTGCAGGGAGTGTCAGGCTCCAGGGCGTACATAGCCACTCAGGGCCCACTGCCTCACACTGTACTCGACTTTCTCAGGATGCTGTGGGAATACAACATCAAGGTTTGTCATTATTCTACTATGTTAAACAAAATAATATCACACATTTCCCACATATATATTTTAATCATATTAGCTTTCCCTGCTATTTATTAAGTTAAATTAGAAACTGCCCTTAATGTGTGACTTCTCACCTGCTTGTTACCAAACTACAGTACAACAGTTGCACTATGCTACTTTTCTTCCTCCAGCTTGTCTCCATGGAGATGTTATTGCTTTGCCTTGAATGTTCCATAGTATGGTATTAAACATATATATTTTACATGTATTCAACTCTATGTGTTTTAGTGCATACAAATACCTTGTAAAACTTGATCTGGTAGTGCTAACTGCTATGACCAGTCTAATGTCATACTGTGGAACTTTCTAAGCAAAGCAATAGCATCTCTTTGGAGACAAGCAAGTTGCAGATCCTCCACCAGAAAAGTTGCATCATGCACATTTAATACAGACTTCTATACTCACCTTCCCTAATTAAACGTTCTACATAACACACAGTAAGTGGAACAAAAAGAAGACAGGAACTACTTAACAATGAACAATTGACTTATTTGTGTCAGATTATACTACAATGTGTCCTCGTAGCCTGTTATCACGCAATGATATTTTGGTTAATAAATAAATGTATCAAAAGTTGTCAGTGAGGTGGTAAGGTTAGCAGAACAGGTTAGTCAAAGTCCAGCTCTTCTTTCTATTGCAAGTAATTCAAGTATTAAAATGGTTGTATGCAAAATGTTTGTGCATGAGTCATGATAGTAATGTAGGAGTAGTAGTAGTTGTAGTCGACTGTTTTGTACCATGAGATGTTTAAAAGAGCCTACATTTTAGCCAAATAAAGGAAATATGTTTAGGCTGTTGAAGCTTTCTGGATGTATAAATAAACTGTCTTACTGAAAAAAATCTCAAATAGATTCTTCTTTGACATTTAATTTTAATAAAGCATCTGTTTTAGAGTCTGTAATTATTTCAATTTCCAATTTTATTGTTACAGCCCTAGTAGTAGTAGTAGTAGTAGTAGTTCTAGTAGTAGTATTGTTATTAGCTTCTTGTTTTTATGCAGGTTGTGGTGATGGTGTAGTAGTAATTATAGTAGTAATAGTATCGTAATATGTTTTTTGTTCTTGTGTAGGTTGTGTTGATGGCATAGTGGTAATTATAGTAGAAGCTGTAATTAAAGTAGTAGTAATAATATTAATAGTAGTATTATAATCTGTGTGTTGTTCTTGTGCAGGTTGTGGTGATGGCACAGTAGTAATTATAGTTAGAAAATATAGTACTAATACTACTAGTTATAGTAGAAGTTGTTCTTGAAGTTGTTTCTGTTGTTATAATTGCCCTAACATCACTATGGGTAATACTATGTTCCACTGTAAAAACGTGAAATGCTTACTTGCCCAAAACAAATGCATACATTAAAAAAATAAAATAACTATTGTAATCTGTGTGTTGTTCACATGCAAGTTATGGTGATGGCATAGTAGTTATAGTAGCAGCTATAGTACTAGTAATAATAGTATTAGTAGTGTTATAATCTGTGTGTTGTTCCCATGCAGGTTGTGGTGATGGCATAGTGGTAGTTATAGTAGTAGTAGTTGTAGTTCTAGTAGTATTATAGTCTGTGTGTTGTTCTCGTGCAGGTTGTGGTGATGGCATTGTAGTAGTTATAGCAGTTATAGTAGTGATAGTACTCATAGTAATAGCAGTAGTAGTATTATAATCTGTGTGTTGTTCTCGTGCAGGTTGTGGTGATGGCATAGTAGTAGTTATAGTAGTGATAGTACTTGTAGTAATAGTAGTAGTATTATAATCTGTGTGTTGTTCTCGTGCAGGTTGTGGTGATGGCATAGTAGTAGTTATAGTAGTGATAGTACTTGTAGTAATAGTAGTAGTATTATAATCTGTGTGTTGTTCTCGTGCAGGTTGTGGTGATGGCATGTCGAGAGTTCGAGATGGGGAAGGTAACACAGTTTATCCGTTGTACATCTGACTGTGGTTATTGACCACAGTGCTCGATATGCCGTGGGTCCATTTTGGGGGTGGTGACATGTTTTTTTTTCTCTCTGCAACAGAAAAAGTGTGAATGCTATTGGCCAAAGGAACAGGATGCACCTTATGTCTGCGAACCCTTTACCATTTACTGTGTGAGTATTTTTAGTCTAGACTTTAATACTAAGGGTAAAGCTTGATGCAGTAAACACAAGATGCAATCATACAATACCATATAACCATCTCCATATTGTTATTCATTATTATTAGTGCATAGACTTGAAAAATTGACTTGTGAGCTTTTAGTAATGTTATAATGGTGTTACCTCTTCAAAAACATATCTGGAGTTGTGTTTTGTATCATTCACACATGTTTCAGTATGGTAATCCTTTATTATTAGTCTGTCTACATCTCCAAAGCTCAAAATGCTCTGTTCCACCTTGTGATGTCATGAACTGCTAGTTTTTAAGTTAACAGCTACCTTTTACCTTTGATCAGTAGAGATTGGAAATTTCAGGGTTGAAATGATCAAAATGATTCTAGTTAAGGTATGTACAGTTTAAAAACACACACTTCCTGTATTACCACATGACATCACAAGGTGGAACTCATCTTAAATATGCAGGATTTGTGTATAATGTATGTATTATTTGTGCATTGTGTATTATGTGTGAATGAAACAAAACACAACTCTAGGTATGTTATTATCTTATTAAACATTGATCTGAAAATATCATACTAGTAATACTGGCCCTTTAAAATAATAACAATGCTCACTACTTTTTCCAAGCAGACAGTTAAGATTTGACTCTTATAGTTTTAATATCAATTAGTAAGCTAGCTGAGTGCTAACTAACAATCCTGTTTTAGCACAATGATATACTTAGGTCCATCATGTCAGTCAAGTACAAAACTATTACTATCACTAATCCTTTGCAGTTTGGAGCCTAAACTACATCATGAAGTGCCAGAATGTATTCCTTAAATTTTTTAAATTTTATTAAAATACCTGTATTCTGAATACCATTAAATGAAAGTTAAATTAGTATTCTGAATAGCTGAGTTTCAGATGACATCACAACGTTCTATAGGCCAGTATTATTTAATACAGATGGGGGGCAGCTACATTTTATGTTGTTAGTATATTACAACAAAAATCTGCATTCTGAGTTCTTGGTCTACTCTGCAGTAGAAATTAACAGGTTCAGCATTTGTGAATTTATTTCATGGCAAAGTACAATGTGTAATAGTGAAATCTGTCTCTAGCCCCATATCTGAGAGTATGACATCATCACGTACTAGAATCTGAAAACCACCATTAAGTATGTTTGGTACATGCACACTTAGTTCCCAACACTAATATAGTCCATTCCTTTTGACCTGGCGGATTTAGACATGGTTCAGTCTTATTTAAGTCTGGTTTAGTCCATAATAACCCAATGTCTGCACATTCTGGTTTAGATCTAATTCAGGCCATGATTCATCGATTATTTTCATCCCAAATAAACCTGTTTTTGTTTCAGGATTCAGAGAAAAATAAAGGAGATTATGTGACAAGGACGCTGAGAGTGAATTATCGCGATGTAAGTCCTTTTTCAGTAGTAAACAGTAAACACTGCAGCCAGATGAACTTTAGAAGGGCAAATAGAGTATATCTGAAAAGCAGTTTCTATCGAGACAGATTTTAGCAGAAGTGTGTGCTTTTTATGGCTTGTCATGTAAACTAATTATCAAGCAGGGCGTTTGTGTAAAGTGCCCTGTAATGTGGGGGTCTGGAGCTATAAGGAGCAGTGTGACTGGTCGTATCCACACTTCAAACTCCACCGCTGCTATGAGGGAAGCCATGTGTGATGTCACATAATACTTGAATTTGCACTGGCCACTAGAGGTGGCACACACTGAATTTTGGGCTATTACCAAATTACCAAAATTACCAAAAAAGGACTGTGAACAGTAGAAAGTATCAATAAAACACCATGTACACAATTTAGTAGCAAAAAAAGTTGAGCTACTGTTTAATTCCATATTAATCCTGTATTTTGGAAAGTTTAACCATTAACTTCAGCTTTACTTGTTACATACCAAAGAAAGAAAAAGTATATATGTAAGAAGTTAATTACTAGAAAATAATGAACATTAAAATCAGTTAACCCTCTTATGATAATATTCCCTGTCTCCAGTGCAGCCGGACCCTGAAGCAGCTCCATTATGTGAACTGGCCTGACCATGGTGTTCCAGACTCCATCCCTCCCATCCTGGACATGCTGCAGGAGATGCGCTCGTACCAGGATCATGACGACACACCCATCTGTATACACTGCAGGTCAGAGGTCGTGTAAAGTAGGGCTGTATGATATGAGAAAAGCATGCAATATTAAATAACTATATGTTTTATATTGCAGTGGTGATATTATTGTGATATTTTGATCTACTTTTTGGCACAGCAGGTTCAGTTAATTTAAAACAAAAAATGCAGGTACCTTTATTTACTAGACAAACTGAGTCAAAAAAAAAAAAAGTCTAATATAGGACTTGTACACTTTTGTAAAATGGAGAAGTTTGTGTTATTGCAATATATTCATCCTCTTGTGATATTGATCATTACTTCAACCAATATTGCAATATCGATATTGCAATATTGGTTAATGTAGTGTAACTTTTCTGGTGATGGGTTTGCTGCGTGGTTGTGTCACTGCAGATGTTATTGCTTTGACTTGAATATTCCACAGTATGGTTTTAAACCTCTTATTGTGCATTTACATGTGTCTATATTAAGCACATATTCAACAAAAGTCACCGCTCCAAAGATCTGACCTATCACTTTGCCTGGAGGTTCTCCCTGCTTAGTTTAGTTTAATGCTGTACTATGAAACATATATGGCAGATCCTCTACCAGAAAAGTTACATAGTGCACCTATGTAGAAAATTGTAATCATAACTGATAAAAAAAAGTTTGAAATTGTAACCATCTGGACTAATGGTAAAACATTTGTCTCCTAAACCTGATATTCCACATCACAGCAGATTTCATTTTAGACTTTGCATGGAAAGAAACCGTTATATATTTTGCTGTGTTATGTTGTGTCGTTTGGTTGATAGCAGCTGCCCTCCACTGTCCTCATAATGAGGTCTGAAGCCGCATGTGTTTGAGCAGGAAGTGTAGGCGGCGTGAGATCAGCCCTCTCACTCTGTACATGTGACCACTTTATTTCCACAAAATCATAGAGAGCTTAGAGTACAGCTTGACTCAAAAGAAAATATGTGTGACTATGTTTTTTAAAAATTGGCCTTACAAAGACACTTACTTTGCTCATTTTAACATTGAACAAAGTTTGCAAATAAAAACCTTAAAGTACTGTAGTGTGTGTATGGAAGAAGTTTCTAATCTTCAAAAGAAGTTAAAATTAGGCTGAAAACATTAGCAGCTATCTTCAAAGTTCCCTGTTGGCAGTTTCAGCTCTGCAAAGGTCTAAGTCTGGTGAAGGTGTTTTGGAAAGTTCCACAGAATTACTTCTATCTATGTGCAGTATGACCGAGGTTTCCTCTCCGTAGATCTAGCCTGCAGCTTGGTCTGGTGGTGCCGAATGCCATACTGTGGAACATTCCAAAAGCAGCAAAGTTATGGTGTTACTGTAACTTACAAAAATTACAGAAAAAATAGACCCAATACTGAATATTATATAAAAACTTTTATATAATATAAAAACACACAACAAGAAAATGTCATTTTCAGCATCAAATCGTAATACTTTCTTTTATGTTAAAGTATGGAATTATATCTGTGTAATCCCTCAGTCTCTAAGTAGGTTCTACAGTAGTCTATGGGCATATACTACAGTTTTTTCACTTTATACACTCTATGGTATCAGTTTTTTTTCCTCATATTATGAAACTTTTTACAAATTTGCCAAATCTTTTGTGCACTTTGCAAAACTGTTCACACAAGATATAAAACAACTCAAAATGATTTATAAATGTATGTAACCATCATTCAGACACCGGCCGGAGAATGCTCCCACACTTTTAGACATATTGTGTGAGGAAGTCAGAAACCTGTAGGACCTGTATCACACTGTTTCTGATGGTTTGATAGTGAGGTAAATGCTGTACTGTTACAGTGTTAAAATCTGTGTTTAAATAGTTGATCATTCTGTTTTAGGTTGTGCAAAAGTGTTTTGTAGTTTTGATCTGAGAGTTAATGCTTGCAAAATGGAGATAAGGTTGTGCTAACATGAGAGGAGTATTGGTTCCTTTAGTGGCAAGTTCTGAAAATGTGTCCCGATATTTAGACTTTAGGGTCAAAACAACAGAAAAAAAAACTATAGTCTGTGTAGTCTCATACTTGTTCTGATACAGCTCAAGATCATTTTAAAGCTATTCGGGAAAGGTTCATTTTTGTCCTATCAATTAGTATCCGATTTGATAGTTTTCACAGCCCTACCCCTAACCAGAAAAGTTATGCAGTGCATCCTTTAAGCTGAAGTATGCATCTGAAGTAATGTTAATGTGTCTGTGCAGTGCTGGCTGTGGCCGAACAGGAGTCCTCTGTGTTATTGATTACACATGGAATCTTTTAAAGAATCAGGTGAGAAGCACTTAACTTAAACAAATCATAATGTGTGATTTATTTGATCTGTTTTCTATTTAGATGATCCGCCCTGATTTTAACATTTTCGAACTGGTTCAAAACATGAGAACACAGAGGCCATCCGTGGTCCAGACCAAGGTAGGACATGGACATAAACAGGTTTTGCTTAGTCTATATGCCTGTGTTCATTTTATCAACTAAATATTTTTTTCATTTTAATGTATTTGCTTACAAAAACTCTTGTACTGAGCTCTATGGAACAATCTTTGTACATGTGAAGGTCCATGGCAATTTGCTATACTGTATAAGATTAGAATTATTAAGATTAGAATTAGGGATGCACCAGTCTAGCCTTTTCTGTTCCAATACCAATGTCTTTGTCTTTAAGTATGTGTAGATACCCAAGCGATAATCAGGGCAGACGAGAAATGTGATTTATTTCCTTTAAACACAAACAGCATAAGGTAAAACATGATCCAAATGTGTTTTGTTACTGCAGCAAATCCAAGTTTTATATGAGACATTATAGGCCAATATTGGGTAGAAAACCATCTTATTACATCAATTTATAGAACAACATGTGACATCAGCTGAACTAATATCTTGGAAGTCGAACTCTGATCCACCATAACTGTCAATATTAGCGTCGATATCCAGTACCCATATCATATTGGTGCATCCCTGATTTGTTTGTTTTTTTAAATTACACTTCGATTGACTAAATGTATTTAAGATTAATTTCAATAATAAATCAATCAGATCAAAGATTTGGATTGAACCTTAAGCGGAATGGGTCAGAATTTTCACTTCTGTATTCGGTCATTGCTGTGGTATTTCATAATCTGAAAATAGTTTTCTTGCAGTTCTCATGGTGTTTCTTCCTGTATTTTGTTACTTTGTGTTATATTGTCACCTCACATAACCAGTTCTTGTGTATAATTCTAGGAACAGTATGTGCTGGTGTACAGAACCATCAAACTCCTTTTTGAGAGATATTTGGAGTCGGAGGAGTCACTGGAGCAAGAAAGCGAGGTGAGCACCAGTCATTCTGGTCCACCAACTTAGAAGATTCTTTGTATATTTACATTTTGGTATAGTTTATTAAGGTACAACTCATTTTGGGTACAAAAAGATTTAGAACAAAAAGATTTAGAGCAAGGGGGACAGACTACACACAGCCAAGTGCCTTTCATCACAAAATTTTGAGAATACACGATAATATTGAAACCAAATCACAAAGCAGAATTCAAAACACTTCTAAATAACACACATTACTTTAAATAAAAAGCAGAACTAAAGATGTCAGCACATGGTCTGTATCTATAATTTCATAGAAGTTATTTATTCAACTTTCTACAGCTCAAATTTTATCATAGTACAGAAAAATAAAACAAAAATTGTAAATAGTACAAAGAAACATACACATGATAAATACTGACCCCCCAAAATGATTGTTCCATCTGTCATGTAAAACCATAGACTGTATAGCTAATCTTCTAGCCATTGTGTTCCAAATAAGAAGTGAGCATGGGTACGCTTCCAACTTCATTGATTCTGGCTCCAATTTGCTTTGTATTGAAAAAACATTGCCCCTCCCTCTGTAACTACAGCAGTGAGGCTTATAATTTTGATCTTAAAATATTCGTATTAACCCACTCTACAAGATCCTGGTGTTTTTATTTTGCTATTTTTTCTGTAAATTAATTCCTAATATGGATTTCAGCTCCAAACAGGCCTCAGTAAGCTGAACGCTATGGGCAATGGCCCTTAGTCCACTTCTTTATACAGTCTATGGTATTGAACAATAATTATTTTAACAGGCCAACACAATACACACACTTCTCCAGTACTTTCCGAAGTAATATAACACATGTATCAAAGTGCATTTTATTCAAATTTTTGTTAACCAAATTTTGCTAGAATTGTGTATTTAAACTTAATTAAATTTGGCATTTGAAAGAGGAAATAGAGCCATTGTATATAACAATAGACATAATGTGTGCATGACCCTGTCCTCATGCATCACTCAGCTCTTTGTGATAGATCAAATGTTTTGCAATTAGATTCAGAATGCACAGCAGTTTGACTAGATCACAAATGACTGCTTTTACAATACACGTCATGGGGGGAAAAACAAAAATGATTGGTAATATTTAACAAAAACTTAATTCATCATGAGCAAATCGTTTATTACAAATGATTCAAGCTTAAAGGGCCCATATTACGGTATTCTCTGCTCTATGTTATAATGTTTCCGCATCAAAAACATACCTGGAGTTGTGTTTGGTTTCATTCACACATGTTTAACACACAAAACCTGCTTATGTAGGCTGTATTTCTCTCACTCTGTTCCACCTTGTGATGTCATTTGGTAACACTGTATTCCACTGGAATTGCCAAACTTACTGAACAAAAAGTGGGCTTTGGAGATGCAGACAGACTAACAAGGGTTACTCAAACATGTGTGAATGAAACAAAACACAGCTCCAGGTATGCTGATGTATGTTTCTGATGAGGTAACAACATTATAACATGGCTTAAAATGCACAGTAGTCCATTTTTCTATTCTTCTGCATTAAAAGTAGTGATTTATCAAACTGACTTTTTTTAAGGTTGACGCGGAGGAGGTCCTGGCTGAGTTGGGGAGCGGCTATGATATGAACGAAGATTTGAATGATCTGGAAACACAGCTACAACATCTGCTGGAAACAGCAGCACATCCACCACCATCAGAACATGTGTATAGAAACCAGACTGAGACCAACCACCTGTGGCAGCATCATGACGATCTGCAGGTACAGCTGAACCATGTGGGAAAACTAATCTGATTTTTCTGATAAGCACTGGGTCTAAATTTGCAATTTGCGCTTTAATGGTGGCTTTCTGTTTAAAGTTTGTGTTTTAAACTTGTCCAAGAGAATTGACAATAAAAAATACAAACTATAACAAACAATTACAAGAATCACATGAATTTCAAAACACATTTGTACAGATCTAAACTACAGGGTCAGCCGTTTTAAGCAGAATAAGATTAATAAGACAGATTCTGTTGTTTGTGAAGGTAATTATGGTACTTAAAAAACAGCAGTTTTTATTTGATTACATTTAATCTTGAGGCTTTAGCTGGTAGGAATTTTACAATATTGGAAACATCCATTTATTTATTTCTGAGTGTGGGGAAGGGGATGGAGTCATAATACAACATTTACAGACTTTAAAATCATCATCATCATCTTATATTTATTTTATACGAAGCATTATAATACAAACACATGCCATTTTTGCATTTACCATCCCATACATGTACGTACATTCATCACTCATGTGTAAATTAATATTAAATCATAAACTCTAAAATGCCTATGCCGTTCTATTGCTGTAGGAAGGAGCAGATGAAGTAACTACTGCTTCTACTACTTCACTTTCCACCACTGCAACTCATTTCTTATATTTCAGTTTATTAAAACCTGACCATTTTAATATGACAGTAATATTTTTACTTAATGCTCATCTGGGCATTTCAGAGAATGCATAGCATTCCTAGAATACAATGAACTGTATTGTATTGTAAGTAAATGCCATGCCATATCCCATGATAATAAAATACTGTGATTTTGCTTTACACATTTTCTTGCAGGTGACATCTTTTTTCTCTGAGATCCCACAAAGCACATCTCCTCAAGAACTGAACCTCCTGACTGAACCAGAACCAGAGGAGAGGAAAGGAGGGTGGATAGAGGAGAGAGTGGATGAGAGGAGAGAGGAGAGGAGGGACAGTGAAACCATAGAAACCATGGCCCCTCGCCCCTCTTCCTCTACAGCGACTATGTGTCTGACTGTAGAAGATCCATATTTTGACTCTCCAACAGAAGAACCATCTCCACACCCGTGGTCCTCCTCTGGGACCCCCTCACTGAGCCTCAATGACCAGCCTGTGGAAGTCTTCACCTGCAATGACTCTGGTAAAACTGTAACTCTGTTTTGCATTATACTTTCTTCATGGCTGGATAATACAATCAAAATTATTTCTATTTGTCATTAGTTCATTCGGCCTCTAAAATAAGTCTGCACTTATATAAAATGTATAGACATTTTAACATCTGCAAAGAATACATTTTAAGTGTGGCCTTCATTCTAACTTTAGCAAAAGATTAGCAGGTTTTTCTGTTGTTATGGATGACACAGATCTAAACCAGGTCTATAACAGGACTATATCAGGTCTTGAAGAAGTTTGAACCCAAAAAGAGGACAACAATGTGGACACAATTAACTCAGCACTAAATGAAGTCAACACTAGAACTGAAGAGGAGTTCATACCCCCAGAACAAGCATTGTCTAACACAGTTTGAGAACCACTAACATAAACTTAAACCAGTTAACCAACTATTTAAAAGTCACTAACCCTTTCTTTTACATATTGCTGGATTTACTACGAAATACTGACAACATATCTTACTTGTGCAGGCACTTTAGATGTCCATTCTGATGATGAAATCCCTCCTCCTCTGCCTGAAAGAACTCCTGAGTCTTTTGAAATACCTGAAAATACAGGTATGGTAAAATAAACAGTAAATAACAGCATCACTATCTCTACTAGAGCAACAATTCCACTCAAATCCTTGCTTTTCAGAGCCATGTGTGAGATTATCTGTGGTAATTCCTCCAAATGCTGCAGCTGCTGCTGTCAGGGAACTGACAGGTGAGCCGAATGAGAAAATTTAATATTCTTACACAGGTTAAGTAGATAAGCAAATAATGATTGGTTTTAGTGATATTTTTGGTTAGATGTTTAGTCAGTGTGTTTTATATTTCTTCTTAATAAAAGCTTAAAAATATTTTAAAATGTCAGCTGACCTCTTCATATATTTAACAAAATATACCCCAACTTATTAAATTCATTCTTGTTTTTGCTATTTTGTTTAATTATAGCTCTGTCTTTGTTATTACTAAAGCAAGGCATATCTGTGTTCATTTTTCAGATACAATTTTGATGTATTTTATTGTTTACAGGTAGTAGTACAGGTAGTAGTCCTCCATCACCGGCCCCCCCACTTCCAGAGAGGACACCGGAGTCTTTTGAGTTAGCAATAGATCCATGTAAACCATCTTTTATCTGATTTTACTGGAAAGAACATTTTGTATTTTTAAGGTCTGTAAATGTTGACTCATTTTTATTTCATTATTTCTGTCTAACTTAGCTCCATCAGAGGAGAATATAGAGCCCACCCCTCCTGTAAACTTGAACCTGCTGGGTGTGTCTTCAGAGTGGTCCGGCAGCTCTGGGGCTGGTGTGGACCATAATGAGACAAAGACCTGGTCCAGGAGTAAGGTGAGAGAGATCGTTATTTAAAGGTGCACTGTGTAACTTCTAAATTGGAGGGCCTGCTATTTGCTTGTTTCCATAGAGATGTTATTAGTTTGCCTGGAAAATTCCACAGTAGGGCATTAAACATATCTCTCTTGCATTTGTTCAATTACAGGTGTTTTACAGCTCAAAAAATACCTTAAAAACATGAATTCTTAACATGTGCAGGCTTGCTTCTCCATAGATCTGACCATTAACCTGTCTCGATTGTGACAAGTTTATTTCAATACTGTGGAATAACCAAGGCAAAACAGTAATATCTCCATGGAGACAAGCAGGTGGTGCACCTTTAAAGGGTGAAACTGATATGCAAATTGACGCTATCAGTTAATTTAATATAATTTTTTCTTTTGTTACAGAGTCTCAGAGCAAAAATGACTTTTTCAGGTAAGAGAACAAGTGAAGAAAAAAATAATGAGGAAGCAGAACTAGAGAGAGAGGAGGGTTATGTCAAATTTAAAGGTCTTATATTGTGCAAAATTTACTCTTGTGATCTTTAAGTCATGTTATAATGTTCTTACCTCCACATGACATCACAAGGTGGAGTGTTTTCCTTTCAAGAGAAGAACTCAGCCTAAATATGCAGGGTTTGTGTGTTAAACGTGTGTAAATGAAACAAAACACAACTCCAGATATGTTTTTGATGAGGAAAGAACATTATAACATAGATCAGAAAATAGCATAATATGGACTGCTTAAATATAATTGAAAAACAATGTAAACAATTGCAAAAAATGGCAGATGGCTGATTCAAAACACATAGAAAGCCCATCTAACTACAATCATGAGTCACAAATAATGACATGGCAAGAGCAGAACTAAATCCACTATAATTTACTTCAGTTTGCTACATGTAAAAAGGGAAAAGACACTAATGAGACTAACTGCTTCCTTCTTCTAATGATAAAGAATTTTCTTCCTCCAGAATTCACACAACCCAAACAGACCTCAAATACCAGTTCAAAACCCCCTCGAAGACCTCTGGAGTTACCTCCTCCACCTCCTCCTCCAGGTACGCTCAACTGTTTCACTTTTCAGATCATCTAATATCCATATCTAGTTCTTACAATGATCATGAGATTAGCATTGAAGCTGCACTGTGTAACTTTGAAGGTTTCATGCCTTCTGGTCTCCATGGAGATGTTATTGCTTTGTTTAGAATGTCCCACTCCTTGGCATTTAAAGGCCCATTTTACATTATTTTCTGATCTATGTTAGAATGTTGTTTCCTCATTAAAAACATGCCTGGAGTTGTGTTTTGTTTAATTCATACATATATTTAGACTGTGTTCTCTTAAACAATACTCTGTTCCACCTTGTGATGTCATTTAGTAACACAGGAAGTGCTCTATTGTGTTTCTGAACTCCATACACTAGAATCATTTGGATAATAATGTAGTACTTGTAAGATATCCCCAATGTGACAAGTAAGCGTTGCCAATAGGCCAAGTTACAGGTCATATTATATACACTAAATAAATGCAAAGTCAATATATTTAATTCCTTTTTGTGGAACATTTACAAGCAATAACATCAAAACTTGCAAAACTTTACTCTTGAGAGCTTTAAGCCATGTTATTATGCAGTTACGTCCTCAAAAACACCCTGGAGTGGTGTTTTGTTTCATTCACACATGTTTGAGTAACTATTTATTTTTAGTCTGTCTACATCTCCAAAGTTCAGAATGCTATGTTTCAACTTGTGATGTCACGAAGTGGTAGTTTTCAAGTTAACAGCTACATTTTACATTTTGTTCAGCAGAGATTCCAGGCAATTTCAGGGCTGAAATTACCCAAATGATGCTAGTGAAGGTGTATGGAGTTTAAAAACACAGTGGATCACCTCCTGTATTACAACATCACACATGTTTTCGAGTTTGATATAAGTATTCAGCCTAAATATGCAGAGTTTATGTGTCAAACATGTGTGAATGAAACAAAACACAAGTCCAGGTATGTTTGTGATGAGGAAACAACATTATAACATAGATCAGGAAACAGCACAACATGGGCCCTTTAAGTTATAGTATTTTTTACAGTATTATGTGGGTAAGTACAAAATGACAGAGCAGTCTTACCATTACACATAAGGATTACTCATTTGTTTCAGAACTGGAACTTCTTCATTTTGATCGCACTGACAGGAAACAAAAGATCCTAGACTCCTTTATATATAGTTCTCTCTTCTTCCACTTACTGCCACTGTTTAAGTAGTTACAATATTCACAGTTTGTTAGCATTATTACATCCATATTTACTTATGCAAAGAAACTTAAAGGTTCTATATTACACTCAAAAACATACCTGGATTCGTGTTTTGTTTTATTCACACATGTTTGAGTAATATTTTATTATTAGTCTGTCTACAACTCCAAAGATCAGAATGCTCTGTTCCACCTTGTGATGTCGTGAAGCGGTAGCTTTTAAGTTAACAGCTGCCCTTTACCTTTAGTTCAGTAGAGATGAGCAATTCCAGGTCTGAAATAATCTCAAGGATTCTAGTGAAGGTGTATGGAGTTTAGAGCACTTCCTGTATTACCACACGACATCAACAAGTGGAGTGTTTTCCATTTGGGAGAAGAACTCAGCCTAAATATTCAGGGTTTGTGTGTTAAACATGTGTGAATGAAACAAAACACAACTCCAGGGATGTTTTTGAGGAAGAAACATTATAACATACTAGATCATCAGATAATAGCATAATATGGGCCCTTTAAACTTGTTTTTTTTTAACCAGGGCACCCACTTCCAGCTGTCTCTCCACCTCTCACACAAGACAACAGTGAGTATTATGAGCAAATACACAATAAGGCCATAGTGTACATGATTTTAATGGCCATTTCTTTGGTTCATTGTACAGCTCATGGCTTAAACCGCTTGGGACCCCCACTCTTAGAAATAGTGCCCCCCACTCAGAGCGTGGGCATTTTCTCAGAGCAGAACGGACCAGCTCAGTCCAAGAGTTTCCTCGATGTTGTCATGAACCGGAGCAAGGTAATAAAAAGACATCAGGCAGGATTCTATGAAAATGGCATAAACTTTATACAGAAAAACTGCTATTAGGTAGAATGTTACGTGCCACTGGGGTCTAGGGGGTGGCACGGTAACTGGAAAAAATATGTTAAAAGAAACCAAGCGTGGAACAAAAATGGAAGTGTGGCGAAGTGTCCAAAGGAAATAATATTTATTACAAAGATTACGAAAAAAATTTACAAATATCAGATAAAGTTAAATAACACAAAAATAAGGAAATAAAGTTCACTTTTCTGGTGACAGCTCCGGGCTTTTATACTCCCCACTGATCGGTTGGGCCAGGTGAGGCGGATCAGCTGGGCGGATCTGAAGTGGATGGAGGAAAGGCCAAACAAGACAAAATCGTCCATCGCAAAGAAAAAGAAAAAATATGACAATAACACATTTTTCCATATGACGATTGAAAAAGTTTGTTTATGGATCATTTATATTAGTGACCAGGTTCTACAATCATCCATCTCTCATTAATCTAACCTCACCACAAATTTTTTAACTTAAAGGATTTTCATGGCTGTTGCTGATACTGATTGTTTCGAATCCAGAGAAAGCAATGGCCGATAAGCTCTGCCAATATTTTTGAGCAGATACTGATAATTTTCCCCGAATTATTTAATTGGTACTACAAACTCATTCACAACACTGCAAAAAGCAAAAATATCTAGGTAAGTTAAAATGACTTAAATTAATAACTGTTCACTTTATTTGAAGAGATTCAACTTAAGAAGTAAAATGATCTACCAATGGAATAAGTGTGCAAGCAACATTCAGTTTTGCTTCTTATTTTAAGTGCAAAGAGTTGTTCTAAGATGTCAAATGCTGCAAGATGCTTTTTTGTATTGTAACTACAAAAAGTCTTGTTTTATTGCTATATCATTGTACTATTTTCTTAAATCATGATGAAACTTTCTTAGGTCGAGTCATCTTAACTTGGCTAGATTTTAGTTTTTGCAATGAATCCTTTTTTTATACCACAAACTTTTTTTTTTACCACAAGCCCTATGTTACTACAAAATATAGGCTATATGCTGGAGATTTAAGACTAATAGCCAATACACTAAAATATCTGAATATCCAGCCTCATTATTTGGATTGATTCATGCATGTTTGAGTGATCCTGCATGCTTCTACATTTGAGACTCAAGTGCTTAGAAAATCAGCTTTCACCTGCCACCTATCTCCACCCACTGCTCTGTACTTTATTTTGTTTTTCAAAAGATTCAGACTTCTGATTATACATGTAGGGGTTAAAATGTTCACATAGCCTTCATTGTTCAACAGTAAGTACACATGTAAATGAAACATGAAATGCTGCTATGAAGAGGCAGGGGTTTGCCTTTTTCAACAGGAAGTCAATGAACCACTTTCTATTATGAAATCATTTAGGTCAATATTTCAGTTTACGATGAACAAAATGTAAAATATTTATCTGCATATGCATACTAAATACTAAAAACAAAAGCCTAGTATCTCTTCTAGAAGTAACATACATTTAGCCTGAAATATTGTAATATCTGAATTCATTTGCAAGTAAATGAAATAAAAACTTGACAATTTGTTTTTTGTCCTTGCAGAGTGTTCGAGTAAAAGGGTCGTTCAGAGGTGAGAATTTCACCACTTTTGTTTTTGACAATGATTTACATATTACCCAAAATCTTCCTGTAAATTAGACTCTGAAGAGACCATGAGACGTGTATATTAATATTGAATCTGAAAGTATACTGTGATGTATTTCTTTCAGTTTTGACCTCTGGTGGTGAGTTTGTATGTGTGCAGCCACTGTTGCATAGAACTGTAATGAATAGATTGAGATTCGAGATGCATTTATTTAATGGGACAGTGCATGTTAATGAACATACAAAGTAAATATGCCAGAATTATCCCAAAGTCTGCTTTCCATCTGTAGTCCCTGGCATTCATCTAGCAATAGTTTCTCTTTTCTTTGATGGTAGAAGTGTAGGGCTGTCACAAAATTGATATAAATGCTATTTTATGAAATCTAAAATAAAAATGTTATTGTGTTAAAATCATATTAAAATTCTAGAACCACTACAAATCTTATAAACCAGAGTGCATTTTAAAAATGGTTTTAGTTGGTTCTAAGACCTGTACCTTCAAAGGACAATTTCTGCAGTGTCTTTTGACCAGTTATGATTTAGTAAATCTAGATGGTACAGTTAAAGTATTGTTTGATGAAATACTCATTTATAAATCAGGCCTGTTTATAATTCATGACTTGAGTGACAGTGTCTCATTGTTTTTTGTCATCTTTCCTGCAGAACCCCCGGCTGCCTCTCGGTCCCGGACCCCTCCTCCTGCTGCTGCGGCGGCCTTGGAGACCACCACCCACACAAATGGTGAGCTTCATCTGAAATTTTGTTACAGTGTGTTTGATCCCAGTTAAGTCCTCATATAGACTTGGGTTTGGTCCTGTTGTGGACCTCCTGTAGTCCTGGTCAAGTCCAGCTTTAGTTCCACTTGACACACAAACAGACTAGAATAGCCCCCCACGCAATTTGATTGTGATCAAGGAATAGTGTACCCCCCTGACCTGAGCACCTGAGAGTGGCAGCAGTCTCACTTCTGAAAAATGATATCATCTTTGCAATTATATCATCTTTTCACAGTTTTTTTTATGGCCTCTTCTATATAACTGTAACATAATGTATGTTATAATATTTTCATATTTTATTTTTACTTGTATTTATATAATTGCCTTAATTGTACAAAGTACAAAGTACAAAAGTAAAAGTACAAATACAAATTTTAAGTATCTGTACTTTACTTAAATAAATTTTACTGTGGATACTTTTTAATTTTACTTCACTGCATTTGAAAACTTGTATTTGTACTTTCTACTCCACTACATTTTGGGTCTGGACTGAAAAGTAAAAAGTACTTTTTTTTACAGTGTGAGTCCTGCTGAAATGGCTGAAACTATTTTTAGCACCTTTACTCTGAGTTAATGTCCCAGCTTTGAGTAAGCCAAATAAACAGCTAGGAAAATTAAGAAATCAGTTGAATCACTTAAAATCCCCTGAATTCTTTTTCAAAATACTTTTACTTTTTTAAACTGGTACTTTATTTTTCTCATGTGATACTTTTACTTTTACTTGAGTAGCTTTTTGCCTATGTATCTGTACTTTTACTTAAGTAACAAAAATGAGTACTTCATCCACCGCTGCTGATGATGAGGTATTTACAGTCTAGATGTCAAGTAGATCAGCAACATCAACACACAGAAAAAATCTGAACAATAGCAACAGATTCTACAAATATATTTTCAACTTTATTGGTCCACAAGGGAAATTACTGGGACACAGTAGCTCAGACATCACATTATATTACAATAACAAAGAGAAAAAATATAAATGGTAACAATAAATTCTAAATAAGAAGAAAAAAATAGCAAGGGACTAGTGTCATATAAGGCATAATTACTGTATATAAATGTAAATGTACAAGTCAAAAATAAAATAGAAAAATAAGTAATAAAAATATCTCAGCTACAGTGCAAAGATGATCTGGTGATCTGTTATATAAGGGTGAGTTGATGTACAATAAATGAACACTATATGTACCCAGTTATCTCAGGTTTCAATTGCCAAGTTTCATGTCTTGTTTTTATGATCACATCACTTCTGTTTGTTTCAGCTGATGAAGGACATGCTGTGAATAATAAACTGTTGTCTGCTGGAGCTGAAGTGTCTGAGAAGAGCATGAGCAGATCTAAGGTATAAAAAAGTACTTATATTTGAATATTTGACGTAAAGAAAGTTTAACATTTACTAAATTTTAGAGCAGTTCAAAGAGCCTAGAATACACAAAACTGACTTGTGAGCTTTACGTTATGTTAGATTGTTAAAAATATACCTGAAGTTGTGTTTTGTTTCATTCAGACATGTTTGAATAACCCTTTATTATTAGTCTGTTTACATTTCCAAAGCTCAAAATGCTCTGTTCCACCTTGTGATGTCATGTAGTGGTAGTTTACAATTCTACAGCTACCTTTAACTTTTAGTTCAGTAGAGATTGGCAATTCCAGGGCTGAAATTATCTGATTCTAGTCATGTTGTATTGAGTTTAAAAACACAGTGCAGCATTCCCTGTATTAACACATGACATCACAAGGGGCAACAGCATGTTTTTTGTTTGAGAAAAGAGCTCAGCCTAAATATGCAGGGTTTGTGTGTTAAATATGTGTGAAAAAACAATACAACTCCAGGTTTGTTTGTGATGAGGAAACAACATTTGAACATAGATCAGAAAATGGTGTAATTGTCATGTTTCTATCAGAAAGTCATACATTATCTAGTTAAAGGGGTCCATATTATGGTTATGTGTAACACACAAACTCTATATTTAGGCTTAATTTTTCTCTCAAACAGAAACAGAAAACACTTGTGATGTTGTGTGGCAATTCAAAAAGTGTTCCTTTCATTGGAATTATTTGTGTAATTTTAGTCCTGAAATTGCCAATGTCTAGTTTAAAAAAAAGAAAAGAAAAAAGCTGTTAACTACACTAGATGACCTCACAATGTGGAACAGAGCATTTTGAGCTTTGGAGATGTAGACAGAGTAATAATAAAGGCTTACTCATACGTGTGAATGAAACAAAACACAGTTCTGGGTTTTGTAGTTTTGTCGTTTTTGATGAGGCAACAACATGTGTGCCCTTAGGTACCCTTTTTATTTCAGTAAATAACACATAAAATGATTAAAAGGGGGGGCACATAGAAATGTAAAATAATTTATTCTATAAAGAGAGCCAGGCGGAGGGTTAAAATGATAAAATGGCCAAAATTCATAAAATTTACTAAAATAAGGATAAAACCTTGCAGCCCCCGGGCGGCGGACCCAAATCTGAAAAACAGAAAATAAATGTTACAACTTAACCAAACAAGGACGACTTGAGAGGGGGCAGCCCCACCCAGAACAAAAGCCACCCAGAAAGTGCTACCATGCAATCACACCTAAAAAAACTTGATACCCAAAGTGAAAACAAAAAGGTATTGGGCTAAACCCCTCCCAAGTACGACCGGGAACTTAACAACTGGGCGCGTTTAGCTGCTTGTATTTACCTTCTGTACAGGCTGACCACGGCAAACGCAAGGATTTCAAAAGTAAATTTCAAAGCACTAATTAACAGTGTATGTGGATCTGGGCTCTTTCACATGATGCACAACTGCCCAGGGAGCACAATGTGCTGATGGTAAATGCACAAATACAACAACAGATACATGCTCTCTGTGTATTTTGACGGGGATACGCGCCTACGCTCGTGTAGAGCGTCAAAAAATAGGATGGATCCTATTTTCTGAAATCTACACGCACAGGACGTGCTGCTCCGCGTGCGTATTATTTTACTTGGCACATATGTCAGTAACGCGCGTCACAATGCTTTTTTAACCTGGATTGAAATGGTGGCTTTTTCGTTTTTCTTCATACAAATTTGCTAAAATCACCGTGATATCAGCAGCGGTGAAACGCCGGAGGTGCGCCCGCGTAGACCGTGATCCTGAGCGAAAGGACCGACGCAGAAGTCCGCGCTCCACCGAGTTAAACGCAGCTGACGCCCGATCGCACTCGGGTTTCATTTACAGATCTCATCTAAATATAAAATGAACTGAACTTTGAACTAGTTCAAAATTAAAATTGTGAACTATGAACATGAACTATTCACTTTGAACAAGTGTGAATTGAACTTTGAACTAGTCCATGAAAAGTGTGAACTTCCACAACACTGAAACTAGATGCGTATTTGAATAAGTATGACATAAGAAAAACAGGATATAGATTTAGAATGGTTATGTGGTCAGAACAGGACCACTCTTATATGATTAAAAGTATCAGTCCTTTTGCTTAGTAACAAAACTGAGTGTGAAGTTTAAGTTTTCTGTTCCTAATAATACAGCATTAGTCTTATTAGTCAAGCAGTGCAAAAATGGTCTTCTAAAATACATTTGTACTACAGCTGTATGTTAACTTTTTATTATATGTTTTATCTAGAGTTTGAAGTTCTTCCGAGGCAAACACAAAAGTAAGTCTCCATTTTAAAATCTGAAATACAGGTCTACTCTATATAATGCAGACTAACCGTTTTGTACATTTAACTATCTAATGATATTTTTCCAGCAAAACTGGAGCCTCCTCCATCTCAACCCTCCACTCCTCCTCCTTCATATGAATCACTCACTTCGTTTTTCAAATTTGGTAAGCACAAATTGACAAAAGAATTCTCAATTTTCTCTATTTTCAGATATGGTATAATGTTTTACCCTCATCAAAAACAAACCTGGAGTTGTATTTAGGTTCTGTATTTTCTGTATTTTAGTTCTTCTCTCAAACAGAAAACACTCCACCTTGCGTTGTCATGTGGTAATAGAGTAAGACAAAACAAAATAAAACAAAACAAAACAAAAAAACACAGAGGAGAAGAGTGCCATTACAATCGTTCAATGAAATATCAAGACGTGTTTACAGTGTTAATTTTAAGATAAAGTCCGGACTAATAACTTTCACATACTCAGTCCATTTCGTCCATGTTTCATAAAATGAGCTTTTCCATCAAATAAATTTCATAGACTATTTCTATTTACTCCTCTATTGATGGAAGATCCACCCTCAGCCGTCATCGTTTCTCCAATTCTGGACATTAACGTCTCCCAAGTATAAACACTCAAAAGTAAACATCAATTTAGACCCCAAAACATGGTTTATATGACTGCAAATCTGTGACCATTTGAGAATAGTGCAGTCCCAAAAAATGTGATAGTGGTTAGCCCCAGATGAGCCAAAGAGCCTCCAACATGAATCCCCATTCCCTTCGTGTCTTTTTTGAGTGAGTGTGATAAAAAAAACCTGACAATATTCTTCCATCCAAACACTCACGATGTATTAGATAATGTTGTCTTCCATTGTAATTGACAGATTCTTTCCCAACTTCCATTTGAAATGCTCAGATTATTTTCCATTTCCCATCTTTTCTTAATGTATTCCACATTACCTTCTTTACCTTGTTGAATTGCTTTATGGAATTTAGATATTATATTATGCTGAGGAAGTGTTTTTAAACTCCATATATCTTCACTAGAATCATTTGGATGAGTTCAGTCCTGGCCAGTCTCTACTGAGTAAAAGCTAAAAGGCAGCTGTTAATTTGAAAACTTCCACTGCATGACATCATAAGGTGGAACAGAGCATTTTGAACTTTGGAGATGTAGACAGACTAATAATGCAGGATTACTCAAATGTTTAAATGAAATAAAAGACAGCCCCAGTTATGTTTTTGATGAAGTAACAACATTCTAACTTAAAGCTCACAAGAGTCAAGTTTGCCTAATATAGGATCTTTAAATTATTTAAATTATATTTCATTATTTAAATCACAGCACTAATTGCAGATCTTGTTTCTTTAGGATTCGGGACTCGTTTCAGCAAACCAAAAGGCCCTAGGCGATATCCAGAGACTTGGGTTTGATTCGGCTTGTCCCGATTTAACTGTTTGCATACGTCAAATGCTGGATGTAAATTTACAAAGAAAGCTGCTTAAAAAGAGAAGATATGATGTAATATATAAAGATAAAATGCTCTCACAGACCACTGATTTTGACAGAATGAAATGGCAGAAAGTAGGACTGAAAAAGAAAAAGATTGACAACTATGTTAAAGGTGTGCTATGTAACTTTTCTGATGGAGGGTATGCCACCTAGAATAGTTTGTAGCAAAGCTGATTTATCTCCGTGAAGACAAGCAGATCAACAGGTCTTATCTATGGAAAGGCAAGCCAGGTTACAGTAAAAATGCATGTTTTTAAAGGTTTGTTACATTGTGAATTAAAACAAATATTGTATAGACCAGTATGTAGCATTATCATTATACAACAGTGTGTATTTTGCTAAGTGTAAAATGTATTAGCTTATAATCCAAAAACAATATTATTGCAGCCATGGTTGACAAGCTTGAACATTTCATTCAATTTTATAAGAAAATATCAGACAGAAAAAACAGTCTGCCATTTTGTACTTGTCTTGATAGTCAGCATTTATTCTTAATGCCCAGGGAATACTGTTACAAAGTATTGTTCTAAAAGAAAGTTTATTGTGTCGTATTTGTAAGTGTGTGTAAGGACTGTGTGTCAAACTGCTTGTGGACAAATATATTTATTAATATATTTAAACATCAAATGAATTGTGTTTTCTATCACCTCAAGACTAGAAGGCCTCCTGTGCATTTACTGTCACATACTGGCAAGTTTTTTGTAGTTTTTTTATGTCAAGAGCAGGATTCGAACTGCCAATCTTTGGATGAAGCACTCTACCAACTGAGCTACTGATGTCTCGATTTATTGAATATATTATACAATAAGGCTGTAGTTCTTTAGTAATATAGTCGATTAATAAAAAAAAAAAAAAATTTCAACTATTTTAGAAGAGCGAGTGAGTAAGCTGAAGATTTGGTCTTTTCAGTATTATTATATACAAAGGCAGATTGAACTCATGAGTCACACGTTTATAAATACATTGTTTCCAAGTTCTTTTTTCTGCATAAACAGCTGATTTTTCAACTCCCCCTGCAGGTGTAGTTTGGTGAGTGCAGTTTGTGTCAGACAGAGATACATAACAGTTTTGAAAGCTTTTGGCACACACTCTTTTTAGTCGACTAATTGATCAGCAGCCCATACTTTAGTTGACTACAGCAGTAACATGCCGCCATCAAAGGAGCGTTGGGGTTAGGCGGGAGAGAACGAGCACGCTGAATCCATGGATCTATTAATCTGAATTTAAGATGAATCTCAATAGGTCCAATGTGTGATCATGTTTATGAAGATCAATCACCTTGCGCTCCCAAGATGTACTTCAGGGCTGTAATGTAAAGTAATGGGCAGAAGCAACAGAGTGACGTCAAATTTTCTGAAAACCTCCATTAAGTTCGACTACTCAGCGCACTCAAATTCCAAACACATGACTCAAATAAAGAAATATGAGCACACTTAACATGATAAAAAATATGCAGATACAGGTTCCGTTTTAAATTAAATATTAAATATATAACCTAATACAAAATATATAACTTAAAAGTACAAGTAAAAATTGCCTATCACATGAAAAAAAGTCGCACTTTTTTTCATGGTTTGGGTGGTCCTGCGACTTATATATATTAAATATATAAATAAATATATATTAAAATTTTGAAACTGACAGCCGGTCAGTAGTGTCATCCAGTACTACTATTCCTCCTGTACCACTGTCACTTCGCACTCTACTGCGCATGTCTCTTGCAGAAAAAGCTGCTGTCCTTTTGCAAATAGTGAAATATTCAGCCGAAAACTGTAATCGAGCAGCAGAGAGAAAGTTTGGAGAGAGTGAGAAACTTGTGAGGGACTGCCGGAAAGTGGAGATGGAGAACACAGCTTCACGGTAACCGGGAGGATGTGCCATGCAACTTTCCTGGAAGTCATTGGATGGATGGATGACGCCTTAACTTCAGTGACAACTGAAACCATCCTGTCAGGATTCAGAAAGGCTGGAGAATTTCTAACTGGAACTGATGCTGAACATACAAACTAATGGTGATGCTACGTAGCCAATCAAATCTGTGCATTCAAGGCGACTCTGAATGCAGACACAGAGGAAAGAGGATTTGAGAGATCTGTTGAAAAATATATTGACACTAAAGAAGTTGCTATTTTTCTCCCCTGAAATTAAGCACTTTGTTTTAAGATGCACAATTTAGCCATTTTATTTATTTTCTCAAATTAATTTTAATCTGCAGCCCTGTATCTAATGTAGGCCTACTGTGTGTTTCAGTGTTAACACATTTTGTTAAAATGTTTTTAACTTGTATTTTCGTTGATTCTATTGTTCATACATTCAGACATTGATAAAATGAGGCTGCTTCTGTATCACAATCATATCATAAAATAGACATTATGATGTCCCAGACCTCTGCTTGAGGAGATTTTCTCTAACTGGACCTCCTCAAATTTGAGTTGAAAACCCCTGCTATACAGTGTTATTATTTAATGGGCCCCAGGCCATTCTGCACTGGAAAAATTGGGCCTCAGTGTCAAAAAGGTTAAGGACCCCTGCCTTAGAGGACATATGTTATGTTACATGTTACATATGATTGACTTGGGTCAGGGTCCTCATAGCCAAAAATGTGCAGCTGCTCGCCATTCTGAATATTACCTCGGACCAAGAACATCCACAGAGCGAGATTTCATTCATATAAAAATGTTCTTATACTAGAAGAAGAGACATTTTGGTTGCCAGGTACAAAAAACTGTTTTATCATTTTTATCAGCAAAAAATATTAATAAGAGTTGGAGGCAGAATGACAGTTGTGATTTGAGCATTGTTGACCTACATACCTGTATATATTTTTTTTCTGATATAATAAGAGTATGCTTTTTGAATTGTTTAAATTAGGCTAATCATTGTTTTATATCTCAAATAATATTCTATTTTATGTCCAAATTAGCTACTTACTAGTTCATACACCTTCCTAACTGCGTTTCATAGAAGAAAATAAATTAACACAAGTAATAACAAGATGGATAAACAATTAGAAACTTATTAAAGGTCCTATATTGTGCAAAATTGACTCTTGTGAGCTTTAAACCATGTTACCTCCTCAAAAACATGCTTTGAGTTGTGTTTTGTTTCATTTACACATGTCTGAGTAACCCTCTTTTATTAGTCTGTCTACATTTCCAAAGCTCAAACTGCTCTGTTCCACGTTGTGATGTCATGAAGCTATAGTTTTCATGTTAGCGGCTACCTTTTACCTTTAGTTCACTGGAGAAAGGCAATTCAAGAGCTGAAATTATCCAGATGATTCAAGTGAAGGTTTGTGGAGTTTAAAAACACAATGGAGCACGTCAGCCTAAAGATACAGGGTTTGTGTGTTGAAACTACTGCTCTATACTTGCATCAGCACACCTGAGAGACGCCTGGCACTCAGGAGAACAGCTTTATTATGGCTGGTGGAGGAGGAAATCAGTATCTTGATTCTGGATCAGTAGGCCTATGATAAGAATATTGCAACTATTACATTTATTAGAGTTTGAATATCTTTTGGTGGCATCTGGTAGAAATGCAAAAACAACTAGATTATGCTTGCAAATATATTTATCTTCAGCTAGAACTAAAATGAAAAAAAATAAATACAAGTGGAATAACTGAAGGCAAGTTAAATAGTTTGAATAAATAAGGGTTTATTCAAATACGACATACAAGAGTAAACATTGCTTATGCTGTTGGCTGCGAATGTTCTTATCAGCTTGTTGAGGTCAAGTTTAGGCTGGGGCAGTTGACACGTGACTTAATATCAGACAGAAAGTCTTCATATTCAGACACACAGTTGTATTTCACTAGCAAGGACCACGTCACAACAATGGAATACGGTAAAGATATTTCTTGACGATGGCGAGATGTGATGGCTGGGAGGAGACTCTGGATGGGGGCTCTGTCTCAGGTGGTCAGCCGGACCGATTCAGGACCCACCCTTTGTAGACGATGAGGTCTTCAGGCTGAAGGATGAACGAGAGGTACGGGGTGGGAGGGAGGGGGGTCGAGAGAGCAGAGACAGGCGGTGTTGTTGGGATAGGCCTGTATAAATAGGGCTTTTGAGTAACTGAAAGTGTGGTTGAGCTGAGCTTGGTTTGCTGGAGAGGAGCAGGGGGAGGTTCCTGAATCTAAGAAGACAACAAACCAGAAGTCAATTAAATAGAATACATTTTGTTGTCCACCATGAATGCACTTACAAATGAGTTGTGCGTAAGGACAGTGCATTACAGTACTTACATTATGGTGTTTAAGGAAAATGTTCAGGTTTCCCAGGGCCTTGTGTTCACTGTGTTGCGTAGCATCACGGTGTTGGTAAAGGATGCCATGCGCCGCTTGGACAGGGCACAACCTGTGTGAACACTGTTGCTCAGCAGAAGTGTGGGAAGGAGGCTGAAAAGTGTCCACATCCACTTAGATACAGCCGTCAACCAGTTTTGCAATAAAGGCCGAAATGGGGTGCAGGGTCACTCTGAGATTATCAGAGCTGAATCGCATACAAGACAGAGGAACCGATAAAGACTGAATATCACTGACACGTTTGTCAGTGGCCTTCCATTTCTGTCCCTGGATATAAGATACGTGGATATAAGCCTCCTTCCTCCCCTCCTCCTCTCCACAGTACTATCTCACTGGAAGAAAAACACACAAATAAATGTACTTGAATAACTTATACTATAAATATAAAAAACTTACCTGTTGTGAGTTAGTCACACGGCAGTCCCACCTCAGGACCTCAGCAGCCCTCCAGACCCAGCTTGGACCTTGTGCAAAAAACACAAATATTCAATATACTTGGAGGAGGGACAAATACAATCCATAGAACTCTCAAGTGTACCTGTATTTTGTACGACAACATGGATATAAGCCTCCTTCCTCCACTCCTCCTCTCCACAGCCCCCACTGTAAGGTTCCATCTCACTGTAAGAAAAAAAGACAAGTAAAGGTACTGTACTTCAATAATTCAATACTATAAACAAAAAACTTACCTGTACTATATATTCTTTGCTTTTGTTACCTTCAGTGTTTTCCCTTCCTCCTCTCTTTCTGCAGGATCACACTTGCCTGATGGTGAAAGCTCAAAAGAAAAGAAATAAGTATTATTTTTCTGTAAAGTAATGTGGTAATAATGAATCAATACTCATCATTTTGTTCAGTATATTTGTCATATATTCCTGTATTTAAGTCCCAAACAACAGGAAAAATGTGTGCTGTCATTCAGTTGCCACACGTGTTGTTTTGGTTCAGTGTTGCTTCGGAGACTGTTCCTCTAGAATACAGGGGACATCAGAGGTGTTTCCTGCAGGTTGGTGGACAGCACACAGGTCCTCGTGCAGAATATAGAGCACATAGGCCATGGTGCTTTGTCTCTTGAGCTGGACACACAACCTGAGCCTGGACCTCAGGCAGACTCTGGGAACACAGAAAAAAACCAAAAACAAAACACAAATATATAATATACTTAGAGAGAAAAATGCAATTCATTGTTGTTGACAATGTACCTGTATTTTGTATAACATGGATAGAAGCCTCCTCCTCTCCACAGCCTGCAGTCTAAAGTTCCATCTCACTGTAAGAACAAAAACGAGAAATAAATGTACTGTACTTGAACAACTTCATACTGTAAATTTATATAAAAACTTACCTGTACTGTATATTCTTTGTTTGTCACTTTGGGGGGCTGTTACTCGGGGATACAGGGGACATAGGAGGCGTTTCCTGCAAGTTGGTGGACAGCACACGGGTCGTCGTGGAGAAGCATGGAGAGAACACAGGCCATGGTGCTTTGTCTCTTGAGCTGGACACGCGACAGTCCCACCCCAGGACCTCAGCAGCCCTCCAGACCCAGCCCGGACCTCGGGGAGGACACTGGAACAAGAGGCCCTGTGCATATCTTGATTTCCCACTGAATCCTCAAATGTCCAAAAGAGCCAGACATACTGTATGATCTTGTGTTCTTTTCACATTGGCTTCTTTGCTTTGACATGTCTCCCATTTCTGTCCCTATGAAAACCAAACACAAACGTACAATAAAGTCGGAGGAGGGACAAATACAATTTATAGTCGTCTCTAGTGTACCTGTATTTTGTATGATAATATGGATTTAAGCCTCCTCCTCCTCCACTCCTCCTCTCCACAGTCTGCACTGTAAAGGCCCATCTCACTGGAAGAAAAACAGACAAATAAATGTACTGTACTTCAATAATTTAATACTGTCAATATAAAACACTTACCTGTACTGTATATTGTTTTATCACTCCGACATTTTTCCCCTCCTCACCCCTTTTCACATTTTCCCATTGTTTGTTTTTCCTTTATCCATGGAGAAGGTGCAAGAGCCTAGCTAAGGAGCTTAAAATGAAATCTAAAAATGTTCACACTAAAACACACAGCAAACTATTTACAACATAAAAATTACACCACGCAAAACCTATCTAAAAATGTTCACACTGAAACACACAGCAAACTATTTACAACATAAAAATTACACCACACAAAACCTATCTAAAAATGTTCACACTAAAACACACAGCAAACTATTTACAACATAAAAATTACACCACGCAAAACCTATCTAAAAATGTTCACACTAACACACACGGCAAACTATTTACAACATAAAAAATTACACCACACAAAACCTATCTAAAAATGTTCACACTAAAACACACACGGCAAACTATTTACAACATAAAAATACACCACACAAACCTATTTAAAAATTGTTCACACCAAACTATTTACAGCATACTAATTTAAACTTGTTTTTTTGTTTTGTTGTTTGCATTTGCTGTTTAACAAGTGATGTGTCACCCTTAACAGCAAGACTCCAGATCCTCTTCTGTGACTGAAACACAAACAGAAAGAGGATCAGTTCTTAAAATAAAAGGAGTACTTGTGTCTTTGGGGAGCAAATGGCCTCTGTGGCTCACTTGACCTTGTCCTGTCCTTCCAGTCCTTCTTACGCTCCTCCAGGTAGTCCTCCATCTGCACCACCCAGTCCGGCCTAGGTCCAGGGAACAGGCGGGCAGCGTCCAGCTCCAGCAGCGGGAGAAGAGGGGCAGGGGCAGGAGAAGAGGAGGAAAGCCTCGGAACCTTCGCGGGGCGAGCGGGCTCGGCACAAGCGGGGCGCTTCCGAGACAGAGGAGCACAGTGAGGACGCCTGAAACCAGAAAGCACAGCGTCAGGGCGAGGGATTATCTGAAGGCCCCTGACGGCAGCAGCGGGCACAGGGCGGTGGGCAGCAGCGGCGGGCACAGGGCGGCGGGCAGCAGCAGCAGCGGCGGGCACAGGGCGGCGGGCAGCAGCAGCAGCGGCGGGCACAGGGCGGCGGGCAGCAGCAGCAGCGGCGGCGGGCACAGGGCGGCGGGCAGCAGCAGGCACAGGGCGGCGGGCAGCAGCAGGCACAGGGCGGCGGGCAGCAGCAGCAGCGGTGGGCGTAGGGCGGCGGGCAGCAGGGGTGAGGGTAGGGCACACAGCAGCAGCGGGAGCAGGCACAGACCTAGGGGGTAACACCGGGTCACTAAAAACAAAGGAAGAAGGCAGGACAGAAAAGCTGAGCTGAGGAGTAGGAGGAGGCATTGTGGAGGCAGGAGTTTGTAACGTTTGTGTGTCTGCGTGTGTGTGTGTCTGTGTCTGTGTGTGTGAGGACTCAGAGCGAGAGCCGGGGTCCTGTGCAGGACGTCTGGACGCCTGATGGGTCACCGGGCCAAGGACCACACGGATCTGTGGAGAGGAAAAGAATGTGTCAAACACCAGTGCTACCAGAGCTCACATTTTAAAACCAGAGCTGAGAACATAAAGAGTTCAATTAACACTCGACATGGGGCCATATTCAAATTTGGTGTTGCAATTATTATGGCAAAAATAACTGTGATTAATGATTACATCATTATAGTTATTCAAGGTGCTGACAGTTAAAACAACTTATATTTACATATTTAAACAACTGTACTTCGTTATAAATAAAAAGTATTAAAAGTATTAGTAATAAAGTATTAAAAGTAGTAGACTATATTATGATTAAACTTAGGTAAATATGACTTTAAGCTCTTTTTTGTTTGTTGTATAGACAACTTCTAAGACCCCAACTGATTGGAGATCACTTAAACCAATCTATGAACATACCCATTCATTTGGGGACTATTCAAGAAATGTTGCATCTTTAATTTAGCTCAACATATGCTTTCATTTGACATGTGGAACTTGTCATGTAAGTTATACTATTTATGTTGTCAACCTGTGAAGGAAATTCTAATGAAAATTCAAGACTTGTCAGTATACTATATAGGATTTGGGATCTAAATTCTGGGTATGTGCAGATTTTAATTGAACAATACAGTAGACTGTAGGGATTGCGAGGTGATGTGTAATCTTATTTTGTCAGAGTCCAACAAAATCAGGTGTATCTTTAAAAAAGAATTTTAGCCTGAACAATCTGGGAAAAGGCCTGCATGCTTAACTATAATGTTCCAACAAAAGCAGCAGGAGTTCTCCTCTAGTACCTCAATACATGTTTTATTTGCTAAGGTTGCTTTTCTGCATGTATCGTCTCACTATAGTCACCCTATTATTAGGCTCTAGTTGGAGTCAGTGGTCAGTTAAGTGACCGCTGGAACCTAACTCATTTTAGGTGGAGTCATTGGAAAAACCATGACACTACAGCAGATATTTAGGAGATTAGAAGCATAAGAGCTCACATTTCTTGGAATAAAATATACCATAAACATGACCTAGACATTGATAAAGGGGCATTTGCTGAGTTAATGATTGCTTTTTCAGTAACACGATGAAAACCCATAAGGCCTATGAACCAGGAAACTGACAAACCTCACGTGTTCCTCAGAAACGTCTCGTAGTCCGATGCAGAAGGTTGTCAGCCAAAGTCTGGGTGAAATTCTGTCGGACTTGTGCCTCTTCTTTTCAGAAATCGTCGATTGAAGTTCTCAGATACAAGTTTTGGACCGCAGCCAAGGTTTGCAAAGTTTGCAAGAGAGCGCGTATCACTCAAAAGATGCACTTAGCAACAGCAGCGTCGTCCGTGCGTGCTGACGGCACAACGCTTACGTACAAGGCTCACGTACGTCTGTGCAGTACGTGCTTCTTCTCCTACTCAATTACAAACTCAAAAGGTCCACTTACCAGAAGTCACGGTGTATCTCCAAACTTAAAACTTCTAACAAAGAATGTAGTGAATCCACATGGAACATTTGAACTATGCGCAAAGTACTAAATACACTACAAGATAGATAAATACTAAATACACTAGCTAAATGGCTACTTTAGCAAAGCTAAGCTAAGGGCGCTCTGCTCCCGTTCCTCCTGTACCACTGTCACTGCGCTGGTCTCTGCAGAGCCGCTCTTCTGTCTGGATCATGTCAGTCGATCGCACCAATACTTTAGGCCCACTGAACATTTAAAACTGTAATCGGGCAGCAGAAAGAAAGTTTGGAGTGAGCGAGAAACTTGTGAGGGATTGGCTAAAGACAGCTTCACAGTAACCGGGAGGATGTGCCATGTAACTTTCCTGGAAGTCATTGGATGGATGGATAAAGCCTGGACTTCACTGACAGCCGAAACCATCCTGTCGGGATTCAGAAAGGCTGGAATAATTCTAACTAGAACTGATGCTGAGTCTGACGACAGCTACACAGAAGAGGAAGCGGCGCCCCGTTTACCCGTGGATCTACGGTCTACCTCCGGATGTCGCGCAGATGTGACACTGAGGATGAAGAATTCAATGGATTTAGTGATTTGGAGTGAGATCGTGAGTTTGGTAAACTTATGTTAAGTTGTTTATGCTATAGTTTTCTGAATAACTGTGTAATATGTTACATAACATATTAACGCCTGTTCAGCTTGTTGTTCTCTATTCTGTTGTTATTACTAACCAAAAAGTGCGGCTTATCGTCCGGTTTATGTTGTTTTTCTTCTTCATTGCGCATTTTTTCGCTGGTGCAACTTATACTCCTGAGCGACTTATATTCCAGAAATTACGGTTTATAAAAGTATTAAAGTGTGTGCTTCTAAATTAAACTGTTTAAAGAAAGAACTAACACTGTAAATAACATTCAGGCACGTTTTGCGCTTTTTTGCAGTGTGGGAGAGCACAATAAACCACCCAAGCCTGAGTTTTTTGAAGAATCCCACCACAGTATTTATTTATAGAAATAGATGGGCATTTTTCTCTTATCAAATAGAGTTTAAGTGGATAACTGTTTTTGAGCAGGCTATAGCAAGAGAAAGCAAGGCAACATAGTATACATTATTTTATGTTGCCAATTCATGTCATACTAATTTTTATTTCAAAATGTCAAAAAGTTTTTCATTTAATGGTTCTTCTTTACTTCCATGATTATGTACATTGTGATTTTTTTTTAATGCATCAAAACCAACAAAATGATCCCACAAAGTCAATCTAAATTAGTTTTAAAAAAGGAACAGAAAGACGAGGCAGTGCTCCAATCAACAGTTTATTTAACACATTTTTGCTTTCCTAAATGAGGTTTCTAACAAAGGCATTTAAATTACAATACATTTTCCTCCACTCATGCAGATACATAAGTTATGTAAGCTTTAAATAAATCAAGTCTCTCCATCTTAAGTACCTCACAGCAGAATGAGGCCGTTCATTTACACAAGGCACTGGGCAGGCTATGATAGAGCAACTGGAATATATGAATAACAGTGCCCTCAGTTCACATTGGATCCCCTGACAAATATGGGCAAAAATGCTGGTAAAATATATTCAAAAACTTGGATAATTTGTATTTACATTGAATAAAAAACTTGCCAATCATTGGAAAACATGCAATTGTGCAGTTGTGAAAAGGAAAACTCTTTGAAGAACGTTCCAAGTGATTTAACTTTTTTTCGCTTTGAAATAAACAGTCTACTCATATTCAGGAAAAAATACATGGATCTCTGACCTGGTTAAGTCCTGGTTCAGTCTTGTTTTAGTCGTCCTGGTTTGGTTCCGGTTTAGTCCCGTTCAGTCCCAGTTCAGTTCTCTTTAGGTCCTGGTTAAGTGCTGGTTTAGTCCTGGTTCAGTCCATGTCTGACTGTGGAAGAACTGTGAGTTAGTTAGCTCTTGGGGTCAGGGTTGCCGAAGTGAAGGAGGGCAGTGTGACTTTTAAAATCAAAAGAAAGGCTTCTGGAAGAATTAACCATAATAATAATAATAATAATAATAATATTCTGATATTCTGTGACCTTTGAACTGGAAGTATTTAAAGGCCCTCACTTATACTTCACAACAAAGTCACACATAAGTTTCATAAGTTAGTTGAACAACACAACAGCAACTAAATCAAGATTCCAAAATAAAAAATATCTCAAATACACAACACACCTGGGTTATAACAAAATATTTACACACAACCCCAAAGGGAAGAATCAAACTTATTGCCAACAGCAGGCGCCATATGTCCTCTGATACTAACAACTTTAAACTATGTCTGAAATTGAAATTTTATAAATAAAAAAATACACTCTACAAAAATAATTATTTAAATTATTAATTTAAAAGAAAACATAAAATGCAGGTGCAGCTTCATATGCACTCTGCAGAAGAAATGTATAAAAAATTGATGCATCAAACAAAGACAGTTACATGAAACAGAAAATGTGACATTATTTCTGAATATTATTGTGAAGTTATATTTTATTTATACCTATTGAAGTCATGTGTCTGAATGGCGATTGTAGAGTATATATATAAATATAAAACAGTACTTTATACATGAGATTCCTTGAATTTCTGAAAATCATCAAGGATCAAGAGTAAACGCAGTAAAGTGCAACAATACAAAGTTAAGATTTGTTTTAGTTTTGATCGCAATTTGATTTCGAACTGAAATCAATTCACTTTTCTGTGAATGTTTTGACATATCTGAAATTGTAATGATGTAATGATATTTTGATCTTGAAAAAATCTATCTCAGTAGATTTTAAAAAGTAAAGTTAATATTGTCAATTTGCGTCTTGTAAAACTTAAAAAGCTCAAATCCTAAATAAAAATTTGGCCAAACAGCAGAATATGTTCTGAGAGTTTATAAAAGTATAAAATGATAAAATTATAGCTTTGCATAATTAAAAAATAAATAAAAATAAAAACACAGTCTACCTTAAAGCAATATCTCCAGTTCAATGCTTCCTGTGAAGAAAGTAAAATCCTTTATCCTCCAAATTTAACCAAAACTCTCCAAAAAACATTAGTTTAAGCACCACAGTAACAGTTCATTGTGAGAGCTCTGTGCTTCGCTCCAGAGCTTTTGGAAGTGCAGGCTCGTTCACAGGAGTGCATGCAGACTGCTCTGGAGCCACTAGGGGGAGCAGTGGGGGGGTATACGCAGACTTGGTGGGCTGAGGGGGGGCTGGCTGGGGCTCCTGAGGAGGTGTGGCCGGTCTCTGGAACTCTGGGTCTCTAGTGTTGGCCACCCCGCCTTGCACACTGCCCCCTTGGGGTCGCACGCAGGGGGTCACAGTAGCGTCCGGTCGCGTGGGGGAGGGAACAAAGACGTGAGAAGAGGTTTGGGTGGGGCCGCTTGGGTGGGCATCTTGGATGGAGGTGGGGTCATTGGCGAGAGTGGGGTCAGTGGGGTGATGCTCTTCGGGTTGGTATTGTTTGAGACGGATGTGCCAGGCCAGGCTGCAGACTGCAGACACAGTCTTGAACTGATGGATGACGTTTCTGGGGATGAAGTAAACGTCATCGTCACAGAGCTGGACTCGAACATACCTGATACCCTCCCGCCGCAGCTGGTTCAGCTTGGCATCATCCACCCACTGAACGCACTGGAGACACAAGGATTTATAGTAAGAGGGAGAATATTTATGACTTGTAAATTCTTTCAGCATCAAACTCCAGCAGTCATCCCACACTCAGAGAACATGAGTTAAATGCCTAAATTTAGTTTTTTGACTTTGAAGGTGGTGCAATGTTATGGTCATACTTTTTTGTAGGATTTTACATATATTTCAACAGCAGCAGTCGCCTAGCAGGACTAATTTAACCAACAAGCAGACTGACCAACATGCACAGCAAACATTTATATAAAGTGGCTACAATGCTGTCTTGTCTTTTAGTGCATATGAATGATGTACCTGGTCAGATTTAGCAGGCTTTTCTATGGGTAGAACAATAGTTAAACTTACCTGTGACACAGGGGGCTCGTAGATGTCCAGTTGGAGTCTGTGGACAACATCGCTGAAGTCTCCAGCGTCGAAACACACAACGTCTTTGGTGATCCGAGGCTGTGGGTTACTGTTAACAAAATACCTTTGTAAATACAAGGGTGTAAAGCACAGAGGGCCACATATCAAGATACAAAACAGTGGACCATTCAAACTGGTGCATTTAACAAAATTTACAAAAGCTTGGAACATTATTGTTTGGTCTGTACCACAAACGGGTCTTATTGAGGTCATTAAGTTATGCTATTACTTATGATCATTTGGGCCAAATCAGCAGGAAACCTGAGTCTACAGAATGTGTCTGGGTCATAGTTTGGAAACCCCTGATATAAAAGCAAGTACAAGTGTATAATAGTTACACCTGACTCTGACAAACAAATGTATGGTATTTTAATCCATAAATAAACTCACTGCTCTCCGAAGTGCACAGCCTTGAGCACGCCCACAGCCGCAGTGCTCTGCCAGTCAAAGCTCTGCCCCACGTGATCTGCATGAGCTTTAGTCCTGTCCTCAAACAGCATCTCTCTGGGCTCACTGGTCCTGGGCAGGTAGTGCAGGTTCTTGATCTCATTCATTGACCTGGAACAACAATATTACAGGCACAAAAAAGATCACATATCAAATCATCAGATCACCATAACAAGAGATGGGTACTTTAAAATATGATATTGAAATTAGTTTTTTTTTTCTCCATTGTTTGCAAAAAAGGAAAAAGAAACTAAACTTGCCAGAGGCCTAAAGGGGAGAGAGAGGGGGAGGAGGGGTGGTACCTGGAGCTAAACAGAAACAGTATGATTGATCTAAAAGGTATCTACACTTCAAAGTGTTGGATGACAGCAAACATATAATCTGATCTCATTATTTGGATGATGTAAAAATAATACATTTTTGTCAGTACCACTCCTTAGCTCTATGTTATTTATAGTGTACAGCACCTGCGTCTCTTGAAAGGAGACTTGGGCATGTCTGCAGTGGGCACCATCTGTTCCCCAGGTCTGACCCACAGGATGGGTCCATCGTCACTCTGAGTCCTGCAGTCCAATCTCAGACTGGAAAGAGTACCCCAGGGCAGCGTCATCTACAGGCAACAAGTGGAACTGATTCAGACTAGAGTTATACATAGCACTGTGCTAATATTAGCAACCCAGATCAAATCATCTAAGTGCTGCAGTTTTGGAGGAATGATTATTTCTGGGTCGGTTTCTGACAGTGCAAGATGGACCTATTCGTCTTCTCCAGACTGATTTAGAGCGCATCCAGTTCACTTAGTGATGTGTGCATTGGACAGCCTTGATAAAGGTTGTTTTGTATTCCTCCAGAATTCACTCAAGGAGGTGACATGAGCTGTGAGTAATGATGGTTGCAGGAGCTGGACTTTAGCTAATGACGTTTGAACCAACTGGATTTCACCTTTGAAACTGGACACCCAAATGAGAGACTCAAGTGATGCTTATTCTGCTTTATGATTGAATTACTGAACCAAAACACCAAATTATGATATAGACAACTTGGGCATCATATTCTATGTTTTTGTAATTTAAATAAATCAGCATTATTTAGAGTGGTTATCAGAGTTGTATTTGACCACGTCTGCCTCTTGGGACAGATTTAAGGTTTAGTAAAGTAAACTTTTAATTTTAATCTACATATATAAAACAATGTTAGACCTTTAAAAAGGGTGACTCTTCGAGCATGTTGAGGAATTCTGGGAAGAAGTTTCCAACCTCCTCATCCACGGCTCCCACCAAACTGATCTGCCTCATTGGGCCAGCACGGTACGTCCCAGCGCAGTATGTACGGCTCACCTGGACAACACATAACTGTCAGGGATGTGCTGGGAATGAATGAATGTAAATGAACAGATTTGTGACAAAAAGCAGAAGGACAGTTAAAATTATATGTCATATTGTGTGTCTCTGTGTAAGGTGGATTTTCAGGAAGCTGGTGTCAGGCTGGTCTAGGCCAGTGGTTCTCATTAATAATTTTTAGAAGGCTGTTAGCTCCACTTACACAGATTTAACTTGTTCTGATGGGCTTGAATACATCAAGTGGGTCCCATAATATGGTAATATCTATAATAAAATTATAGCAATATGAAGTTGGTGCACCCCTGCATAACAAATTATTGTTGCGATGTATTTTTCCTCAACATGCTATAATATAAAAAAATGCAGACTGACATACCTGAGAGTGAAAGTTAGCGATTGTGGTAGTCTCTATATCTTTCTTGCCCAGAATTTCCATTTTGACTGGCGTGTTGGGAAAATTAAACGCAAAATAGTCCAAGAAGTCGGGCAGATAATTAGCAGCTCCGTGGATCACAGAAAGGGCATATTTGGACGCACCTTTTGGGTGCTCTGTGAAGGCCAAGTCTAGGTACTCCTGAGCAAACGCCTCCAGCTCCTCAGCGCTCAGACACGCCAGTTCGTCAGCGTATGCATGCAGGACATAACCCCCTCCGTTGGGCTGTTTCTCCTCATGAAGAAAGCGCCCAAATCTGGAGGTGGTCTGGAGACAGGAGCTGCGGATATAGTGCTCTTGATGGGAGATAAAGTGTGTGTGACCCAGTTTCAGTGCGTGGAGATACGGGATATGGCTTTTGATGGTTCTCCCTCCTCTCTTCACAGGCCGGTCTTGAGTTCTGCACAGTTTGAGGTCCGTCTGCACCTCTTTGTTCAGGAGGTATCTGACTTTTTTAATGCTGCACTCCTCTTCGCGATGCTTCTTCTTTTTCTTTTTCTTCTTGAGCAGGTACTCCTCCAGTGTTTGAGACTTAAGGTTCTCATCATGAGGTTTTGTCTCTAGAAATAGACAAAAATATATTCTTGTGAGACATGTTAGACCACAGGTCTCAAACATATGGCCCGGGGGCCAGATCCGGCCCTCCAAGACCTTTAATCTTGCCCTCATCTGATTTTCTACTAAAATATTTTAATAATATGTTCTATTAAAATATTGGTAATTTTCTGCGTTGCTTAGCATATCAGCGTCTCCAGCGCCTCTGTGCGTGGCCCCTCCCACCAGAGCAGCACAAATGAAGACTTGCCTCTTTCCAAACGCTCTTAAAGGACGATCGTTTTGACTTTTAACCGTGACACCCTCATCAGCAAAATGTCAAAAATGAGAAAAGTGGACACCAAGTGCAGGATTTTCCGAGAAAATTTAACTTATTCCTATTTACATACAAGTTAATGTTGTTAAAACACTGTTAATGTTGAAATTGCATTTTTCTTAAAGTTTCAGGTTGTTCTTAATAGTATAATATTTTGTGAAAGAAAGAGTTCATCAATTAAAAAAAAGATTTCTGTAATAGATTTGTGTTTCTCTGCACAAATATTTGTACTTATTGTTACTTTTGGGGTTTATATGCCATGAGTTTTCTGATCCGGCCCCTTTGGGATCAAAGTAGGTTGGATACGGCCCCCGGACCAAAATGAGTTTGACACCCCTGTGTTAGACTAATATACTTGGAGATGTGTTTTGTTTCGTTCACACATGTTTGAGTCATTCTTTATTATTAGTTCTTCTACATCTTCAAAATGCTCTGTTCCACCTAGTGATGTCATGTAGTGGTAGTTTTCAATTTAACACCTACCTTTTACCTTTTGTTCAAAAGAAATTGACAATACCAGGGTTTAAATCATCCAAATGACTCTAGTGAAGGTGTTATGAGTTTAAAAACACGGTTGAGCACTTCGTTTATTACCGCACGTCATCACAAGCTGAAACTGATTATTTTCCATTTGAGAGAACCCTAAATATGCAGAGTTTACGTGTTAAACATGTGTGAATGAAACAAAACCAGGGATGTTCGTGATTAGGAAACAATATGGGCCCTTTAACAAGATGTGTTAATGGTTTGCCATGTGCAGTACAAACAGGTTGCGTTCACATCACATAATATTCTAGAAGCACTATAACCTAGTTTAAAAAAGAGCAGCAGGATAAGTTTGCTGTTTAACTGATTGCACATTTGTTGACCTGGTTTATGGTTAATAAACCTGTAGTTACTGGGCCTATCCACATGGACCGGAAACTGACACAAAGTTTAACCTATTTTTTGTCAGTAGAAATACACAGGGAACAAGGGAATAATGTTTTTCACAATAGCTACAAAAAGTGGTGCCACTTTTCAACCCTAAACACGCACTTATTGTCAGCTGAAAAAACAACATTTGTAGATTGTAAATTTGTACATTTCTTGCAAAAACTGTGAAATTCTTAAAGTGCATCTGAAATTATATTAAAAAAATATAGAACAGAACATATTACTATTTAATATCTTAGGAAATTGGGACACTTCTAAATTGAGGTCGCCTGCTGCACCAAACTTTTTTTTTTAATGCCAGATGCCCTTCCAGTTGCAATCAGCCACTTACCATCAGCTACTATGATTTATTATTAGGGATATAACAATAACCAAAATATTGTGATATCGTATCGTCAAAGTTTTTACAATAATATCATGGACCATCACAATATATCAAATTACAAGTCTCTTTGTTTAAATTAAGAGTTATGATGCAGAGACAGAGGGAACTACATAGACCATGATCCTTTGCTCCGTTTCAGTGTAGACAACAAAAAGAAATAACAGTTCTAAGCACTTTAAAGTCTTAGTTATTTGGGTTAAGTCTTCCTAAGGCATTTTAAGAGGAACATATTGTTTTGTTAGCCTCCACAAAATATCTTAATAAATATTGTACCGTGAGATGTATATTGTGAAAATATTGTACAGAGAGATTTGAATATTGTTACATTCCTAATCATAAGCTTTCCCACGATATCGTAATAAATATCGTACCGTGAGGTTCATGCCGTGATGATATCGTATCGTGAGACTTGGATATCGTTACACCCGTATTTATTATTATAGGAAATGCGTGGAAACCTTAACTCAATGTGCCACTGCCATCACACATGCAAGACTACTGCTACAATCATGTGATAAAAGGGCATTAGCTCTGTTTACACAATATGTAAACACAACATCACCTGCACGTATTGTTGTATAGGATTGCAACAAATTCAATATTTTTAAAACCTCATAATACACATATTCATGGTTATTACAAAGGTTATACTTTAATCCCTACTAAAGTTTTCTTACCAGATGTAGCCCATTAAAAGCTACACTATATAACTTTTTCGTTAGGTGTCCATCAGATGCTTGTTTCCAATGGATATGTCATTGCTCTGCCTGGAATGTTCCACAGTATGACATTAAACAGCTCTATCTTACATGTATTAAATTACAGGTGGTTTTGTAGCTCAAAAATACCTACAAAAACAGGCATTCTCACTGTGAGCGGGGTCGCCTCTCCACAGATCTGACCTGTAACTTGGTCCAGTTTGGTCTCCATGAAGATAGAAAGGTTTAATACTATACTGTCAAACATTCCAGACAAAGTAATTTCATAACCTTTCCATGAAGAAAAGCATCTAATGGACACACCACCAGAAAAGTTAATCAGTGCCCCTTGAAATGATCCAACTCACCTTTCTTTTTCTTGACATCGGGGATCTTTAAGTTTCTCTCTGCATTTTCCTTCTTCACTTTGAGTTTGAGCTCCTCTCCCTTCTTCTCCCGGTGTTTCTCTTTAAACTGTGCATCCTTGGCCTTGACCATTTTGAGCGGCGTGAATGAAAAGATCGCCGCTGGCTCTGTGGGCACCGGGCGCTTCTTGGGCACCTGCTCTGTGGGGGTCTTCCTCTGAGGTGCAGCGGCGTTAGAAGGAGGCGTGGCGGGCAGCAGGCTCTTCTTCGTCCCGCTGCCCTGGTTCTGGCTGTGTCCATGGTGGTGGACGTTGTTATGGGAGTGGTGGTGCAGCGCATGTTTGTCGCTGAAATGCCGATGGACAGGAGCTGGAGAGGGAGCGGGAGCGACACAAGCGGTGTTCGGCTGCAGCTTGTGCGGCTTGTGCGCCCGGTGCTCAGCGTGTGGTCTGTGATGGGGGTGATAATGATGATGGAGCTTGACTTTCTTCACCTCTTTCTCCCGTTTGTCCGCCTGCGGTGACAAGGGTCTCTTCTTTTTCTTCTCTTTTATGAATCTATCCAAACAGTCCCTCACCCTTTCTTCTCCTACTTTTACACGGAGCAAGTCGACTTGAGCTGCCATCTTTGCACGTACAGTTCATTTAAAGCACTCAAACTCTTTCTGCGCAGGTGCTCCCAAAATTGTAGTCCGTTTTCTGTCAATTTGTAGTCCTCGCCCGTGTGAATCCTGTGGGCGCGCGTGCGTAAAACGTGGCATCATGGGTTGAGTAGTTTTCTGAAGGCGCAGAGCTTCATGGGAGTTGTAGTCTATAGAGACAGCTGCGTGCAGCCCAGCACGCACGCATTTCTGTCTCAGCTGACGTCATGGTTAAATTGGGAACACACAGAGAGAGCGAGTAACCCTGACCGTGCTTCAGACGAAGAGCTAGTATCGGCTACAGTAATGACATATTACTAAGTAACACGACTACTTTACACTTACTATCGCTATTTATATGCAGCCTTAAACTGCTTACCTACAGCTTAACTTAAACTTAAATTACGTCTCTGTTTGACAGAAATTAGAATTGACTTAAGTTTACAGCACAAAATGGTATAAATGAATCACTTTGAAACTTGAATGATTTTATTCAGTAAACCTTTATTTCAGTGCATGAACAGAATGCCATGACCAGATTATATCTATCCACCCATTTTGTATCAGTCCCTTAAAAAAATAATGAAACGATTTACATAGGATTCTTATGCATGAAGGCAATTTTATACAGGTGCTGTACAATTTATAAACATTTACAACTACCATGATGTCAAAACTAAAACTTTTCATAGAGATTGAAGCAATGCAAGGCCACAGTATCATAAATGGTTAACAGCATGGATAAGAAGAGGGAGTACAGTAGCCCAAAATATCAAAAATAATCATGTATGTGGACTATTGTTGAAGGAGATGCAAGTGCACAGGCAATGGAATGAATGAGCCACTAGATGTCGCTCTACTCCACACATCTACAGTCCAAATCAAGCCTCGTCTCCCTCTAACTTCATATAACAACTTCAAACCAGTTTCCCCAGTTATAAAATCCTTCAAAAAACAACACAAACTTCATTACACCTAAAAGTGACAGGCATTATCTTTGTTCATAAAAATATTACATGTTTAGTCACATTTCGGGTCAAAAATTAAATAAAAACATTGATCGAAAAATAAGTCTAGAAGTTAAAATGGAAGCAAGCAATGTGTCACGTGGTTTGTGCTAGTAAAAATATATTTCAGAAAATAAGATGAAGTTTACACTAGTTACAATCAAGCTTCCGATTCAAATCATTTACAATAGGCTACTTCATTGTTGTGTCATTACTTGGTTAAATAATAGTTGTGAGTATTGTCGTTGCTACAAAATATACATAGGCCCTACAGAGGGAAGCGTACACACAGTGGATGAACCAAGCTTGTGTGGCCATTTGAAAACACTGTAATAGAATGTATAGTTTGAGACAAAACAATATATTTTCTAGCTGTAAAAATTGAAAACAAATTACTCTAGTTTAATTTATACATTATCTGAATAAATTACAATATTATGCTCTTTATATTAACACACAGGAAACGAACATATTTAGAACCACAAGTATCTGGTCTGTTGATTGATGCATATAAAGCTTGTGAGGGCTTGTCTCACCGCACGTTAAAAGAGAATGCATTCAGTCTATTACAGAAGTGCAGTCAAAAACTCCAAAAGACACACACAAAAAAGAGTCTGCCATCTTTGTAGTCCGAACGCTAATTTAAAGGTGCACTGTGGAATTTATCTGGTGGATGGTATGCAGTTTTCTTGTCTCCATGGAAATGCTTTGGTTAGAATGTTACACAGTACGGCGTCAAACGTATTCATCTTCATAGTGAGAAGGGAGTAGGTCAAGTTACAGGTCGTATCTGTGGAGAGGCAAGCCTGCGTACTGTAAGGATGCGAGTTTTTCAAGGTATCTTTCAGTAATAAAATCACCATTGTTGGGCAAGATACTTCAAAACTGTAATGCGTTATTTATGATTTGTTAGTGTAATATCAAAGTAATTTGTTACATTACAATATTACTGCATTTAAAATGTAAGACATTACACAACTACTGCAGCACTTTAAGTTACTCTCACCAAAATAACTGTCGCTAATTGTCAAATAGCAATCACTTTTGCGCCATATATGGACTGAGCCAGGACTAAACCAGGACTGAACTGAGGATTAAACCAGGTCTAAACCAGAACTGAACCAGAACTAAACCAGGATGAAACAGGACTAAACCAGAGCTGAACCAGGACCAAACCAGGTCTAAACCAGGACTGAACCGAGGATTGAACCAGGAGGACTGAACCAGGACTAAACCAGAGCTGAACCAGGACTGAACCTGGGCTGAATCTGGACTGAACGAGGTCTAAACCAGAACTGAAAGAGGACTAAACGAGGACTAAAGTAGGATGAAACCAGGACTAAACCAGAACTCAACCAGGTTTAAACCAGGACTAAACCAGGTCTAAACCAGGACTAAACCAGGTCTAGACCAGGTCTAAACCAGGACGGAACCAGGTCTTAACTAGGATTTGGAATCTAGGACCGCCCCTGAGAGAACGCCGAGCCTATGGAGCAAGGTGTCTGCAAAGAAACGTGCCGTACTGTTGAACATTTCTGACATCTCCGTGGAGACAAGCAGGTGGCATCATAGTGCACCTTTAATCAGTTGTATACTTTCCCCAAACCTTCATTTTGTAAAAAGTAAAATTCTTCATCACCAAATTTAAAGTTCACAGTGTCTGCGATGAGGAGCAGTTTCTTCTTTCTTCATCTTGGCTCAAAATCCCTCCAAAAAGAATCCAAAACTCATGCGTGGAAGGTGAGCAGACCAAGGCAGACTGAGTGAAAAGTGAACAACAACGGTTACACAGTGATTTGTCTAAAAATATATATGTATAACTTGCTACTTCATGTGTCTGTCATTTTTAAAAGGCTCAGATTAGATTCCTTCATAGGCTCCATCCATTTGGGACTGAATTTTCGCAGTGCTCGGGACCTTCCACGGACCTGGGGTTATCTGCGCCTTCTTCGTAGTACTAGCAGAAGTAGCAGTAGTAGTAGTTGTAGTAATCCCATTGGTCAAGCTCGGATCCTGGGCGCTACTGCTTGACCCTCTTGGCTCTTTCCGAACTATCTCTTCATTATAATTCTGATATTCTCTCTCTCGCCTCCCTCTACGCTCAAGCGTCCCTCCTTCTCCTTCAGAAGAAACCCTCTCCCTGGATCTATAAACATCTGGATCTGCGTTTTTGTTCTTTCGGCGTTCCAAATCTTCGCTGTACCTCCACTCGTCCGCGGGGGGTCTGTACGGCTGCTGCCCGCCCGGACGCCTTGGACTTGGGGGATCGTTTTCGTTCTTAGACCCCTTCCTGGGACTAGCCGAACGCCGCTCTTTTTGCCCTCTCTCCCTCCTCTCCGAAGTCACATCTTCCAAGGAGCCGCTCGGTTTTTCCATTTTTCTCGGACTGTGTGAACGTTCCCCATACTCAAATCTGCCTTCGGTATACTTTTGTGGACTAGCTGGTTTGGTGGTTGTTTTTCTGTTAGGAGAGCTTGGGACGGCGGTGTGGTTATGTCTAGATCGGGTTCCGGAGAATTCGTCATTGATTTTGGAGTTGGGAGAGAGTTCGGCGAAGGAGGAAGAGGAGGGAGAGGCTGGAGAGGAAGGTCCATCTGAAGTGGAGAGTCTGGGGAAGCTTGAGGTTTGAGTGGTTACTTTGTCCTTGGAACCTAAAATATAAATAAACAAATGAGTAACTTTTACATTTTAAATAAAGACATACAGTAATTAAGGTCAATAAATTAAAATACTGTGGAAAAGATAATTTGTTTTAGCAGTTCAACCGGTACGTTTTTGGGACACACAGGGATAAATGTACTTAAATACATATACCAAGCCTTTATTCTTATGAAAATAGGATGATGTAATAGTTTTATTCTTTAGCTTAGTCCTTAAATCCAATATAGAAACATAAAATCATTTACTTAAAGGTACACTGTGAGGCTCCACCTGCTTGTCTCTATGACTATGTTTCAAAATGTCCCACAATGTGGCATTTAACTAATTTATCTCTATGGATAAAAATAGTTGCTGCCACTAGGCCAAGTTACAGGTCTGATCTGAGGAGAGGCAACCCAGCTCAGTGTAAGGGTGTATGCTTGACTAAATGGACAAGTTTAATGCTGTACTGTGGTAGCCTGATTCATCAGCAGGAAACCGTCTTCGCTCGACAGTAGGTGGGTACTTTTTTAATTTAACCAATCACTGCTATTTGGTCGGGACATATGTAATGCGCCGCTGACGGGGCTAACTAATATATTAAGCTTTTCCCAAATCCTGTAGGAAGAAGGGCAATAATGTCTTTCCCCTTGATAAAATTCACCAAACATTCTTTTTGTTCCGGCTTTAAATCCTCCATCTCAGGAATTGTTGACAACACAGAATATATGGCTCTTCGCTGATTGGCTGGTGCCCAAACTCGCACTTCCGGGGTTTTTACGAACCTAGTGCAGACATGTCAAACTCAGGCCCGGGGGCCACATTTGGCGAACGATATAACTATATTTGGCCCGCGAGGTCATATATGCATTAGAGCTGGCCCGCCAGCTACAAAATTTTGTTATTGTTTTATATTATGCTTGTTCTAGATTCACTGTTTAAGCAAAACTATTATTAAACATTTATTTTAATAAGAAAAGGTTTAACATTACATATCTCGAAAAAAGAGAAAACATGTAGATGTTTTTGAAATTTTACAATAAATATTTAGTTTGGCCCATGACTTAATCTCAGTTTTTAATTTTGGCCCTCTGTGAATTTGAGTTTGACACCCCTGGTCTAGTGTATTCTGATTCCTGACCTAGTCACTGGAGAGAAATGAAATTGAGCAGAGGCACTAGGTGGCGCCAGCCTGGATAATACTGTGGAACATTTAAGGCAAAGTGGTAAACATCTCCATAGAGACAAGCAGGAGACATACCATCTACTCAAAAAGTTGCTTAGTGAAGCTTTATGTTTTACGTTAGATACAGTATATGATGACTGAAGTGGGCAATGTCAACTCTACTGTTTCACCTAGGGACTCAGCAACATTATGCCCGGGCAAGGGTTGAACTGATAACCCACTGTGTACTGCCCTATGGATTATAAACATTTCTTCCAAAAATATCTTGAATATTTTGCTTTGTGTATGTACAGAATTGAACCACTGAAACAAATCAACATTCCATTATAATAGAATGTACTGACATGCATTTGAAAACAATTAACCTGACCAACCATCCCTGTTACTTTAATAGTACATTGAATAAACCTGTAATTTAAAGGTCCTATATTACACAAAATGGATTCTTGTGAGCTTTAAGTGATGTTATAATGTTGTTACCTCATTGAAAACATACCTGGAGTTGTGTTTTGTTTCATTTATATATACTATTACTACTATTCCGTTTGAGAGAAGAACAAAACACAACTCCAGGTCTGTTTTTGACGTGAAAACAACATCATAACATAGATCAGAAAATAGCGTAATATAGACCCTTTTATTTTTTTTAATTTTTTTTTTTGAGCAAACCAAATCAGCTGAGTAAAGTGTTGTATTTAGTGTTTGTGATGACAATTTTAGTAAATGGCTGGTCAGGATAATTAGCAAATAAACTTATGTCATGCGAAAAGCACCAAAACCTCAAAGAAAAAAGTACCTCCCGAAAGTAATTTAAAACGCCTCTAAACACTGGTCTTGTTTATGTTTCATCCACTGACATAATCAATGCAAAAGACTAACATAGTGACAGTTCCATTTTCCTCAGGTCTGATAAGAGCTGCACAAGAAATATGCCACAGACAGAAACAGAGAGAGTGATGGAATTTGGTGGAATGAGATTTTGGATTTCTTGAAGCGAAATCTATATTTATTTGATCGTAAAAAGGAGAGATGTTAAGTCGATGTCAGAGAATGCAGATATACGTTTTGCTAGAGTGTTTAATAGCTGTTTTTTTTTCATATATTTGAAATTGATGTGTTTTAAGTAGCATCCATAACAGGACACAGTATTTTTTCGATTAACAGAATTTGAATTGCAACAGTGAACCAGTGATGACTTGGTTAATAATAATACTTGTTAGAGGTGTAACGATATCCAAGTCTCACGATACGATATCGCCATGGTATGAACCTTACGATACGATATTTATTGCGATATCGTGGGAAAGCTCATGATATGGAGGAGAGGCTAACGATTAGAGATGTAACAATATCCAAATCTCTCGGTACAATATTTTCACGATATACATCTCACGGTACGATATTTATTGCGATATTACGTGGAGGCTAACAAAACAAAACTGTTAATATGTGACTTTTTCCTCTTAAAATTCCTTGACAAGACTTAATCCAAAGAACTGAGACTTAAAAGTGCTTAGTAGTCTGTACTGAAATGGAGCAAAGGATCATGGTCTATGTAGTTCCCTCTGTCTTTTTTTAGCTATTGCTGCACCATAACTCTTAGTTTAAGCAAAGATACTTGTAATTCGATATATTGTGACGGTCCACGATATTATTGTTAGAACTTTGACGATACAATATCACGATAATTTGGTTATTGTTACACCCCTAATACTTGTTGACTGATAAAAAATTTGACTTTTGTATGCCAGATGCCCTTCCTTTCTGTCACATTAACAGTGACTAGAGTAAGCATGAATGAAGTGTCTTGCTCAGGGACACAATGACTATATTTTAAAGGGCTCATATTAGGTTATGTTATACTCGTGTTTCCTCATTCCAAACATACTTGGAGTTGTGTTTCCCTCAAAGAGAAAACACTCCGTTCCACCTTGTGATGTCATGTGGTAATACAGGAAGTGCTCCACTACATTTTTAAACTCTCTACACTTTCACTAGAATCATTTGGGAAATTTCAACCCTGGATTTGCCACTCTCTTCTGAACAAAAGGTAAAAGGAGCTGTTAACTTGAAAACTACCACTACATGACATCACAAGGTGGAACAGAGTATTTTGAGATTTGGATTACTCAAAGAATGTAACAAAACACAACTCTAGGTATGCTTTTGACTCACAAGAGTACATTTTCCGTAATATAGGACCTTTAAAATATTTTCTATATCAATATTATTTTTTTATTTTTTTATTTTGCCCATAATTTTGCATATTATATCAACATTTTACATATACTCAGCTCTTAGTTCTCCATACCATATATTCACGCTTGGAACTGGTGCTACAACTACTCAATTTAACTGCAATTTATTTAGTATTTTAATGGAAAAGCAAGTAGTAGCAATAGTATATGTGGTTTTACTATTATTAATTCATTGTAGTTTGTAGTAATAGTAGTGGTAGCATGTTGCATTATAATCAGAGAAGTACAGCCTTCTTAAGCAATCAAACCGTCTTCTTTACCCAAATGACTACTTTCAGAGTCATTTACATAATAGTAGACTCGAGTGCAGAATAGCTGGTACTTCTCTTGCCTCTAATAGTACTGATAAGTCTATTACTGTGCACAGACTGATGGGGGCGGTGTGAAAGTTGAATGGCACTTGACAAGAAGAAGAGAGTTGAAAGAGTTACCAAAGTTATTATGGACAGACCAAGAAAAGCAGTGACTCAGTCTTTAGTGAAGCTCTGGTTTCATGTAGAAGCACAGGGAGGAGGTGGAAGAGTTCAGACCTACAGGAGGGAGAGAGACAGAGAAAGAGAGACACAGAGAGAGAAAGAGAGAAATACAGAGACAGAGGAGAGACAGAGAGAGAGCCGTGCTGAGCAGAAATCGTCAGGCAAAAAGCTACAGAGGTGGGTAGGACAATTACAGTACCAATAAAATAATTTTAACTGGAAAACCATTTGATAATTTTGAAAACTGCAATACAAATAGGTGTATACAAATATGTTACCTTATTATTACTTTAAAATATTATATATCGGAATGCTTTCGACTGCACCACTCTTGCAACCAACCAAATGTACCAATATACTGTTCAGAATTATTTATGGTTGTACATGTGCAGTATTCGGATATTTTGTGTTCTATATTTTTGCAAGCTTTTTTCTCCACTTGAGTTATATTGTTTTGAAGTAGCAATACTCTATTTGAGAATACCAATTATAAGAAAGTAGGTAGTAGGTAGTAGACAATGCTTTAACATTTTTAATTTTGTATTTAATTTTCTTACTTGATTATTTTCCTCCGTACAGATACCAGAATATTATGGTGTTTTCAGTCATCAACACAAAAATGTTATGCCCAATCAGTTTTCAGTATTTCACCAAATGTTTATTCTCTTCTACTTGAGAAACTGTTTTGAGAAATCTAAAGATAGAATACATGTTTATCATCTCTACCCAACTCTGAAAGCAAGGCAGATAAAAGCACAATCAAAAATAGAATGAGAGAGAGAGGCTGCAGTTCAAACATGCACAGGTCTGTAAGCATCCACACACACACAGCTCTGTATGTGAAACGCGAGGGCCCAGGACTCACTGTGGTCGGGCACTAGGCCCTGGCCTGGTCTCAGCAGCAGGTGAACTTTGGTGCCTCCGGCTTGGATCAGCTCGATGGCTCTGGTGTGAGTGATGCCCTGTGTGGCCTCTCCGTTTATCTCAACTATCTGATCTCCAACCTGCAGTGGAAAAAGTCATTAGTTATTATTCATTAGTTATTTTCAAAATAATTTAGTTAAACTTTCAGATTGCAGATGTGTTGACCTGGTTTATAGTTCATCTCTGAAATTACTGAGCATATTGCCTTGGATCCAGAATACACACTCTAATTATACATATATATTATATTCTAAATCTGGAGTTCAGATGGCTGTGATTGACAGGTGGATTAATAAATCAGGGACACACATGGTCTGTTCATATCAAAACAAATATGGCTGCTTATGGGAAAAAATAAAAAGCCAGAAAAACATTGCGGATATCTGGCAATCAATGAGTGAAACAATAAACTGGGGTTAGAAAAGTTAGATTTTATTCAAAATGATAGTGAGCTTCTTCTTTTCACATGCATCACTGAAATAAACACATCTGATTGGACTGTACTATCTGAATCTGTCCACATAAAGGGATTCATTTTGTGTTTTATAGACATAATTGAAAGCTCCTCACATGTATCCTGCCGTCTTTAAGCGCAGGTCCATCCTCAGCGAGTCGTAGGATAAACAGACCCATGTTGTACTCTTTCCCTCCTCTGAGACTGAAGCCAAAGCCTCTGTGACTGCGCTCCAGCTCCACCACAAAACAGCCCTATACACACACAGCATAACACACACATTATTACATAATTATGCTCTATAGCTCTATTTAGAGTTCTACCCATAATTTCACATACTACATTAAGATTTTACATAAGATACTCAGCTCTTAGACCTCTTGGAACCGGTGCTATGATTACTAAACTGCAATTTATTTCAGATTTTACTGGAAAAGTGTGTAGCAGCAGTAGCATTTTTGGTTTTAGTATTATTAATATATTGTAGTAATAGCAATAGTAGCACTAGAATCAGAAAGTACCACCTTCTCAAGCAATCAAAATTTCTGTATTACCCAAATAACCACTTTTCATTTTAGAATCATTTACATAATAGTAGACTGGAGTGCAGAATTGCTGGTACTCCTGACTCTAATAGTACTGATAAGTTTGATATACAGAATAACACAGACAATATATATTATGCTCTATTGCTTTTCTTCGGGTTCATATGTCTGTATATGTCTGCAATGGAGTAGTGGTATCAGGCCACAAGTGTTTGACCTTCTTGACTCCTCCACGCCACTATCAGTGTACAAATTTAGATTTAAGATGTTGACATGTGTATTTCCTTTGACCTTTTAAAGAGATAATTGAAACGTAAAACTGTTTTTGACCTTCTGGGATCAGTGTCTTTTTTGGCTTTTATCAGTCCCGTGCACATGATATACTTCTGTTCATTTTGCACATGCATTTCGTAATTGTTTGGTTGTCCTAAATAATAAATAAATAATAATACCATATACCTACCCCTCCATCTATCTATCCATCCATCTAGCTTTATCTTTATTTATTTATTCATGGAACGCTACGATTTTGTAACTGTGTGTGTATATATATATATATATATATATATATATATATATATATATATATATATATATATATATATATTATATATATTATTATTTATAGTATATTTATACTATTTTTTGGTATATTTTACTAAATGATTTTGTTACAGCCCTACAGTTTTGTTGTTGAAACTCTTTTATGCGACACATTTGACATTTTCACTGTTTTGATGATTAAAATTTTTGAGTTTTATATTAACTTTGCACACGAAGTGGTTTAACACAGTTTTTTAGCATCGCAGCCATGATTTAGAAATTATTTTTTACTGAACCATATTGAATCGATTTGATATATATTGTATCGAATCAAAAGTGCACTGTATCGAGATGTGTATTGTACCGTGACCTATGTATTGAGTTATGTATCGTATCATGGCCTATGTATCGTATCGGCAGCTTCTTAATGATACCCAGCCCTATTTATCACATTTATTAGCTTTGGACTTGCCTGTTTGGGGCCTGATGTGATCATTTGGCCAGTGTCTCTTGAGAGGTTATTGAGCTCTGAGTCGCCATTCCTGCAAAAAAAAAAAAAAAAAGAAAGAGGACTGTCAGTACTGTCCAAAGTATAGTTCACTTAAAGTTTGTCACTGATGTATGAGTGTGCATATCCAGTAGACTATAAACAGGTAAGAGCTCAGCAGGGGTAGTTGCTCTGTATAAATAAACAAGAGTGTTTCTTCAGCCCTCTCTTGCACTTCCACAGTAGCAGGCTTCATTTTACTGCCTTCAAACACCATAACAAATCCTTCAAAGTGCAGTTTTGCTTGTACAGGGCAGCGGCCGATAACACCAGTGTACTTTAACACTTGGCTGGGCTCATTAGAATGCCTCTGTGACCACATAGCACACTGCAGGACTCTATCTAATGCCCTTAACAGCTTTGGTTATCACAAAACTGTTTCAACAACAACTGCACCGCTGACAGCCTCTGCTCCCGTCTGCCCTGGTCTGACCTGCACATGAGCCAGAGATTACACTGTAAAATATCACCTCCATCAGCTCAAATGACCCGAGTCAAAATATGAACCTTTTTTTAAGTTTGGTTTAACTAGTTTAAACATTTAAAAACCCTAGAGGAAAGATTATTTCAAAAAATAACTGTATGATAACAATGTCTTCATCTTAAATAATCATGATTCCAAATATAACCCTGATGATTTACTGCACTTGTCATGAAACACAATGTCATGAAACAAATAATATAAAGAAACAATTCAAGTCAGTCACTTCATAAAGGTGCAATGTGTAAGTTTTCTTGAGGAGGGTCTGCCATGGAGATAATGTTGCTTTGCCTAGAATATTCCAAACTTCGATGTTGGAAACAAGCAGTACTATGCTAATTTATATGTCAGATCTGTGGAGAGACACGACTGCTCACTGCAGTACATAATTTTGAGGTAGTTTGAATGAATGCAAGGCAGATACATTTAATGCTATACTGTGGAACATTGCCAGCACAGCAATTATATTTCCATGATTTGGGATGCTCCAGCTTTGTCAGTTCTGATACCAATGTTGGTACTTGACTTGTCATAGCCTGATCTCATCAGATTTCAGAAGCTCAGCAGAGGTCAGCGCCAGGCCTGGTTAGTACTTGGGCAGGAGAATGAATTAATAATTATAATAAAACATTATGAGATGCTCTAGGCCAAAATCCAAAATCTTATTACATCCAGTTAAAAAGCCAGGGTATTGGCTTAACCATTATCATTTAAGTGCTTCCTGATCCAGCTAATTTTTCAGTATTGGAGCCGTTATTTGATATTAGGATCAGTATTGGTGCATCCCTATCCATGACACAAGCAAACAGCAGACCCCTCACCACAAAAGTTACATATATTGTACACCTATAAAATAAGAATTCAGTTTCAGACAGCAGTAAATTGAGTTTGTGTAGAAGTTCTGTAGAGTTTTGCAGTGTGGGCAGTGGATGGACATGGGACTAAATGAGGCAGATAGAACATTGTGCGTGGGTGCTCGGAATTCCCGCTGCTGTGAAGGATTAGAAGAGTCTGACACAGGTAATCTGGTTTCAAACTGACAGATCAAAGCGCTGCCCAGTCCTCTCTATTATAATCTCTGTCTCTTTCTTTGCTTCACAGTCCGAACGTATACACTGGGGATTTACTGTCTGTCCTATCACAAGTGGAGCAGAGCCAAGGGAGAGTGTTTCTGACCTCATGGGGCTGGACGCTCAATTATGGTTCAAGAAGCAAAACCTCGTGTTAAGCATGTGTTTAATAGAGTTACACTGCACCAAAGGATTGTAAGTCTTTTATGTCCACAGGGAGATGTTGAATATTCCACAATACGGCATTTACATTTTTGTCTCCATGGTGACAAATTACTCAAGTTAGAGAGCTGTGGAGGGATCATATTGCTCACACTGATCACTGAGGAATTTGTGAGCAGTTAATTTGATACCATACGGCTGAACACTACTTAATATAAAGAAAAATCTAAACTGGCCATAAAAACGATGATACTTTAATAGAACGTGCAGATATAAGCGTACCTGTCTGGGTGGCTGGGAGGCTGCTGGCCCACGGCTCTGTGGTGAGCCGAGGGGCTGTGTTTGGCCGAGTTTGAACCAGACGGAGGAGTGCTTTCTGTAAACGGCATTAAAACATCATCATTAGTCTGACATACAAGAGATGCATATATAAATTTGTATTAGGGCCGGGCACGTTAACATGTTCATTTTGCTTTAACTAATTAATTAATTATCGTCAACAATTATTTTTCTTCCCTTACAGCAGTTTTTATAATTTATTGTTTTATTGTGAATGTCTGTTGCTTGCTGGCTTTTATTTTGAAAAAGTCCATTGTGAGCGAGCTGAGAATGTTGCTTACAGCTGTGGCGCTCACAGAAAACAAAGAGAAAGAAAGCAGGATAAACATTTTGACTGAGATCCTCATTTTTATATCAAACAGGATAACATTAACGGCCTGGCAGTGGCAATACATTTCAGTTTTGTATTTGGTTTGATTAGATTTTTTCTGTTGAGATTTTTACTGAATACTTTTTTATTTTACTGCTGCTGATCACACACTTGACATTTGCTTTTCAATTCATTAAGTCAAATTCTAAAAATTGACAAACTACACTGAAATTGGCTCTTTTGTTGAGTAAGATTCTCCAAAGGAAGAAGTATAAACATGGACTTTACAGACACAACAGATGTATGGCACTTGCGTTTACATTTCCAATAAAAATGCGCTATGCTACTTTTTAATTCATTAATTGGTTTTGCGTATAACGTGTAGGTAATCATGATTAATCACAGGAACTCATGCGATTAATGTGATAAATATGTTTTATTTTTGCCCAGCCCTAACTTGTATTATTAAAAGCACACAGAATGTCAGACCACTGCAACTGAATCCTTTGCTGTATTTCAGACATACTTCCATTTTAAGCAACAGAAGAAATTTGCTTCTTTTCATAATACATCATTTAAACTGGGAGGGCCCAACACATTCTAAAACTTGGATATTTTTTTTCTTTTGATAGTTCTCCAATACCAATGATTGACACGTGAGGAATAGTTTATACTGTGTCTGGTCTATGGCAAAACATGCATCAAGATTTTACAGTCTATTTTTTTTTTTTTTTCATAAAATATAAAAAGACATCCACAGTGTCTTAAAATTAACCATACAAGAAATGAATGAAAAGGAGCAGAAATCTTATGCTACCTGCTCCCTTTTCCAGATAATACTTAATACACAACACTGACAGTTACTTTAAACATGTCTATACATTTCACTTTCTTTTTCTTTTTTTCATACTTATTTTATCTATTTCTTTTACTTTGATTTATTTATCTATTCCTAAAACTATTCCATAAATAATAAATAATTCCTTCAGTTCATTACCTTGGTTTAATTTTAATTTTTTTTTTTTATTATCATGTCTTCTGGGTTTTTTGAACATGTCTACTGACTCATTTGATTGCATTTTTTTCTTTATAAAAACGAACAAGTACAGCTTTTGTTCATGGACATAAACAAGTCTGACTTTTAATCAGTACCATTTTAAAATCCAATTTAATCCACCAAAGTTTGAACTCTAAACCGTATACTTTTACTGACAGAGTACTGGCTCCATTAAGAAAACCTGATGTTATCACTGACTATTTGCACCAATTGGATCTCGGTTTAATTAAAATTTGATTAATTGCACAGCCCTTGTGTCTCCCCCAGTAGTAAAAACCTATTGGAATTAAACAGACAATAAGCAACAATGCAGGTAAACAAGCATGCAACTGATTTAAACGTACCATCCTCAGGGACCACAGTGAGAGTGACGGAGTTGCCCGCCTCCTTGATGAGCTGTACGATCTCGTTATGAGAGAGGTCAATGATGGACTGACCGTTCACAGCCGATATCCTGTCTCCCACTTTCATCTGGCCCAGGCGGTCTGTGGGGCTGCCCTCAATGATACGTCCGATTTTGTGTGGGATTACTGAAATATATACATACATAAGTTTAAACTACAAAGCCGCACCACCGCAGCATTACGACTACCATAGTCAGGAGCATCGCGGAGTAATACATACTGTGATTCCTTAAAGTATCAAAATGCACCTGTCAAGAGACACACTTACAACGCCGACTTTAAACTCAAGGCTATTATAAAGTTAAAGTGCGCGCTGCGTGGGAGCAGTAGATGAGAAAAGGCAAACACACATTCACCAAGACAGGGAGACAGCGCCGAGCAGTATCAACTGTGGTCCGAGCTTTCACCAAGACCGGAATCATCACTGAACTGCCAGGTAACAGTAAAGACACTGACTCGGATAATGACGAGAGGGATGCGGGTGTGCTGGATGCCGTAATTGCGCATCTGTTTGAACAATTACGAGTTACTGTGAATACACTAACAATTTAGCGTCTCAGACAGTATTTTTTTAAGTGTTACAATTGAACAAAGTTGAGTTACTGTGAATGCGTTAAATAAAGTTTGACTGACTTATTTAACTGTTGTGTTTTGTTTAATGCGCCTTATAGTCCATGACAGTGCGCCTTATAATCCAGAGTGCCCTATAGTGCAGAAAATACGGTAACACTTTTTTCTCTTATTGAATGATCATTTTTTACATTTTTTTATTTAAATTTGTACATATATAGGCTGCACTTGTCAATAAGCTGCAGGAGTCCACTTCTTCAAGAACGTTTTCAAGTTTGGACCGTCTGCTTTTATCACCTCTGAAAGCTTTTGACATCTTTTTGCATTGAGTCAGTTCATCACCAAAATCTCAATATCAACTCATTGATGCTGAGCTCACGTGCAGCAGCTCTGTTTCCTTCTCTGACAACCAGATCAGTTGCCTTTAACTTAAAAGCTGCATCATCTGCATTTCTTTGTGTGTTTTCCATGAGGAGTGTGTGTATGAAATGCAAAAACTGTTCAAAACACAATCAAACCAGAATCTTTCTTGGCGCATCATCTCTTCCACCTGTCTGTTGAGTATAAGAGCCTGGTAGCTCCCGAGGAACAGGTTGGAGACCCCCGATATACACTTTTTAAAAAGTCTCATTTAGCGTAAAATATCTCTGCATTTCTTCCTTTAAAGTCTGAACTCTGCTCCAAACCAGATACTTTTACTGACAGAAAATTGGTTGTAGACCTCACTATTAAAATGCTGATCACTGACCGTTAGAAATGACTGAAACTCTTGGTCCTGATTAAGACTGCAAAATTAATCGCAATTGAATCAGTGAATGAATAATGCATGCATAAGGCATCTTTACTCCTCATGCTGTTTTATTTAACCTTCATTTATTCAGGTAGGCTGATTGAAAACCACTTCACATTAGACCAAGTCCAGAGATGATTTAGGTTTCAGAAATCTTGGAAGTTGTACGAATGGTTGTACACAGTATTTTAACAAGCAAAGTAAAATTATGTATAACAACGACATAAAAAAGTAAAGAAGGTTAGGGTGGCGCGAGACACAGTTTTCACAAGACAGGAGGAGATGTGAGATTGGTTCCATGAGAACGAGACAAAACGAGATTGTAACATAATTCCAGGTTCAAATTTTTGTATTTGTTTTAAAATTTGTCTTCCATTCTAGTCCTGCTTTTTGAAACTATAAGAATTGCAATTTCCCAACAATGCCAAAGTTAAGACTTGGAATAAAAACCTCACAAGATAATTTTTAACCACAGTATAACAGTTGTCATTATGTCTCTTACCTCCAGGGGGCGGCTTGTTCTTGGAGGTGAGAATGACAAACCCAAACCCTTCATGGTCTTTGCGAGTCAAGTTCACGTCGAAGCTCTCAGGACGTCCAGAGGGGGGTGCCACGTTAGACACATCCACACGAGGGACCACCGGTGAACTGCTGACCAGAGCAGAGGCCACGCGCTGGGGCTGAGGAGCTCCACTGTCCTCCTCTGCTGATCCATCTGAGAAAGAACAGAACAGTACTGTAAAGTAATCTATTGTAATGTTCAGTAGTTTTTCTATGTGTACAAGGTGGAAATGACCACTGCCCTAACAAATAAACTTAACTTAAATCTGCATTGTGTAACTTGCCCGGTGGAGGGCCCGGTGGAGATGTTATTGCTTTGCCTGCAGTGTTCCAAAGTACGGCTTTAAACTTATTTATCTCCATATACAAGCAGGATATGCCACTAGGCCATTTACAGGTGAGATCTGTGAAGCGGTGACCCCACTCACGGTCAGAATGCTTCTTTTTAAAGGCATTTTTGAGCAATAAAAACACCCATAAATGAATAAATGCATAATAATACCATACTTTGGAACACTACAGGCCAAGCAATAACATCTCCATGGTGGCAGACCTCCAACTTGAAAATTACTGTAAGAATTACTGTTTTAAAAAAAACAGTAACATTAAAAAATGTTGGGATATTCCTAAGAATTTTGAAGAAGACTAATCTGTACAATAACTAATATGCATCTCAAAATGTGGTTTAATGAAGGTGGAGTACTTTATTAGCTTGATTCATCAGCTGGGTTCACTTTGTGGAAACCGTCTGGCCTCACAACATTAGAATTCGTTTGCTCGACAGTAGGTGGATACTTTTTTAATTTAACCAATCGCTGCTATTTGGTTGTGACATATGTAACGCGCCGCTAATGGGACTAACTGGTATAATAAGCTTTTCCAAAATTCCAATAACGTCTTTCCCCTTGATAAAATTCACCAAACATTCCCTTTGTTCCGGTTTTAAATCCTCAATCTTGGGAATCATTGTCAACACAGAATATATGGCTCTTTGCTGATTGGCTGGTGCCCGGACTCACACTTCTGCGTTTTTTGCGAACTGTCCAGTGTATTCCGATTCCTGACCTAGTCTCTGGAGAGAAATTAAATTGAGTAGAGGCACTAGGTGGCACCAGCCTGACTAGTAGTTTATATCCGTAGCCCTTTTTTCTATATGATAAGGTAATCACCATTTTCTGTAGAGATTACATTTGCAATGTATGTTTTAATAGTAGGATTCTGTCCACAGTGCATATATCAAACATGTCCATATGCATTAACGTTGAAGACTACCATATGAACTGAAAAACGACCACAAAAATTGAGCGCACATCAGAACACTTTTCGAGGTCTAAGGGCGCAGGGTTAGCAAGGTTTTATACCGACTATGCTGTTGTTTTGTTATGAGTGGAAATAAAGTTACTTAAATAATTTGCGATTTCCTTATTAAATCTCGGAACTCTAGTCCGTGATTGATTTCAACAAGGAAAACAACTTGTATTGTCTTTGCTTTGTGAATTATAAAACAGACCACATCATTCATTGTCTCTCTCCGTCTTCATCTCTCTTCATCCTGTTTGTGGAGTTATTTGAGTGGGCTCCATTTTTGTCATTTTGCGTCTGGGAAATCTATTTCTAAAACCAAATGTAAAACGCCATAGAAGATTGATGTCTGATTTCTGCAATGTGATCCGGCCACTGCTGTTGCAATACATCAAACCCCCTAAGTCATTTCAAAAGTGCTTGTATCATTCTATGCGCCATTTATTTATTTGCGGGAGTAAACAAGACTGAATGCTGCTATTGCTTTGTGCTGCGTTTCTATATCTAATCTATGCCCTTCACTTGCACCCAATTCCAAAAATGCAGGAATGAGAAATGCTTTTCCAAGATGTGTTTTTGGGGGGAATCCATCTACTTCGCCCCAGCGTCCAAAGTCAATTTGAGCGGAACTTTATTTATTTAGGCACAAGACGCTCGTCCAGAACAAATTTAAAGGATTAGCTGGAGAATCGCAGATCAAAGCGTGGCTAGGAGGTTTTCCGTTTGAATACTAATCCAGAGAATGGCTGCAAAATTAAGCTTTAAAGTCTTTTTAGAGAGACTTTATATACGGTACCTGTGGTGTAGAAAGAAGCACACGGAGAGCAATAATTTTATGAATTTATACGAGCAAATGAATACAAAATGACCACAACTTTTTTCCATGTTAAAGGTGCATTGTGTAACTTTTCTGGTGGAGGGTCCGTCACCTACTCGTTGCTCATTCTATGGATACAGTATATCATTGCTCTGCCTGGATTGTTCCACAGTGTGACATTAAACAGGTCTACATCATTTATTAAATTCCAGGTGGTTTTATAGCTCCAAAAAACCTACAAAAACAGGGATTCTGACCCTGAGCGGGATCGCCTCTCCATAGATCTGACCTGTATCTTAGTCAGGTTTGGTGTTCATGAAGATAGAAATACTGTGAAACATTCCAGACAAAGCAAAAACATCTCCATGGAGAAAAGCATTTGTAGGACTCTCCACCAGAAAAAATTCACAGTGCATCTTTAAATCATACATTTTTTATTTCATGTTTTTTAATTACATAGTTTACCTGTAGTATTTTCTTTTCATCTGCCCTTCATTTCTCTATAGCAAGATTTTAAATTCTATCTTACCATATTCCTGTACCCTTGGGCAAGACACTTTACCTGCCTTTGTTACAAGCACGGCCCCTGTAAAAGGGTGATAAAACTTAAGTAAATAAAAGAGCGGTCGTTCAGGTCTTTAGTCAGTGGTTTTAATGACCCGAGACCAACACGGAGCTCCCCCTGCTGTTCACCGGACCCGATGTGCTTCATAAAAATCTTTCTCCAACACCAGAAAACAGTATAATATAATATAATATAATATAATCATGTAAGACAAATAATAATCATGTACCAACAAAATGAAATGACTTTTTTAAAAATAAATCCTATTATGAACTCAATATTTAACAGGAGTAATGTTGTGTATAAATTTATATATTTTTTTTAATGGTCTTTTTTACAGCCATTACACCTTGGCCATTGTCAGCAAGAGTTCTCTTTTTCACAGTTCGGAGGTAGATAAAAGTGCATTGTGTAACTTTTCGGGTGGAGGTTCTGTCAAATTATTTTCTCCCTGGAGATGTTAGTGTTTTGTCTGGAATGTTTCACAGTATGGCATTAAACTTTTCTATCTTCATGGAGATCAAACCAGACCAAGTTACAGGTCAGATCTATGGAGAGACAACCTGCTCACTGTCAAAATGTCTGTTTTTCTAGGTATTTTTGAGCTGTAAAAACACCTGTGATTGAATAAATGTAAGGTAGAGCTGTTTAATGTCATACTGTGGAACATTCCAGGCAGAGCAACGACATCCATAGAAACAAGCAGGTGACGAACCCCCAACCAGAGAGTTACCTAGTAATCTTTTAAGTCTGAAGTTTGACCACTGAAAAATTTGGAAATGGGGAAACTGGTGTTTGTTCATAGAAAAAATAAAAAATGCAACAGAGTTAGATATAGAGACAAAGTTAGAAATAAAAATGAATATGAATAACTAGGAATAACTAGTTCATCAAAAATGTAAGAATACAATTTAAGAAAAAAATTTGCTTAAAGTTTTACCAATTTTACTTATATTAAAATTGGAACATACGGAATATTCCTTTTCAAAACACCATATAATCCGTAGGAAAACTTGCTTTATTTATCTTACTCTTATGCTTTTTAGAGATTTAAATAGCGTACCTGAATGCACCAGCTTCCTGCGCACAGTCAGCATGACCTGTCCGTTGCGGGCCGCATTGGTCATGAGCTCCAGGACCTGTTTATGGGACTTTCCTTTGACCGGGACTCCATCTATACACAGCAGCTCGTCACCCGCTCTGAGACGCCCATCCTTCTCCGCAGCACCCAAGGGAACAATCGCACCAATGTACACCTAAAGAGAAATAAAGGACAGAATATGAACCTGACTATACTAGCAACCCAAAAAACATGCTACAGGTCTCCAGAACAGTTGATAGTCAAGGTCAGTTAAATACAATCAATCAATGAACCTGTCCAGGGACTACAGGTGGAAATTAGCACTGATGCTACAACCTGATGTACAATGCATCTCTCCTGTCAAGGTTAATGCGAAAATTGTGCGCTGTCCCTGTCTCAAATAAATAAATAAATAAATAAATAAATTGTACAGGGACTGTCTGATAGAATAAATACAGAAAGTACACCGAGTTATAACTTTACATTCATGAATTGAATTAATCTATATAAAAAATATAATCATTAGAAATATGCATTAGTCTGCTATAAAGAATCCTTGGGAGGAGAAGCTCGGCTTGCACAGAGAGAATAATGTCTGGGAGAGTGTCTAGCCAAGGTCCAATCCTGTTCTATAAATGTGAGGCATCAATTAATCCATTTAAAAGTTTTGCACAGATTTCATTATTCAAAAACAAAATTGCACACAACTTTTCTTACCACTTCACCTTTATGTGACCGCTGTAAGTCTGCAGGGGGGTCACTGACTCATTTGTTTTGGACTTATCCAAAACATAAAACATTCTGGTATGATATTTTAAATTGGTATTCAAGTATGTATAAATGCTCTTTAGTCCCAGAACCAAAAATGGCCCTTCTCTTCTCCGCATGAACTCCTCTGAACAACACACTGTAGTATACGGACTGGTAAATCGCAAAAAAAAAGTTATATTAACCTTACGGAAAACTGATATAGTTCATCAGTTTAAGATGTGGTTAACTGAATGAACTAATATATTGTATACGGAGAAGATTTGGTATGATTTGGAGGATAAAGGTGACAGTTTTGCCAAAATTTATTATCTCAAAAACTTTTTATATATACCACAGTCCATTTATTTTATTTATTTATTAATTTTCTTTTTTTAATGCCTGGAAATATGTTTACATTGCAGTGCAGCTCTGTGTATATTTTTTTCAGCCCTTATGCATATTTTGTTTTGTTCTTGTTATATCAAAAGACATAATAAATATATTTGTCAAAAAAAAAAGAAATATGCATTAATTTTAAACAGTGCTTTTCCAGATTCTGAAATGCATTATTCATTCACTCCACTTGTGTAGCCAGTAGCCACAGTTTCCCTGAGGTGGACTGACAGAAGCACGACTGGCTGTCTGCACCATCAGCTCCTCTAATCACGCTCAAGCATAAACAAAGTTAGAGAAATGTCTTGCCTAAGGACACAGCAACAGCAGGTACTGGTTGGGGATGGTGTTGAACCATATGTTAAAAATGTAGTTAACTTCAGAGGTTAAAATGCATTATGTAACTTTCCCGGTGGAGGGTTTGACAACTGCTAGTTTCCATTGAGATGTTATTCATGGGTTTCAGGCAAACAATTCCTTCCTGATTTGAGGGACTTTGTGAGGACCCATACAGCACGTTTCCCCATTCGAAATAGATAATATTCTGGTTTAAACTGCTTAATTGCTATGACAACAGAGGGTAGTTACCATAGCTTCAAACCCATCAACTGTGTTGACTGAATGTTCCATATAAAATAAAGTCACTCAGATTTTGTATTACTGTATTTTTTGGACTATAATTCGATCCAGAGTATAAGTCACACCAGCCAAAAAATGCGTAATGAAGAAGAAAAAACATGTAAGTCGTATAGGACTATAAGTCGCACTTTTTGGGGAAATTTATTTTATAAAATCAAAGACCAGGAACCGACATTACATCTTGAAAGGCAAGTTATAGTAATAACAATAGAACAGAGAACAACAGGCTGAATAGGCATCTGGTATGTTAACATAACGTATGTTAATAGTTGTTCTGATAATTATAGCATCAACAACATAACATGAGTTTACCAAACTCTCCATCTCACTCCAAATCACTAAATCCATTGAATCCACTGAATTCTTCATCCTCTGTGTCACTTCTGAGTAACTCCGCGCAACTTCGGTTGTCACTGAAGTCCAAGCATGGCGCACCCTCCGGTTTGCCGTGAAGCTGTCCCCCACTTTCTGCCAGTTCCTCACAAGTTTCTCGCTCACTCCAAACTTTCTTTCTGCTACTTGATTACCGTTTTCTGCTGCATATTTCACTACTTGCAGTAGGACAGTGGCTTTTTTCTGCAGGAGACATGTGCAGAAAACTGGCACACAAGCCTAGAGCCTCTCACGGCTGACAGTGTGAAAAATTTTAATATATAAGTCGCACCGGAGTATAAGTCGCAGGACCACCCAAACCATGAAAAAAAGTGCGACTTATAGTCCGAAAAATACGGTATTTCAATTACAGGTGTTGCCCAAATATATGCTGAAAAGCATACATTCTTACGACAGTGTGAACAGGGTTGCTTCTCCAGTAACTGTGTATACTATGGAACATTTTAGACAAAGATAACCCATCCCCAGGCCAACCTTGCACCAGAATAGTTAAAAAGTACACTTTTAACTGTCAGATAGCAGCTTCACGGAGATGGATCAGTTTAATGCTATATTGTGTAACATTCCAGGCAGAGCAGTAATATCTCCATGGAGAAAAGTTTTACAGCGTAAAAATACATAGTCCTGATATTTGTCAGGTAGTTCTAAATAGGTTTTCAGTTTGGACATATTTTGATGGTATGTTTGTTTAAAGGTGCATTGTATAACTTTTCTGATGGTGGGTCCAAACAAGCAAGTTACAGGTCAGATCTGTGGAGAGGCAATCCCGCTCACAGTCAATGCCTGTTTTTCTAGGTATTTCTGAGCTATAAAACCACCTGTAATTTAACAAATGTAAGGCAAAGCTGTTTAATTTTATACTGTGGAGCATTCCAGGCAGAGCAAAGTTACATAGTGCACCTTTAAATGTAACTGAACTTTCTGTGTGTGAATGTTACATAAGGAAGCATGGATGAGTTTTCTTGCTCTGGTGCAGTGCTAATTGTGTGTGTGTCATACCGGCTGCTCTGGGCCCTCCCCTCCAAGCACTCTGAAGCCGAAGCCCGACTCCTGGTTCCTTTTGATAAAAACATCCAAGTCCTTTGTGTTTGGAGCTGCACAAATGACACAAATAGAAATGCGCTTATTTTAAACTTGTACAACAGGCAGCATCACAGACAGCAAACATTGTTAGCAATATTTCACTGCAATTTTCATATTCTGAAGAAATAATGAGCCCGGAACCTATTATTAGAGTTAGTGTGAAACAGGCAAAACAAAAATACAACACAAACATGAGTGAAACAGGCTAAAAATAACCACCAAAACCAAAACCAAAAGTGAAAAACTGATTGACTGGTACATTGGGAAAGCTTACATCACTCCAAACACTCCTGTCCAATCAGCGCCCAGTTTGCCCAATTGAAACCTCCTGCCCAGCACCTCCTCGGCCTCTCATATTCTCATGGTACACTTCAGTCTCCGCTCTTCTCGGTCTCACTTCTACCAATTCCAGTGTCCAGGGACCCCCCAGACCCGTCCTAAACATCTTCTAGTGAGGTCTGAGCTTTAAAGCTAACTCATTAGATACTAATACTAGCTCTTTCTGATGCTCCAGATTGAAATATAATACATAAAAAGAATGGATCTGTGATGGAAATTCATATTGTGAAAAGATTTCTCTCAATCTGTCTTTGTGTAAATGAATGTGATTTGTACCTGAGACGCAGACCAGTCATTAACATGTGTAAAGGCTCATCAGACACAACTGTCTCCACACACAGGAAACGATATATTGTCTTAGCTGTCCTCATATTTATGTTATTTTAGCACCAGACTCTGAAACAAAAGTCGCTCTGCTTTGATATGTACGTATGTAACTTGTATTTCTGTATAAATACTCAGAGCTCAGATGCTCTGGGGCAGATACTTGGGGAGAGAATCAGGTCATATGGAGTAGGGAGAGGCTGTTGGCCTAGGCCCTGTCCATATCTGCTGTAATAAGAATAAACCTTGGTGTATATTCTAAAAACTCATCGAGCTTCACAAATGGATTAATTATTGATCATCAAGAGATATATCGTTTGACAGTGGCCTATAACGACTCTTTGAGAATATTACTGAAAGTGCCGAGTTCTGTAGCGCCAGTGAAATGTTTGTAAACTGTGGTGTGAGACACTGTGCTGTCACTATCAGATGTTGTATTTATTCATTTTATATGTAGAGCCATGAATCTGAGCCATCATATCATTGAAGCTTTAGTTTGTCCTGTGAGGAGCTCTGTCAGTTTCACCTCTAAGCTGTGGAGACACTGGTGGTCTTGTCTGTATACATTATAACATGCAATGTATTTAAATGTTTTATTCTTACTATTTTCTTTTAATAATATGAACCAGATATTGCATGTTCTTAATAAAGATTGAATTGAATTAAACTGAATATATTTTTTTCCACAACAGATTCACTGATGTCCTGTGTCACCAAACATGCTTGACTTTTGATGTAAACCCCTTACATGAACTCTGGATTTTGGAGTCTAAATCAGGAATAAACTAGGACTAATGTTTACATTTTTTAATCATTTCTTTTTTTTTTCTTTTAGGACTAAACTTGGACTATAACAGGATCTGCAGGTATAAAACTGGATTATAAACCAGTTGTAAAGCAGGACTAAATAAGATCTAAACCAGAGTTAAAATCCCCAAAAGACTCCCAAAAAAACACATACCGCCACACAATTACATGTACTACAGTCTGAGAACCAATGCATTAGATTAGCAATATTTCTCTGAAGAAAATACACCATCTTATCCTTTGATACACGATGAAAATGTTGACATATTTTGAACAACTCTCAAAGTTTGTTTTTATTCTGTCCACCATAAAACCATATAATAAATAGCTAGGAGACAAATTGCTGGGTTTCAGTTGACATCACCGCATTCTATAGGCCAGTCTTATTATATATAGATATGAGAAACTAAAATTAATATTATTCAACTCCAGATTTTTGTTGTAATACAGCATGGTCTTGGGTCTAGACAGTAAAAGAAAAGATCAAGTTCCAACTTTGATAATAATATAATAATAAATATGACCTCTTTGGACCTTGAACACTTTTAAACAGATGAATGAGTATATCTTTCATTCTGAACTAACTGTATAGATTGATAAGAAATGTTTAACTTAAATGAGAGTACTTCAGACAGGTTTACTCACGTTTACTGTCCAGCATGGCCCTGGACTTGAGGTAGAGCTCGGAGGCGTCTGGTTTGGGGGAGGCGGAGCGCAGGTTGTTCACTGGGACCTGGATGGGGATGGGGGGCACCTCGATGTGGTTTATATTCTCCGAGCTGCTGGTCGTCTCCGGCCTCGGCACGTGCTGCACCTGCTGTATGGGCTGAGCCACCGGCAGGACTGTGGGGTGGGGGTGTTGTGGGGGGTGCTGTGGGGGGTGTTATGGGTGTTGGGGTGGGGGTTAGGGTGGGATCCAGAGTGGGCTCCAGGAGTGGTTGGACTGTGGGAGGGACGTCTGCGAGGTGGACTGGGACATTGGAGCGGTGATCTGTTGCAGAGAAAAAAAATACATAAAAAATGAAATATCAAAAATGAATATCAGCTTGATTACAGAAAAAACTAAATAAATATTGATTAAATGATTTCATTCAACATAATGTAATTAACAGTAGTTTAATATCATTAGGTGGTCTTATACAAGGTCTGATTCATCAGCCGGTTTCACTTCATAGAAACCCTCTGACCTCGCAGTGTTAGCATTTGTTCGCTCGACAGTAGGCGGGTACTTTTTTAATTTAACCATTCACTGCTATTTGATCATGACATATGTAATGTGCCGCTAACGGGGCTAACTGGTATATTAAGCTTTTTCCCAAATCCCGTAGGAAGAAGGAGAATAACGTCTTTCCCCTTGATAAAATTCACCAAACAACTCGATCTCAGGAATCACTGACAACACAGAATATATGGCTCTTTGCTGATTGGCTGGTGCCCAAACTTGCACTCCTGAGGTTTTTGCCAACCGTCTAGTGTATTTTGATTCCTGACCTAGTTGGAGAGAAAATGAAATTGAGTGGAGGCACTAGGTGGCTAGTCTTATACAAGGTCTGATACAGATTATTCTAAAACTGAAACTTGTGAGAAGGGTCCAGCTGCGACTTGGGCGTTTCTGTCATGATACAAGAACCCTCATTGGGCGTTCCTGGTCACGCAGTTTCACAAGGGATACTGGGTATAACGTCATTTGCCCAGGAATATTTCGTATGGCAATGGAGCAGCTTAGACTTTGATGAAAGACCATGGTGTCAGTAAGATGGCTATTTATTTCAACAACATTAATTGAGAAGTGTTCTTCTGTTGGCTGTATCACTGATATAGCTGCTGTTTCGTCTTCATTTTATCTATCGAAAGTTGTTAATCCGGATGTTGATGTTGAGATAAAGAACGGAGCCCCCACCCACACGGGAACGCCCATAGCACGAGAATGCCCATTTGTGTCCGCAGCTGGATTATACTGAAACTTGTTGAAAAGGCCCAACGTTCAAGTCAAGTCAAACTTTATTTCTACAGTAAAAACAACTGCAGCTGACCAAACCATTGTCCTATTTGTACTATTTCTTCATCAATGCTCAATACAATACTCAATAAATTAGTACTTTTGTTACTAGTAGTTTCATTATGGATTGGTATCTGGGTATTGTTTATAGCATAAAATAATTATTTGCATGCATTTAGTATACAGTATAACCCAACAATACTTGTAATAATAACTATTTTCTTACACACTACTGCTTTTTTTAAATCACAAGAAAGTCTTAACTAACTATCTTCAACTTCATTTTTATTATTTTTATGTCTTATGTACAAATTTATACTTATTATCAACAAACCATTCCTGTCTCTTCTGTGGTATAGGGGCAAGAAATATAATAGAGAATAGCATTTTATAGAAAAGTATTCAACTTCTGTCATTTTGTTGCTTAATTCTAAAGCTGTTGTCAACTAAAAACATGTCCTATGTGAGAAAAGGTTTCAAAACTACAATGTGTCTCTATGTATCTGAGCCAAACTGCACTCATTTATGGACAAAAAAGTAGGAAACAAAAGAAAGACTGAACCAAAAGTACCTCCAGCTAACTCACTCACTAACTTCTCCTTTCTGCTGTTGTCCCATTTAAAGGTGCACTAGGTAACTTTTTGGTTGGGGGTCCATCACCTGCTTGTTTCTATGGAGATGTCATTGCTCTGCTTAGAAAGTTCTGCAGTATGACATTAAACAGATCTACCTTACGTTTATTAAATTAGGGGTGCTCTTATTGCTCAAAAATGCATAAAAAACAGGCATTCTGGCTATGAGCGGGGTCGCCTCTCTACAGATCTGACCTGTAACTTGATCTGGTTTGGTCTCCATCATGACAGAAAGGTTTAATGCCATACTGTGAAACATTCCAGACAAAGCAATAACATCTCCATGACGAAAAACTGACCCTCCACCTGAAAAATTACACAATACACATTCAAATCCGTACTTAATTTGATAAAAACGTGATAAGAATGTTAAACACAATTGTAATCCTCACTTTTTCATTACAAAAACCTGACAATCTTTTTAGAGTGCTGTGACATTTACTGTATCCCACTCATGAGTCATATTTTGAAATTCTTGCAAACCTGCAGCTTCAGTTATTAGGAAATACATGTGTTTGGTATTACTAATTTGGCAAACTTTTGAATATAGGAAAGTCTATTTAGTGTTGCCAAGAGCCCTTATAATCTTTGTGTGGAGACATTAAAGCCCCTGAGAGCAAGCCTGTCTCTGGTGCACTGAAGTAATGCAAGAACAAGCTGCTAAACGTGTGTCATCTGAAATGTCTGTGCCAAGAAAATGAAGTGCTAAACATTCAGTCTGTATTTGAACAGGTTTTAATGGAGGTAGAGGAGAGCGAAACAGACAAAAATGACTTTCTTAATATATTTTTTTTAGTATCCCGAGGACAATATTACGGCAATCCATCAGAAAAGCGCTAAAATGTAGCTGTAAATGTTTTAGTATGGGTTTAAGTGTTTGGCAAATGGGAGTAGACAGGATAATTAACTGCAAAAGTGAAGAAATATTATGTTATACTGAAAGATTACGATGCAAGTTTGTTTTCTTTTTAAGTAGCACTATGTAACTTTTCTGGTGGGTGCTTGAGTCCATGGAAATATTGCTTTGCCTGGAATGTTGCTTTTCTATCTTGCATTAAAGGGCCCATCTCTTGCAAAATCAACTTTTCAGAGCATTCAACCTTCTAAGTGTGATGTGTGGGCCTTGTATATGTCGCCAAAGTGTTTTTTAGATTGATTTGGTGATTTTTTAAACAAATTGCAGCGTATTTCTGCCACCCTCCCACGTGACAACAAACTAAAGCTGCTATAATGATGACGCGGCAGATACACCTATGACGCGTTTGACGTAGCACAAGGCACTTCGCACCCGCCCCCCTCCCCCGCTCCACCGCCTCCACCCCGCATCGACTGACAATTCCCACATGAACACCTAAACAAAAGCGACAGCATAAGCTAATTGTTCTACACTGTAGTGTACACAATATAATAAGTTTATCTACTAGCGTTTATTAATACTTTATCAATCAGTAATGTTCAGCTGATGTGGACGCGGTGCTTGAGCTTCGTGTAAAGTCCTCGTCCGATTCCGGGTCCAACACATGTGGCTGAACGCACTGTATGGCCATGATGAATAAAAGTTTATTCCTGCCGCTATCATTGTGCATGCCTGACTCCGCCTCCCTCCCTGAGATGGGCGGAGGAAGGGCAGATCACTCAGAGCCTATGTCACGTTTGGAGGGCGGAGCCTGTGCTTCTCAGGACGGGCAGGGGGATGAGCAATAGTCGGCCTTTCATAGTCCCTTGTCTGTGACTGCCTCCAAGAAATCAGTAAAATGTCATAACTATTGTGTAATGGATGTTCCAAAACTCAAATTGTGCTTGTACATGTGCAGAAGATACAATGTGAAAAGAGTTCTTTTGCATGAGATGGGCCCTTTAACATCATTACAGGAATTTTCAAAGCAAAAAAAAGACCTTGAAAAACTTGTCTTGGTGGTTGATTTGCTTGTCTCCATGGAGATTAATATGTTTAACCCCATATTGTGGGACATTACAGGCAAAGCAATAACATCTCCCTGGAGACAGCAGCTGGCAGACCCTCCACCAGTAAAGTTATAGAGTGCATCTTTAAATCAGCTCTTTTCGTAGTTGTGCATATCTATATAGACTTGATACTTTTAATTAATTTTGCATACTATCAGTTTTGCTATATTCCTACACAAAACTGAGAAAAGCAAAACTAAAACATGGCAACAATGTCTACAGCAGGATATAAAGACATGTGCTGCTTACCGGTTTTAGAGACTTGACTGGAGAGGTCTGACCTGTTGAAATAGAAAAGGGAAATTATTATAATGAGCAAACTGCCCATAATGCTGTAATAGCTGCATGTGTGACCATTACTTCCCATTTAATTATTACCCTCCATAGACGTTCATGAATCAAGTATAGAGAAACAACAATGTGAAACTTTTGCTGTATATTTATGACAACAATAATGGACAGGTTCACTGTAATTGTATTATATATATATTACATAATCCTTTATAGGTAAATTATGAGGCTGTATTCATCGTCAGGCTGCCTTTTTACCACCATTAAAAAAAATACTGGTCAAAATACTATACTTTATCAAACTCAAGTACACACTTCAATGGCTAAATTACAAATAAGGCATTATAACTGTTGCTGTTTTTAGTATAATCTTTCTATATCTTGAGGGTGCGTTACACTTACAAATGACAGAATAATTTGGACTACACTGGGACTGAAACTGGGACTAGACTAAAAAAGGTCTACACCAGGACTAGAATAGGACTAAACCAGGACTAGATCAAGACTAGAGCAGGTATAAACCAGGACTAAGCCAGGACTAGAATAGGACTAAAACAGGACTAAAACAAGACTAAATGAGGAGTAAAACAAGACTAAAACAGGACTAAAACAAGACTAGAGCAGGACTAAAACAGGACCAGAACAGGACTGGAACAGGACTAGAGCAGGACTAAAACAGGACTAGAGGAGGATTTAGCCAGGACTAAGCTAGGACTATAATAGGACTAAAACAGGACTACAAGAGGACTAGAACGGAACTAAATCAGAACTACAACATGACTAAACCAGGACTAGAACAGGACTAGAGCAGGAATAGAGCAGGACTAGAGCAGGACTAAAACAGGACTAAAACAGGACTAGAGCAGGACTAAAACAGGACTAAAGCAGGACTAAAACAGGACTAGAGCAGGACTAAACGAGGTCTAAAACAGGACTAGCGCAGGACTAAACCAGGACTAAAAGAAGACTAAAACAAGACTAAATGAGGACTAGAACAAGACTAGCGCAGGACTAAAACAAGACTAAACGAGGACTAAAACAGGACTAGAGCAGGACTGGAACAGGACTGGAGCAGGACTAAAACAGGACTAAAACAAGACTACAGCAGGGCTAGAACAGGACTAGAATAGGCCTAAACCAGAACTAGAACAGGACTAGAGCAGGACTAAACCAGGGCTAAGCCAGGACTAGAATAGGACTAAAACAAGACTAGAACAGGACTAGAGCAGGACTAAAACAGGACTAGAAAAGGCCTAAACCAGGACTGGAACAGGACTAAACCAGGACTGGAACAGGACTAGAGCAGGACTAAACCAGGACGAAGCCAGGACTAGAATAGGACTAAAACTAGACTAGAACAGGCCTAAAACAGGACTAGAGCCGGACTTAAACAGGACTAGAGCTGGACTTAAACAGGACTAGAGCAGGACTAAACCTTGACTAGGACAAAACTAAACCAGAACTAAACCAAGACTAGGACAGAACTAAACCACGACTAAATCACGGCTCGGATAGAACTAAACCCCGACTAGAAGCGGACTTACTCAGCTCTGGATCAGGCTTAAACTGGACTGATATTCTGGTTTGGTGTTTTGAGTCAAAACACCAAACCAGACAAATGTAAACGCACCCTTAGCTGTGACATAGTCTTTCCAGCAGGGGGCAGTACAAGCCAATTTAAAGCACTCGTATTGTCACTAGCGCCAGAGCTCTGTGAGAAAAACAGACTTGACCCTAAAGCCACAAGAAAACATGCACTTCTGTCAGCAAACCAAGGCAAATGTTTGTTATTCTTTAGAAATGCGTCAGTCCCTCACCTCTCTCCTCTCCTCAGCTCTGGATGTTACTTTCTAATGGAATCAGAGTCAACATTGTTTTGAGTGCGGTTTACCACAGGATTCTGGGAGATTTGATTAAATTATTGTAAATGCCATTGGCGGTGAGAGAAATGCCATGGACAGCACATGTTTCTATCTTACGAACATAAGAAGCACAGACTGATAATGTTCTTTCATTTGTCTATATAGCCTTCATTTAATATGACATTTCCTTTGGAAGTTGCTTTAAAGGTCCTATAGCGATTATGCATTATTCAAAGTTTTTCTGCTGCTTTGGTCCTGTATATAACTTGAAATAACATATGAATTGTGGAGTTATTTAAAAGCCTTACTTAAAGTGCAAATGTATTCTACAAAAGAGCAAAACAGGACACTTGGACTTGGACTGCATCTATTAGTGTACTAAAAAGTGAACTCATAAAACTTTGTGAAAAGCTCAAAACTAGAACAACTATTGTCAAACTCTGAAAAATGCAAAGTGGAGGTAATTTCTGTAAAGACATAAATGGAGAATGAGTAGGGTTTTCTAAAAACATGGAGGCGCTTCAACGTGCTGATAAAAATTAGAAAAGGCAAATATTTGGTTAAGAAGTAAATACAAGTTAGTTTAAAAGATCACTACGTAACTTTTCTAGTGGAGGGTCTGTCTGGAATGTTATACAGTAGAACAGGGTAATCAGCTTCTATAATTTATCTTCATGGAGACAAGCAAGTGGCAACAGGCTGTTTCAGGTCAGATCTGTGGAGAGGAGATCGCGTTCACAGGAATGCATGTTTTTCAGTGTGTTTTTAAAGTCCATACACCTTCATGAGAATCATTCAAATCCGTGTATCATTTGTTCATTCGTTTTTCAAAATAAAACCAAAAATAAGAAAATGAAAAAAAAAGTATCTTCTTAATTATTTGTCTACAAAACTAAAATGAAAAAAAAAAAAAAAAATTTTTAAAACTGATAACGATTCGTTTTTTGGGGGGGGATTGAGACTGGGACTGAGACTGGGACCTGGACCAGGACTGAGACTGGGGCTGAGACCGGGACCAGATCAGGACAGAGACCAGGACTGAAAGGACTGAAACCAGGACCAGACCGGGACTGAGACCAGAACTGAGACCAGAATTGAGGCCAGGACTGAGACCAGGACTGAGACCAGGACTGAGACCAGGACTGAGACCGGACCAGACCGGGACCGACACTGGGACCAGACCAGAACTGAGGCCAGAACTGAGGCCAGAACTGAGGCCAGGATTGAGACCAGGACTAAGACCAGGATTGAGACCAGGACTGAGACCAGGACTGAGACCGGGACTGAGACCGGGACTGAGACCGGGACTGAGACCGGGACCGAGACCGGGACCAGACCAGGACTAGGCCAGGAATGAGACCAGGACTGAGACCAGAAATGAGACCAGGACTGAGACCAGGACTGAGACCAGGACTGGTCCCGGAAACATTAACCATAATCCGTTTTTTTTTTTTTTATTTTGGTTTTGGAAAAATAGTTGTTTTTCCATTTTCTTATTTTTGGTTTTATTTTGAAAAACAAATGAATGAATGATACACTGATTCATTGGGATCTGGCTCTGGATTTGCCCGTCTCTACTGAACTAAAAATAAAAGGTAGCCGTTAACGTGAAAACTACCACTACATGACATCACAAGGTGGAACAGAGCATTTGAAACAAAACACAACTTCAGGTCCGTTTTTGATGAAGTTCTTACATATCAAGTCCATTTTGTATGATATAGGTGCTTTAATTCCGCACAGTGAAACATTCCAAGCAACCCAATCTCCACACTTCAAAACATTTCCCCCTTACTAATGTCATCAGCACGTTTAATCCTCGAAGCTCCACCAGAAAAGTTACACATCACATCTTTAACATAATCCAACCCCCTTTAAGATAATGTCAAAGCCACCTGAGGGGAAGTACACTCCTCTAGCGCAAATGCATGAATCAGATTTATTGGGAGGCGAGCACATGAGCCGAGAACATAAAAGACATGGAGATTCGCCCACACGGTTAGGCTGTTAGCGCGCTGACGATGAGAGCCCCGGGAGCTGCGAGCACAGCTGACTGCATCTGAATGTGGGAGATGTGAAACCAGGGCTGGTGCAGTGCAGTCAAGTCAAAGGAGAGGAAGATGTAAGAAGGCCACAATTATCCTCTATTCTCCTGTCCTCCTATTGTACCATGCCTCTGTTCTGAAAAGTGCATGAAAGAGATATGGGGTTTTTCATGGGCCATGCCGATACCGATGCCGATTCGTTTCAATCCAGAGCAACTGATGGCCGATATTTTTTGGGCAGATGCGTATTTTCCCCAAACGATGTGATTTAAATTTACTACAAACACACCCACAGCCTTTTTTTTACTACAAACCTATAAGAGAGCTAAGTAATTACATTTTGTGCAGTTATCTCTGTGCATTAAAGTGTTCAAATAAAGCTTTATGTGGAGTCTTCATGCAGCAGGTCGGCCAAAACTAAATACCGGCCTGATTGAATACGCAAAAGACGTCCAAATATCTCTAATTCGTATGACAGGTTTTCATGTTTCTAATTAAACTGTTAAATGTTTCTAATATAATTCTGGTTTGCTTTGATGGGATAGTAACTGTGATGAATATTTATCACAGTTTTACCTCAGTTAAGTGTCAATTTGTGGAAAAAATAGTTGAACAATGAATATTCTATCCAAATTACAGGGACAAATGATACACAAGGAAGGCATTTTTTTTTGACTGTTCAGTTGAATTACTACCTTTTTTCCTGTTTTGATGTTTATCACAATAAAATGGCCAAATAAATAAAGGCTCTGTCTTTGTGTCAGTCTGATGCGACGGCCATCCTTGTGACGACATCCTTTGCCGTTGCACAAGTTGCATCTAAGCAGCCTTTATTTTCTTTCTATGTATTTCTATGGGACATGGGCAGCAGATATGACGTAGAACAGGGGTCTCCAACCTTTTTTCTCCGGTGAGCTATCTTTATAAAACAAAAATGCCAGAGAGCTACTCATTTTAGCGGCCACAAAAAATTAAGACGATTATAAGAAAGAGGGCAAGAGGGAAAGTTAGACGCCTACGAAACATAAACCACTGTCCATTTATTAGTGAAAAAATGTGGGCTTCTGAATTATACATTTACAATATTATTTAGTAATAGGCATGTAATTAACACCATTTTTGTTATTTAAAAAAAAAAAAGAAGTTCCCTATTTTCCCTATATTTATTTATTTATTCATTCACTTTAATAATAATAATAATAATAATAATAATAATAATAATAATAATAATAATAATAATAATAATAATAATAATAATATATTATTATTATTATTATTATTATTATTATTTATTTTTTATTATTATTATTGGAGACAATGGAGGAGGGTTTATTTGGAGAATTTAAAAAAATTGTCACATTATATTACTAATTGTTTTCTCTGCTTTAGGTGAAAAAATTATTCAAAGAGGTGGCGAGCTACTTGTTGCTCTCAAGCTACAGGTTGGAGACCCGTGATGTAGAATAACGTAGAAGTAACTTCATACCTGTTACCTAGCAACTATGATGTTAACAAGGGCCAAAACCTGTCTAAACTGGACACTGGTTATAATTAGACTAACACAAATAAATGATAACACATTGATTTTGTTAAATGAAGGCTTTGCATATAAATTGCCGCTGCATTTTAGATGGAATTTTGTGTTGATGACAAAGACAGAGGTATCCCATTCAGAACACGCCACTACTTCCAGTGTTTTTCTACTTTTATCTTCATTATTTTTTAATTCTGCAAACTAAACACGTGTAAAACGATTGAACTATAGATATTTACCACAGCAACTATCCCACCAAACCCAGTAATAATTAAAAAAAGATGAAAACCTGTCATATGCACTTTAATCTGAGACTGACTCATCCCTGTGACTGTCCCTCTTTGGGAAGGCGCATGCTGAGACAGAGTTACTGTGGAGTCGAGCGTGAAATTGCTTTATTTAACATTGGGAGGACCTGTGTGTGTGAGCGCACAGTAATTCTTTTATCCTGGTTAATTTTATACATTGTTTTTATTGCGTCATGAGAGGAGAGGCAAGCTGCTTATGTTAACTTTAAATATAGGACTAAATGATGCAGTCCTTGAGTCATCCAGGTGTGATTCATGTACAAAGCCACGTTTTCTATTCAAGACATCAGGTTTGAAGAAAACACTGATGAAAGTTGAGGTAGGCAATACTGATAAAAAGAAAAAAAATCTTCATAACAATATTCAGATAATATTTGAAGGGCCCATGTTATGCTATTTTCTGCTCTGTTATAATGTTAGAATAATGTTTCCTCATCACAAACATATCTGGAGTTGTGTTTTGTTTTAATCACATATTTTTTTTACACACAAACACTGCATATTTAGGCTGACTTTCCTCTCTCAAATGGAAAACACCACCTGCTCCATGTTGTCACGTTATGTCGTAATACAGGAAGTGCTCCACTGTGTTATTAAACTAAATACACCTTAACTAGAATCATTTGGAGAATTTCTGGAATTGCAAATTACTACTGAACAAAAGGTAAAAGACAGAGGTGGGACCGAGTCTTTGTTTTGCAAGTCTCAAGTAAGTCTCAAGTCTTTGACCTCAAGTCCGAGTCAAGTCCCAAGTCAAATACAGGCAAGTCCAAGTCAAGTCTTGAGTCACTGGCCTATGAGTCTAAGTCAAGTCCAAGTCATCTGCTTTGAGCTTCAAGTCATTTCAAGTCTTTAAACCAAAGTACCAAATAGATCTTAGATTTTTGCAATTTATATGAATTTTAAGATAAATTGTACTTAAAAAAAATCATAGTATATTTATATATGAGTATTTATAGAGTATGTAAGAGTTGTAGAGATGTTCATTTGTCCTGACAAGATCTTACAGTGAATCATTACAGTCAGAATACAAAGAATTCAGATTTAAAAGTGATTCTCAAGTCACAGGCCTCAAGTCCGAGGCAAGTCCCAAGTCACTGGCCTACAAGTCTATTTTTTAAGATAAATTGTACATAAAAGTCATGGTAAATTTATATATGAGTATTTATAGAGTATGTAAAAGTTGTAGAATTTAGTAATTTTTTTCCTTTTTAAATGTCTTGACAAGATCTTAGTGTGAATAATTATGGTCAGAATAGAAAGAATTTAGATTTAGTAGATTTAGTGCTTCTCAAGTCTTCTCAAGTCACAGGCCTCAAGTCCAAGTCAAGTCCCAAGTCTTAGTTCATTTTATCAAGTCTGACTTGAGTCCAAGTCATGACTTGCAAGTCCCCACCTCTGATAAAAGGTAGCTGGTAACTTGAAAACTACTACTACATGACATCACAAGGTGGAACAGAGCATTTTGAGTTTTGGAGATGCTGACAGACTAATAATACAAAGTTACTTAAGCATTTGTGAATGAAATAAAACACAATTTCAGTTATGTTTTTGATGAAGCAACGGCATTATAACATGGCTTAAAGCTCACAAGTAAATTTTGGGTGCTATAAGGCTTGTGTATACAGTCGTCCCTCACCATAACGCGGTTCACTTTTCGCTGATTCTTTTTGTGCAGTTTTACATGCTGTTTTTTTTACAGCGTATGAAGGCACAGTGTGTTTTTCCCCCTGCGTCCTGATTGGCTAAGGGACTGTAGACCATTGTCAATCAGTCTCCTCCGTGCCGTGTCTCTTGTACAGTACAGAATGTGTTCAGCTTGTTAAATTTACATAAATGTTTGATCTCTAATCGTGTGATTCTGAAGTGCTGTATGTTTGAATTTTCTCCCTGACAAAACCCACAATGTCGACGAAATGTTCTGCACTGACAAAGGCTCCTGCAGTCACACCCAAAAGGCAGAGGAAGATGCTAACCATTGCCCAAAAAGTTGGACTTCTGGACATGCTGAAGGAAGGGAGAAGCTACGCACTGCTGTAGGCGTGATTATGGAATAAATTAATATTCACAAAGGAAAATAACATAAGGACAACAGCAGTTATAAGTTTTAAGAAGGATGCAAAAAGGGTTGCAACTGTCCTGTCTGAGAAAAGTGTATAAAGTGTGTGGTGAGGGTTTTTACAGCCTTAAAACAGATATAATAATTGTAAAAAATAAAACTGACTACTTCACGGATTTCACCTATCGCGGGTTATTTTTAGAACGTAACCCCTGTGATAAACGAGGGACCCCTGTATAAATTGATATAATTATGCCTTATTTGACACCAGTCTCTTGCTGTTTCTGCTACTTATTTAGAATGTATTATTACTTTGTTATTATATTATATTGTGATGTGTGAGCTTTTGTGTCCAAGTAATTTCCCTTGTAGATCAATAAAGTTTGCTTAAGTCTGAGAATCATATATCCTAAAAAAGATTTGTAAATTTTACTTTCAGTCAAACTCGCCCAGTCCTATTCCTTTGTGCAGTTGACACTTTTAAACCTGTGTTAATAAAATATGATAGAATATGAGTCTCCAAACTATCTCAGAACAAAAGAACTAAAAGTTTTAGACATTAGAATAGTAGAAGCCTTACCTCCTCTGAGCACCAGCACATGCACCTCACTGCCCACGGGGAGGTCCTTGAGGATATCCACCACCTGAGAGTGACTGAGGGTCTGCACGTTCTGCCTGTTTATCTCTTTGATCACGTCTCCCTTCAGCAGCCCGCGGCACCACTGAGCATCCAGGATCATTTTCACCTTCTGACCCAGGGGGCAGTCTGCGATGGCGAAACCGAAACCCCCGGGGCCTTTGACCAGGGGCACGCTGACTAGCTCGGGCTGCAGCAGAGTGGGGTCCGGCCCGTCGCTGTGGGGCGGGGCGTGGTGGTGCGAGTGGTGGTGGTGGTGGTGGTGGTGGCGCCCTCCGTTGGTCATGGGGGCCACAGCAGCAGCGGATTGTCTGGACAGTGTGGCTCCGTCTATGCCTGTCATGAGAACATATGGTGAAGTGTGATATATTGCTTAAAGGTGCATTGTGTAACTTTTCTGGTGGAGGGTCCACCAAATGCTTTTCTCAGTGAAGATGTTCTTGCTTTGTCTGGAATGTTTCACAGTATGGCATTAAACCTTTTTACCTTCATGAAATCCAAACCGATCAAATTACAGGTCGGATTTATGGAGAGGCAACCCCACTCTGTTTTTTTTTTATTTATTTTTTTTAGGTATTTTTGAGATATAAAAAACACCTATAATTGAATAAATACAAGGTAGAACTGTTTAATGTCATACTGTGGAACATTTCAGGCGGAGAAATGGCATATCCATAGAAACAAGCTAGTGATGGACCCCTAACCAAAAAGTTACACAGTGCACCTTTAAAAATAGGAGGTGGGACCAAGTTGTTGTTTGGCAAGTCTCAAGTCTTTGACCTCAAGTCCGAGTCGAGTCCCAAGTCAAATACAGGCAAGTCCAAGTCAAGTCTTGAGTCACTGGCCCATGACTCTAAGTCAAGTCCAAGTCATCTGCTTTGAACTTCAAGTCTTTTCAAGTCTTTAAACCAAAGTACCAAATAGATCTTAGATTTTTGCAATTTATATGAATTTTAAGATAAATTGTACTTAAAAAAAAAATCATAGTATATTTATATATGAGTATTTATAGAGTATGTAAGAGTTGTAGAGATGTTCATTTGACCTTTTTAAATGTCTTGACAAGATCTTATAGTGAATCATTACAGTCAGAATAGAAAGAATTCAGATTTAAAAGAGATTCTCAAGTCACAGGCCTCAAGTCAGAGTCAAGTCCCAAGTCACTGACCTTCAAATCTAAGTCGAGCCCCAAGTCTTAGTCCATTTTATCAAGTCAAGTCTTAAGTCCTAAAAATAGAGACTCAAGTCTGACTTGAGTTCAAGTCACGACTTGCAAGTCCTCACTTCTGGATTCTATTTATTGCAAACACATTACATATACCAGTATTTAGATCACCACGCTACTTTTTATTGTTTTGAAAATGCTATATTTGTGAAAACAATGCATAACATGTTTAATAAGTTTCATTTCTGCACTAAGTCCCTCCCCCTTCAGAGCGCTACCACAACACAATCAGCGTGTATTTCACTAACGAGACAACTACACATCACATCCTCAAGTTTGTAGTGTAATGTTTTGTATCATGCTTTTGTATATATATGGAAAACTGTCATAGACTTGTGGGCGGAGTCTTGGACAAAATCATATACCGCAAGGAGGGTTTGAGTAGGGCTAGGGAGAGATCACTAGATAACTCAAACATGCATGGATGACATATAAAAAAATAAAAACAGATGATAAACTATAATAATCAAACTAATTTATCTCACTGAGAAGATAATTCTAAAGCAGAACCCCACCCAAATAACACTTTAAATTGAAGGAGGCTAAAACAAAGCATTTAATTTAACTTTAAAGGTGCACTGTGTAGTTTTTTTTTTTGTTTGTTTTTTTTTACGTGGAGGGTCCATCAATTGCTTTTCTCCATGGAGATGTTATTGCTTTGTCTGGAATTTCACAGTATGGCATTAAACCTTTCTATCCTCCTAGGTATCAAACCAGACCAAGTTACAGGTCAGATCTGTGGAGAGTCCTGTTTTTCTATGTACTTTTGAGCTGTAAAACCATCTGTAAATGAATGAATGTAAGGTAGATCTGTTTAATGTCATACTGTTGAACATTCCAGACAGAGCATCTATAGAAACAAGCAGGTGATGGACCCCTCCACCAGAAAAGTTACCCAATGCACCTTTATATTCTAAAGAAAACAGGGATGGGATTTCATACATTTTCTTCTTTCCACTTCTTTTCAAGCTTAAATAAGATAAAATATGAAATGTAATTTAAGTGTATTGGAGACATATATTTACTTTATTCTCGTATTCACTGAACTGCTCTAAATAAAAAAAAGAAAATGATATAGTAATTCTGGTGCCAGGCCTACCGTCAGTGTTGTAGTCCTGGGGGGTGGAGCTTGGCGAGGGGGAGGGCTCTTTGGACGCGTGCTGCCCGTGTGCCTCCTCGGTGCTGGTGTCCTCCGGCAGAGGGTAGCCCCGGCACAGAACCATGTCCACGTACTGGTTTATGGGGATGGACTGAAACATCTGCACCACATCTGCATGAGTCTTCCCCAGAACACACAGCCCGTTGATGTCCACAATCACATCGCCTGAAATAGACAAGGAAAAAGTTTGTTTATTTATTTATTTATTTGAATTGGACAGCATGATTTCATTGACCTGAAGTTCTGTAAATATAATGGCTCAGCGTGCAAGTTTTCATCCATAGTCCCAATAACTCCACAGTACAGACCTTATTAGTTCAAGATGCACTGGAGAAGGGTAGGGAGAAGGGACAATACTCTACGTAGAATGTTCCACAGTATAGCGTTATCTTGCATTAATTAGGTCTGAAATTGATCATATCTGTATACAAACACTCAAACAAATTTGTATTCAATAACGGGTGTTTTTATTGCTCAGAAAATAACTTGAAAAATATGCATTCCTGCCATGAGTGGAGTCACCTCTACAAAGACGTGACCAATAAGCTTGCCTAATGGCGTTATCTGCTTGTCTCCATGGCGATACAGAGATATGTTGTGTTTTGTGTAAAGGCACAACTAGCCACTGCTAAAATGTTGGAGTGTGTGAAAGGAGTTCACGAAACATAATTGTCTCTATCAAATAAACGTAGATAAATAAGAAAACTATACAAGAAAAATTTCATCCATGGAGACAAGCAGTGGTAAAAGTTACACTGTACACCTTTAAAATATAAAGTATATTTTTCTTTCTCCTACGCTTATGTGTGAAATTCATGCAGGGAACAGGAGCACAATCGTGTCTCTCCCTCTAAAGCTTTCATCTCGTCTGTATAAAGCAGCAGCCCACAGCCTCTGGCCTGGGTCAGATGGCCGTAGATGCCCTGAAATGCTGACGGTGGACTGGCTCCAGGCCAGACTCAGCCCACCAACACACAATCAATACACTCTGTGCAACCACTCTGCAGCATCACTCCTCAAATGAGCTCTATATCACACACAGAGGCCAAGAAAAACATGCTACCAGCCTCCAGAATCAGAGGCGCTCTAGTATAACTGCAGTATAAAGTAGTTACAGTCTCCACAATGCTATTATAACACAATTAAATTAATTACTTTCTGTATAACCAATTCCCTTACTGTCACAGGGACAGACATTAAAAACTGAAAATGATTAGACTGTTCAAATGCAGCACAGAGCAATCAATACCTGTGTAATGGGAATCCTGACTGTTTCACTCAAATCACTCTGAACCTTTTCTGCACTATTGATGCACATGCTTTAACATAAGCTCATAAGTCCTGAACAAGTTTTACTGTCAACTTTTAATGGAACACTTGCCTAGCACATAAACAACTCTAAGATGTACGTATATGTTATTGCCACTAGAAATGTGTTCTCTGCATTTGACCCCCTTCAATGCCACAGGGACAACTGCTGTGGTCGATGGTAGTATTACTTATTGTAGCCACAGCTTCCCTGGAGTAGACTGACAGTAGCAAGGCTGCCAATCTGCGCCATCAGCTCCTCTGACCACCAACACTCACTAACACACTGCTGACTTACGTAAAGGTAGGTCAAGGTACAAGGCAATGTGGATGATGTGCCCTGCCTAAAGACAAAACATCAGCTTCCTCTTTGGCATCTGATATTCTCAGCGGTTTCCCATCCAAGTGCTAATCAGGCCTGGCCTTGCTTAGCTTCAGAGATCTGATGAGCTCATTTTAGCCATAAGTTAGGCTGGAAATAGTCTGAGGTTCAGATCTGGTGGTACTTGGAAAGCCAAATATTATCTTAGATGGAACTTGGCGGACAAAGTTTGAGGACCACTTTTTAGACCATATATCAGGATCACTCTTCCGTACAAGTCTTTTTAAAATATAATCCTTCAACTTCAGTATAAATCACCGACTGTATGAAGAAGTGGACTAAGGGAGTGTGACATTAGCCATAGTGTTCAGCAGATATGGGGCAGATTTGGAGCCAAGTTCCATATTAGGAATCAGAATTAATTTAAAAAACAAAATAGCAAAATCAAAACATCAGAATCATGAATAGAGATTTTAAGACCAAAATGATGAGGCTCCCTGCAGCAGCAAAGTGAATTGGAGCCAGAATTGATGGAGCCAGAAGCACCCCTGATGCTCACTTCCTTATTTGTAAAGTAACGGCTTTCAGGTCAGCTATGTTCATTTACATATACAGTCTATGGGCTAAATCCTACCTGAGGCGATCTTGTTGTCATGTGCAGCAGGTCCGTCTGGCAGCACGTTCTTGACCTGTAGAAACTCGTCTGGACGGTCTCCTCCGATGATGGTGAAGCCGAAGCCCTGGGAGCTCTTCCTCAGTGACGTGTGCAACATGGAGCCCTGCAGCTGAGAGGGGTCCCTGGTGAAGCCCCGCCCACCCACACGAGGAGGGGACGGCTCTTCTGAAGGAGACAAGACACACGACATACAAGGTCAAAGGACAAAACTGTCACCATAACTTACGCCATGAAGCTGATGGAGTATTAGTCGATAAACATTTTTATCACTCAAATAATTCTTATATTGGGATTAAGGTTTGATGTGAAAAGGCATGGAGTGAGCTAGCTGCCGGGGGCTTGTTAAGACATTGTTTATTATGCCAACAATTAAAAATTTATATCAACTGAGTTTCCATAGAGACATTATTAACTTGCCTGGAATGTGGCATTAAATCTACCCTATTTTTGGGAATATAAGTGGCACTTTTTTCTTGGTTTGAGTGGTCCTGTAACTTATACTCTGGTGTGACTTATATGTTAACATTTTCACACTGACAGTTGTGAGAGGGCGCTTTAGGCTCGTGTACTCCTGTACCACTGTCTGTTCACACTCTACTGCACATGTCAGCTGCAGAAGAAAGAGAAAGAGCCACTGTTCTGTCTGGTATCATGCCAGTCGATCGCACCATTACTTCTGTATCACTGTCTATTTAAAATTTACACAAACAGAAAGACAACTGAAACCATCTTGTCAGGATTCAGAAAGGCCGGAATAATTCTACATGGAACTGATGCTGAGTTTGGCGACAGCAACGCAGAAGAGAAAGAAGTGCTCCGTTTACCTCTGGAGGTCGCGGAGTTGCTCAGAAGTGACACTGAGGATGAAGAATTCAATGGATTTAGTGATTCAGAGTGAGATGGAGAGTTTGGTAAACTTGTTCTGTTGTTTATGCTATAGTTTATCTGAAGAACTGTTCATATGTGACGTTAACAGCCTGATGTTCTCTGTTCTATTGTTATTACTAGAACTTGACTTTCAAGATGAAATGTCGGTTCCTGGTCGCTGATTTTATAAAATCAATTTCCCACAAAAAGTGTGCCTTATAGTCCAGTGCGACTTGTTTTACATGTTTTTTTCTTCTTCATTACGCATTTTTTGGCTAGTGCGTCTTATACTCCAGAGTGCCTTATAGTCCAAAAAATATGGTACATGTCTATCAAGCAAGTGACAAAACCAGACCAAATTACAGATTAGATCTGTGGAGAGTCAAGCCCAATAAGTATAAATGTGTATTTTTCAAGATTTAGCTTTTAGCAATAAAAAACACCTGTAACTGAATATATACAAGATAAATAGCTGTAATGCCATACTGTGGAAAATTACAGGCAACGCAATAACAACTCGAGTGAGACAAGCAGATGACTGACCTTTGTCCACCAGAAAGAGTTACATATTGTATCTTTAAAATGTAAGGATTTGCTATAAGATTTTCTGGCAGATTTTAGTATAGTTATTTTTAGTTATTTTATTGCTTTTTATCTAAACAATGAATATGCATATTGTGTATAATCAGATACTGCAGGATAATTCTCCTCATCCTCTTTCCCTACACCAAACTGGAGTCTAAAATCCCCATAAAGCGATGTAGCTGTAGTCTGAAAGAAGCTGGAGTTTATTTGGCAGTCTTTGAGCATGTGGGCACAAGTTGTCAGTTGTGATCACACTCGACTCGGTGAGATAATGTAGTGAGAAAACGATCTTTGGGGTGAGGAGAAACTGAGAAAAAAAGTTTAAAAAAAACAGGCCATAAATTTCCATCTGTTTCCATCATAACAGCCCCCCACTGAGCGCAGTCTGACAGCTCGTCACTCAACGCCTCATAATTACACTGTCAAAACACCAGCGCAAAGTCAAACAGTTGAAACTATTCACATACAGCTACGAGCGCCAAGTCTGTATAAAGCAATATGCATTCTACTGTGCGTGCATTAACAAAACTACAGGCTTTTGTTTACTTTGACGGCTGCTGGAGTGTTTAGAGGTGATTTTAAATAACAATAATGCATTAGTTTTATATAGTGCTTTTCCAGACGCTCAGAATCACTTTACAATCTGGTGCATTATTCATTCACTCCACACTTGGCGATGGGAAGTTACTGTTGTATCCGCAGCTGCAATGGGGCAGACAGACAGAAGAGAAGCTGCCAATTTGCACCATCAGCCCCTCTGCCAGGCACCATCACTCACGCACACAACACTTTCATACAAGGCAATGTGGGTGAAGTTTCTTGTCCTCTTGTTTCTCGTGTCCCACTTTGGCACCTGATTTTACCGGGAGTCTCCCAAGTACTAACCAGGCCTGGCTCTGCTTTGACAAGGACATTTGACCATGTATTATGCTAAATCAACTTTTAAGAACTTTTAACCAGGCTGTAATTGTTTTCCCTTCTCGTTACCCACTCAGAGTTGCATTGAGAGTCATTCATGCATGTCTACGTAATTTTTATTCTCCTGAATTCAAGACTAGCCTGATTCATCAGCCAGTTTCACTTCGTGGAACCCGTCTGACCTCACAGTATTAGGATTCGTTCGCTCTAGGCAGGTACTTTTTTGTTGAACCAATAGCTGCTATTTGGTCGTGACGTATGTAACGCTCCATTAATAGGGCTAACTGGTATATTAAGCTTTTCCCAAATCCTGTAGGAAGAAGGACAATAACGTCTTTCTCCTTGATAAAATTTACCAAACATTCTCTTTGCTCCAGCTTTAAATCCTCAATCTCGGGAATTGTTGCCAACACAGAATGTCTAGCTTCGTCTACATCCATCTCAACCGCTTTGTTTACTGTTGCGCTATACCACAAAAGGGACCCAGACATGGCTTCACAGCTCTTCACTGATTGGCCAGTGCGCAGTCTACAACTTCCAGGGTTCTTGCAAACAGTCTAGTGTAGGGGTCTTCAACCTTTTTCCTTTGGCGAGCTACCTTTATGAAACAAAAATGCCAGAGAGCTACTCATTTTAGCGGTCGCAAGAAATTGAGAAAGTATAAGAGCCATGGCAAGCCTTAGACTAGGGTGACCAAACGTCCGTTTTTCCCCGGATATGTTCGTATTTTGCGTCATGTCCGGGGCGTCCGGGTTTTTTTTTATAAAGTGATGCAAATGTCCGGGTTTTCAGTATCGTTCATTGGGGGCATTAAACTGAGCGTCTCTTGTAGCGTCTGTGACTCAGAAGGAGCGAGACACAAACAGTCGGTCAGTCTGCAACATACCGAAGCACAAATGCGCATTTAACAATGACTTGTACAAGAAATTCTCCGTTTTCTGTCCCGGTCGGGACAAGTGGGAGGCCATGTGCACAGGTTGTGAGTGAGAGTACAGTGTCCCTCGTTTATCGCGGGGGTTACGTTCTAAAAATAACCCGCGATAGGTGAAATCCACGAAGTATCAACTTTATATTTTACAAATATTATATCTGTTTTAAGGCTGTAAAACACACACTTTATACACTTTTCTCACACAGGACAAGTGCAACCCTTTTTACTTCCTTCTTAAAACTTATTTCTGCTGTCGTCCTTGTGTTATTTTCCTGCCTTCTTTATGTAACAAACTGAAGATTCATTTATTCCGTAATGGAGCCCAACAGCGCAGAGTCCTGCACGGGTCAGTTTTTGTAGACCCCCAGTACAACACCGCACCTGCCCGTTAACCCCAGATTATATCAAACTTTTGCGCTGCCTACGCCACAGACTGAACCAAGACTAAACCAAGACTAACCCAGGACTGATTCCAGGACTGAAGAGGAGGACTAATCCACGACTGAACTAGGACTAAAACAGGACTAAACCAGGACTAAGCCAGAAGTGAAACAGGACTCACTATCAGGACGGGCTCAGAGGTGACCACAGGAGAAAGGACTCAGCTCCGTACCTCACGGAGTTAAACGCGGCAATTGCCCGATCGCGCTTTGCGGACAAACTCCTCGGCGTTTTCTCTCTTAAGTCCAAGATTAGACCTGGTTTAGTCCTGACCCACCCGTGTGTAATTTCTACCCGCCTGTAATACACAATAAACATAAACCATTATCCATTTATTAGTGTACAAGTTAGGCATCAAAATTGACACATTCACAAGAGTACTTAATCAGATTTTGGTTACTAAGCAAATTACATATAATTCAGAAATCCCTTGATGAGCTACTTGGAAGGGGGTGGAGTTACTTGTAGCTCCAGAGCTACAGGTTGGAGATCCTGGGTCCAGTGTATTCCAATTCCTGACCTAGTTGCTGGATTTTAATGAAATAGAATGAAGGCACTCGGTATCTCATGCCTGGCTAATTCAAGACACCATTGTTTCAAAAAATCCTGTTCTCCCCTACCCCCCATACATGCCAATTGCTCTTTACTGACTTACTGAACTCTCCAATCACAATATTTTTTTTCCTAAGCAGTGATACGATGTGATCTGACGGTGTGATTTGATCTATTTAAAGCAGCTCTACTTTTCTCCACCTACTCTTCCTATTGATCAGTTATGCTTTGTGTGATTGACAGGTGGATTTAGCCAGTCCCAGTGTGAACTCTCTGAAAATGAATGCAACTTTCACTACATCTACATTCTAGACAGTATTTAATGGAGATGAATCATGGGGGAAAAAAAAAAAAATCATACAAAAAACATGGTTGCTTTTAAGTTCTGAGAAAACTGTTAAATTATTTCTGTCATATCTCACACCCAGCCCCTTATGGTATGTTAACTAGCACTTCCAGATCTTGCTTCAACCTTTCCTAAAAAGACAAACAGCCTTTTTACAGTGTTGGTAAATCTATGCTGAAACACACTTGACATTTCACTGGTAAAGTTTTCATTGCAAATTTCCTCCTCTCTGCCTACACGAGGTTTAAATGGGGCAACTTTATAGAAGCTGAGAGAAGAATTACACTAGACAGGGCGTGTGTGTGCGTGAAAAAGGACGAGATAAGAACGACGAGAGGCAGGCAGAGGAAGAGAGTTCGACTTGACAGAAAGAGGAGAATTCTAACTACATGGTGTCTCCAAGCCTCTGAGCTGTGAACAGTGTTTCACAACTACATAATTCCCAGTTCGAAATTGCCTGAGATCCAAAGTACAGTACACACTTCTTGAGTCTGGTCACTGGTAGATCTTTGTGAGTTCAGATGG